TCGTCTTGTCTTCCCTCGATCCAATACCACCAAAATACCCACGGCCATCCTCTGCCCCCACCTGGTTGCCCGTGCATGCATCTGTCACATTGCAAAATGCCGTGGCCTCGATCCATGTCGCCCAGTCCCACTAGTGCTGGCCTGTCCTTGTCGGCTCCACTTGGTCCATCTCACTAATAGTACATCATTGCGTCACAATGTGTATGGGAACAGGTGTATAGATTGAGTCGTGAACTACCCCTCCCTCCACCCAAGGATACCCCCAGTACCCATCCCTTGCTTGTAACGGCCTTCCAGCATGGCCTCTGACTTGCGGAGAAGAGAAGGATCGAGGAGGTTAAATCAACCTGCCTCGATAGCCCTGGAGATGGGAGATCCCCTTTCGATCGACATGTCTTCTAGAGAATGGGCCACGGGAATTAGTGACCACCCGGTGGGGTGTACCTGATCACCAAAAGGGAAGGGCCAAGGAAGGGTCGAAAAAGGAAGGATTCGAGTACGCCAGATGGTCACACCGACTTCACAAGGATCCAGATCCCTGGGATGACGAAAATCAGCGGTTCGCTCTATTGTGAGAAAAAGAAAAGAGAAAAAGAAAAAGAAAAAGGAAAAAGAAGGAAGAAGAAAAGAAACCACCGTCACGCCCGGTTCAAATAGTGGACTCCAAAGTACGATCCTGGACCTCGCTATTTGTTACACCAGCTATCTGGTGTCCGATCGAACTGCTAGCACGGACAGGATCGTCCAACGTTTTCTTCCTTTTGTACAACCTTTTCGTTTCCTCTCTGTTTTGGCCCTCCTGGGTCCCCCCTCCCTTCCTTGCTATGGGGTAAAGGACACGATCTTGGGTACTTTTTTTGGCAAATAATGGGCCCACTAGCCTTGCTTGTCCGCCATCTCCCTCCCTCTCTTGGCCTTTAGTTCGGTGGGATCCTGGCATCCCAACATTTAGGTCCAACTCTATCGCCCAATCTATTCAATCTATCGAGAGCGAGAGAGACATGCCATTCGACAATGCGGCTAGATCCCCTGCACACCATCGGCCCGTCACATCTGGAAAGAAAAAAAAAGAAAATACCAAGAGAGAAAGAACATCGGGCTCTGTAAGGGCCTTTCATGACAGCTTGAGATTTTGACACCATCCTTTTAAATATCAAGGGCGCCGCATCCTGCTCCGCTGGTCTTTTCCGACAGTAGATATTTTTGGCTTCTGAAACACCCCTCGACACCCTGTATTCCTAAAATCTGTGTACATGCCTCCATCGGGTGCCCTTTTTCTTTTCGTCTCCTGTCCTGTGCCTGTCTTCTGTCTCCCCTTGATGGTGATACCCTCATGATCATGCTCATCGTCTCCTACATTCCTTGATTCAAATCCCCTCCTCTACGGAAACGCCATTGCGACGTAAAGAAGTGGGGATACATCATTTTCTACACTCCATTTCTGCCTCCATCGGTCACGTTCTCGATCTTACCCCTTTCGATGCTGACGGGTCACTTTTCCATCGACCGTATTTGAAATGGGACCGACGGCCGAACCTTCCTCCCCCCTGCTGCAGAAGAGCAATCAATCGCAGGCTGGCCTCGTTGCTCCGGCCCCGATCGTTCCAACCCGACGACCCTATCCACAATTGCCTAGTCGTGGATCTTCCGGTATGTCCGCTTTGTCGTCCTCATCGACCGGGGACACCCAGGTCCCAGCGACCCCCGATACCCAGGCCAGGAGCGAACACGTTCCCGAGCTCGTGTCACTCTTCCAGGCTCAAAGCGCGACCTCCTCCCAGGGTGCTTCCCAGGGCAATGGGGCTCGTGATATGTTCAAAGCAGGCCAGCGCCGGCTCCGACAGCTGGCCATGCGTCAGAAGAAACCAATGGACCCCCAGACCAAGGCCGAACAAACGTCCCTCCAGCTACGCGCCCTTGAGCAGGAAGGCTTCCTCCCCGTGCGAAGACCGCCTCCGAAGAAAACGGGCCCGAAGTCGAGCATCGATTCGACCCTGTCCAGCACACGTTCGGCTTCCTCCCTGAGTTTCAGATCGAGTTCCCGGCGAGACGTGGAAAGCATCGGTCAGCCGTGGCTAGTGGATCCGCTCGAGCGTTGTGACAGCTCGGGTTCTAGAGCCCAGCTATCATCGCTGGATTTTCGTGACTTGACAAGCTTGGTGGAAGCCGCCATGACTTCTTCTCATCCCCACAACGGAGGAGGACCTTCCCCTGATCGCCTGACGGTCGAGCAGGATTGGCCACGAAGGAGCAGCGGTCAAGGCTTAGTTGATCAAACTCCCGGTACGAACAGCGTACCTAATTCGGCTCGAGTTAGTAGGGAGACGGATCGTATGGAGGCCTTGCCGGCAATTCCTGACACCCCGGACCTGGCCAACCCAGGGAGCCCAACCCCTTCTACCAGAGACACCACGAACAAGGAAAACCAGGTGAGCGAGCCCTCCAGGACTGTACATTCCCTGACCCGAAGCTGACTACCACCAGCAAAAAACACAGCCAGCAGATCCCGAAGCCACTCTCGACACACTAGCTGACAAGACCCCCTCATCGAACTCGCCGACACCACACCCATCCGCTCCTGGGCACACGTTGAAACTATTCCCGGATACGCTGCCCCCTCGTGTCTCAAGCAATGGTGTCTGGCGCTTATCTCCGCCTCCAAACCGACCGCTACCTACCGGCCCCGAGCCACGACATAGCCAGGACTCCAGCATAACGAATCGTTCGAGCACTTCAAGTTCAAGAATCCTCAATCCGTTGCGACGAGGTCGACAGGGCTCTCAGGGTGCGGATCAAGCACCAATGACTCGACTGACGGAACCACCTCAAAACGCCCCGGCGAGTCCTGTCTATGAAAGATTCCCAGAAGCTAGGAGCGGCCGTCGGCGGTCCTCCTTGCCGATGGGTACACTCAACGCGTTTCCTCTACCCGCTCCAATGCGGCCGCTCCCTTCACTCCCGGAGCCCGGCCTCATACCCCAAGCCGACCGGGTCTCCAACACCCAATCCAACAAGAGGGAATCGAACTCTGACACCAAACCCTCGGACCCAAAGCCAGCATCCGCTTCTTCCGAGGATGGAACAGTCATTCTTAAAGATAAGAACATGCCATCGCAGCCATCTTCCCCCAAAACGCTGAACAACAGGGAATCGGCATCCGGGGCCCAAGACAAATCTCGCCCGGCCACTCCAGGTGGCTCTCTTGCCAGGACCGAACAGAGCCGTGCCGATAGAGTACGTGCTTTAAGGCTGAAGGACCTGTCAGCAAGTCGTATGTACCTGGGGGGTTCAGAACAAGCGCCACGCGAGCACCGGGAGCTTGAGCTGGACCAGAGACTTCCCCAGACAAAGAATCACACAGACTCTCCAGGACACATGAGGAGCCGTGCCGACAATGACGCGCGATATCCGAGAGAGATCACATCAGATCCTCTATCACCGCCGTCATTGTCTCCCACACTATCGCGTCAATCCCAGCGTCCAGCGAGTGACAAGGAACCAAACAGCGGCATGCCCCCAACGCCACTGGAGGAGGACATTCCGTTGGCAGCCTTTCCCTTCCCCGGCGGGTCCCGTCGGAGCAGCAGCACGCGCAGCGCGAATCTCCTACGTGATGCCTTTGGTGGCCCTAGCCACCGCTGCGAAACCGCACTCCCGTCATCCGACGAGGAGCCCATACACCCGAGCCCCCACAAACACCAGTCGCCGCCGATACCCAGCCAACACCGACGAGTTAAACAAATCCCCGTTGTGGGAGATCCAGCATTGCACAAGGCACGCCACACAAAGAAGAAGCCGGAGTACTCTCGGCCGTTGACCTCGCGAGACCACCGTAGCTACCAGCACGAGAAGGTATGCCCAGACTCGCAGAGTTCCCAAAGCAGCTTCTACTCTCAAGATCCACACGGCAGCCGCCAATTGCCCGAGTACGTGCTCGCTTTGGAAAAGCGCATCGCGCAACTCACACACCAAAACAAGGCTCTCCAGGCGGCCCTTCTCGCGGCCTTGGACATGAACAACAAGCAGGGTCTGGACGGTCTGCTCGGTGGCTCGGAGACATCCTTGGGAACGGCCGCCACGGCGAGGTCATTCTCATCTGCCACCAATACTTCGTCGGGATACGATGAGCCCCCGCTACCGCCGCCACGCCACCCGAAGAGGGGACTTGCGCGACAGCATACCTATCGTCCGCAGAGCTGGATTGCGAGCCCAGATTCCAGCCGACCGAGTAGCTGTGAAAGCGCGAACAGCGAGAATGTTAGGGATATCGAAGATATGCTGGAGGGGTTTGACTTTAGCTGGAGGTCAGACAAACCAGTTGTTTAGCATTGTTGCTTATCTTTCATTTCTTTTTTCTTGATTGTTTTACTTTATCTTGTTCTCTTCTGTTTTTCCCATTCTTCTTGCATCTACTTTCATCCTGGGTTGGTTCATGTCTCACATTGGGAAGTCTGGGAGGTCTTCTAACAATCGTTGATACCATTTCCTTCTGTTTATCTTCTTTCCAGCCGTCACTCTTCTTTTCAACCGCGTACCCTCGGGGAAAACACATCGTTCGCTCACAATTATCGAACACCACAAGTCACCCACAATCATTCCCTAGTGTCAAGACACATACATTCTTTCGCTCTTTCCTTCTTTGTTTTGCATGATTCTGTTCATCTGTGTTGGCCTCTGTCCATTCAATGATACCATTTCGCTTTGCTTGTCTGTTTGCGCGTTGTTATCGTGTACATACCATACTTTTTTTTCGATCGAGACCGGGTATTACACCAGCGTCTGATATAATATGCATATATTTATGGAAATCTAATCTTATGAAAGTGGAACATTCCATACTGGAATTTAGAACAGTCATATAGCTTTAGGTTTGTCTTGTCTTGTCTTGACTAGGAACCAAATGGATTAGTCATCAGCTCAGGGCTGATCGGAATCATGTGTCGATTCGGCATCTTCCCGTTATTGGTATTGTTGTTGTCTGCCCAACAGAACTGCGCTACAACGTTGCAGCTACAATCTTCCACACGAATTTCATTGAGCGGTAGCTACTCACTGAAGTGGATACAAAAGTACATATCTATTACAACAAACCTCACCAAGTAATGCCACAGAACACCTGAAGCATCCCGCACCTCACCGCAATCCCCCCACCGACAAACAAACAAACCACCACCACCACAACAACAATAACAACAATCATACCACCACCATGGCGCAACAAGCAGCGGTAAGCGCACCCTCTTTTAGCAAGTTTTACAAATCGCGCCTTGTTTTTGAGAAATACAACAGAAGAAGAAAAAGTATGGCTAACAGGAGTATCAACCAGGTCCCCCAACATGTCACGGCCCTCCTTTCGCACCTTACCTCCCGGCCCGGTGTGCAGTCGACTTTTATTCTCTCGCGGATAGATGGGTCAATTATTCAGAGTACGGGGTTAGGGATGGAGTTTCCTACTGTTGCTCCTAAGGGGGCGGAGAAGGTTGTCAGGAGTGAGCCGGACGAGAATGATAATAAGGATAATGGTGGGAATGACGCCAATAATGATGGGAGTAATGGGAAGAGCATTGTTGATGGGGATAACAAGGATGAGAACGACGATGGGGACAACAAGAGCAAGGACGACGACGTCAAGAGTACCAATAGCGACAGCGACAGCGACAACGACGACAGTTTCGACGACGCCAGGAGCGACAAGAGCGATAAACCGGAGACAAGCTCACAAACAGATGCCAACGAGGGCCCCCAAACCATTACTCTCACCCCCACCGAACAACCACCGCAACCGCAACAACCTCAAATAACCCAAGAACCAGAGCCCAGCCCCAAACCTACAACCACAACCACAACCACCCAAACACCCTACAAACCATCCTACGCAGAGACCCTCGCGGCGGCAGTCTTCTCCTTCGTCACCAACGCGACGGAATTAACCGCATCGCTGGCGCAACCCCCGCCCGCAGACGAACCCACCAACAACAACAACAACAACAATAACAACAGCAACCGCCCAACAAGCGCACCCCGCGCCGAACCCACCGGCCGAGAAGACGGCGAGGCAGAAGCATCAGGCAGGGAAGACGACGACGAGGTCAAGCTACTGCGCATGCGGACTAAGAAGCACGAGATTGTCGTCGTGCCGGATAGGAAGTATCTGCTTTGTGTGGTGCATGATGCGACGCACATGTCTGGTGGGGGTGGTCCTCCTGGTGGGTCTGGAGTGAGGGGGAGGTAGTGTTGGGTTGAATTAGGATTTGTTTCTTGATATATATTTTTTTATTCATATTTTAATGTGTTTTCTAGATGTGTTGAGTGAGTGGGAGTGAGCGACATGTTGCTATATACCCGTCTTGGAAGCGTGTTGTCTTTCTTCGTTCTCGTTCTTAGGTGTAGATAGTGCTTTCTACTAGGTATCAGAGATCTATCCTACATATCAACTGTAATCAAGTAATGCCAGCAAAGTCTAGACACCGCCTGTTTGAGACTAACCTGGCGACCGTGCTTCAAAACCGAAGTATATGCTATGATAGCTGTAGAGTGAAACCATTTATTCTTAGATGGATGTATAGCTGATGCCTTCTTTCAGTACTTATACTTAGCAATATCATTATATATGTCGTACAGGTCAACTACCGTTATATTATACAGCATTACTATACTACACTCAAACAGACCTGGCCTGTTTATTTGTTTGTTGTCGTCTTGGTATGCATAGCCTTGTAGAAGAAGTAGTATAGTATTGTATACCCAAGTAAACAGCAACCCCACAACCGACACCTTTCTTCCCCTCGCTTCAAGAAGTACCTACCTCCAGAACTCTCCCTACCTATCAACATACCAGGACTACTGATATACGTCCCCACCCACCCACCAGCAAGTACCGCACAGTAAACCAAACAAGCACCAACCAAACCTTATCCAAAAGTCCATCCAGAACACACACATACCCGAGTATCCGTACCCAGCCTGACATAGGTACCCAAGGTACCTACATCGGCAGTAAGTACCTATCAAAGCACATACTATAGTGCTTACTACCTTACCGACCTTCCAAAGGTACCTGAGTACCTATCCTTTCGCCTAAGGTGGTAGGTGTATATGCACGCCTATGCAACGGGTTATGCATGGATCCGAAAGGGGGTGAGAGTCCGATACCGGGGGTTCTCTCTCTCTCTCTTCTTCTGTCTTGTGTTGTTTGTTTGTTAGCTTTGGTTCCTATCTTTTGTGTGGGAAAATTTGGGAAGGGAAGGGTTGTTTGCTGGGGTGGTATTGTCTGTTATTCCCTTCTTTTGTATGTTTGATATGTATCACGAGATAGGAATATATATATATATACATACATATTATGCCTATCTTGTTTAGATCTTAACTACAGAGATAAGTAGGTAGTAGGTATCATTGCTTTCGACGGCTATATATACGGTATACTAAGTAGTACACTGTAGATCCAGACATCGTCAGGTATCACTCACTGACAAGTACCTAAATAACAGATAGCCCCCACAAGAAAGTAGGCAAGTAAGGTAAGCAGAGTAGGTAGAAACAGCCTCGACCATTAATCCATTCCCCCCTACACTCATTCGATCCTCCTCAGCTGCCTCTGCCTGCGCCTCTGCCTATCACCCATCGGATCATACCCACAAAGCAGCAGTCCGCATAGCATAGCATGGCATAGCTGACCGAACGCGGGGAAAACGCCCCCAACCAGCTACCCAACCAGCTAGTCAGAGGGTCAGCCTGCCTCCGTCGAACTGCCGAGTGGACAGTTGACAAGGCTGGAAAAATTCAAATAGTAATAATGCCAAGTAATATATATGTTAGATATTAGATATACTTTAGACTGACACCGGATGGTGAGATGGCAGGAAGTACGGAGGAGATACTGCAAGTGGTTAGTAGTACGTACTAGGGGTCGATGGACCCACTTTTCCACGGTGGCAGTGGAGGGGATCGCGTGTACGGTGGGTGTGCGTAGATTGGGGACTGGTTTGTCTGATCTATTCTTGGCTGTTGCTTGTACTGTCTAAATGGAGTATTATGGAGTCCTGTAGGGCTATGCTGGATAGTGCTTCAAGTATACATATGTATTTGTAAGAAGAAGGGATGAAGTTGTATGATGCTACTGTTAATAGTGAATAGTGTATGGGGTGATGGAAGAATTGAAAGTAAGGCGGTGTGCTTCTGCATGTTCCACGAGTGACAGGGCTGTGAGCTGGCCGGTGGGTCGATTACCATGTACTTGATGCATGGTCTGAATTTGTGAAGGTTGATTTCAGATATATTGTGCATATGTTCGAGAGGACATTTCAGTAGACTTTTGACAGTAGTAGTACTATAGGTAGTCAATAGTAACAGAATCACATAGTACGGAGGACGGAACAGGAGGATGTTACTTATGTAGAGGGTGAGTGGCTGGAAATCCAAAGGCGGTGGTTGGCTGTTGTTCCATGTCCGGCGATCTGACTCGACGAGAGCGTATACTTGGCAGTATTACTTATTATATTAGGATGATTCTCGATGGATTCTATTACATGATTAGATCTTATGTCATTTGTGTGACTCTCTTATAGATCGGTTTCATCTGATCATGTCAGGCTGCACAGATTGCCAGACTGTCCTGCCAATCTGCCAGATTGCCTGTGTAAGGGACAGTTGGTTGACAGACAGACCGCTGTCATGACTAACAACGTGGTGGACAGAGCCTAGTTAGGTACGGATGGAGACTAATGCATCCAGCGATCCCAGCCGATATCGCTGGATAATATTGACCAGACCGAGTCAATATCATAGATCATCCTTGGAATGGATGGTGGGTTGGATGGTTGTGATTGCCTCCCACGGTGCATTCATCCAGATGACCGGTCAAATCACCATGTGTAACTTGACATTGAAATCTGGGTCTATCTTTTGAGTTTGCCTGTGGTGGGATGGAGTAACGATGGAGATGGGGTAGAAGGCCAAGGCCGATCAGGTTACTGAGTGAATACGGGGGGCGCAGTGGAGGAGTCATCGCTCAGGCTGTACAAAAGGGTTGGATATATATTTACATGTTTAGAAATGAAGATAGAAATGAAGACCGTCATACAGATAAAAGATAGAAAATCTAATACCTATCAGGAGTAAACAGAAGATAATAAAGTAAATAAAAAAGATAAAGTAAAAAACTAAAAAAAAAAGTCTGCCCAACCGTGTATGGGAAACAGTCCCGTGGCTGAAAAAAGAAAGAGTCATCGTTTTCCAGCAGTGGGAGACCTGGAGTGCCTGAGGATTCGGGAGTCATCCTATCTTCTCCCCTTCCGCTCTTCCTCGTTCCTCTCCTGTTCCTCTCTTTCTTCTCTCTCTCTCTCTCTCTCTCTCTTCCCTTGATCAGACTCAGATGTCGAGTCTTTTCCTGTTCTTCTTTCCTTCTTATCTTTTCTTATCCGTTTCTCGTTCTATTGCTATCTTGATTTAAATCCGATTACTTCTCATGGCTTCTGTCGGTTCCCTTTCTTATTCCTAGTCCTATCACCGTCTTAATCTCTACTATCTGGATCTTCCACTCCGCTCCTCTTTATCATTTTCTATTATTTGATTGACCTTGATGTGCTCTGTTGATTCTTCAATTTAAATCCCTATTTTGGGTCCAAAAAAAGACCTGGTCCCTGCGTTCGCTGTTCCCGTCTTATTATCATTACTATTACTATTATTATTATGCTGTAACATTTCCCGCCACTCTCGCCACTCTCTCACGGTCAGTCATCCCCGAATTCTTCCCAATCTTCCCATCTTCCCACCTTTCCCTCTTTCTACCATGTTCGCCCCCACGATCCTTTTTCTTTCTTCCTGAATCTTGCCTGCCTTCATGTCCTGCCACGCCTGGTGACTCTTCCCCCTCGCCTTCCTTCCTCCCCTCTTGCCTCCCATCTTAGTCACGCCTCTGCCTCTGACTCCGCCCGCCCCCCCGTGTATACCTACCTAGTCGCTAGGCAGCGGACCCTCGGGCCTTGCCTCTTACCGGTCAACTTCCTTGAAGAGTCATACCGCACCTTCCCTCTCAACACCTTTAAAAACCCCGAGACGCACCTGCTGACTGTTCGTTGTCGCCTCTCAGACTCAGACTCACATTCCATCTTCGACTCATCTTGAGCCTCCCGATACTACTGGTCGCGCCACCTCACTCTACCTACCTGTCTACCTATTCAACCCGAGATACCGTTGACACCTTGGACGAGTGACCCATCCTTGGCTGGTGACACTCCCCCCGGTCGACCGGTATCTTTATATCTCTTTCCTCCCCAGTCTCAAAATGTACCCTGTTGTTTCGCCATTTATCGTTCCGGTCGCCAGTCTTGCAGTTTTCACCACCTCAGATCTTTCAGTTGTCAACAAGATCGCCTTTGTTTAAACAAAGTCTTCCTTTGCTTGAACGGACAGTTGGTTACTGTCCTCGCCGGGATCTACACTGAACTGCATCACCGGTGACCGGAATTTTGATACCCTCCCCCTTTCTCCTCACCTTCGATCTTCTCCGCACCCTATTCCTCCCCTTTCGACCTCCCTCTCCACCGAAATCAACACCGCCCACTTCTCCGACATCCAGTGTGGCGAACTGTACTCTCAAGGCTTGCCGTCGCCTGTGACCCCAAGACGGTCTTTTTGTTGCCGACTACTCGTTTACGGTTATTAGTACCCTGGTCTATTACTCCCCGGCTGATCCTGCGCAACTGCTATATTCGCCTCGACTACTGTAACACCCCGGAGACTCGTTTACCTTTCCGAACTTTTGAAGGTTACTACAGTGGGATATATCCGGATATGTCAGGGATCGACGTTTTGGGTTTGAAAGATTCAAACCAGATACCTTATCAAGCGTCCCATGCGCACCCCTATGCATCGTCTCTCTCCTCCTCCGCATCCTCCTCTTCCTCGTCGGTGTTTTCTCTAGATGGCCTCTCCACCCAGAGTTCCATCTCGTCGACTTCCACCAACCCGGTGGATGTGATCTGGGAGAATGACGGTGACGCTCAGGCGGCCAGAGGCCCGGCCCCGACCGGCCCTGCCCGCTGCGGCTTCCGAGCCAAGAACGTGGATGCCCCCGTTGCCCCGGAGCTGCGAAGACATCCCCGGCGCACCAACGGCGGTCCCGTTCAAGCCAACGGCGTGCCCTGCACGCGCCCCCCGCCCGCCCTGCTCCGGCAGTCCGAGCGGAAAGTGAACTTTGTGGACAACCTTGTCGGTGAGTGATTCGGACCTCGAACGTCTACCGACGCCAATGCTAAACGTCAACGAAGACTCCGCGTCGCAGATTGTTGAGACCATCTGGCCCTTGTCGGCCGCGGCGCACCGCAGTGATGCGGCCACCGGGTGCAAGGGCGTCCTGCCCCTCCGCACCTTCATCCAGGAGACTCTCCGCCGCTCGCGCACCAGCTACAGCACCCTGCAGGTCGCGCTGTACTACTTGATCAAGATCAAGTCGCACGTCCCCAACCCCGATGCGTCCCCGGACCAGAATGGTGGGAAGCCGGTCTGTCGGGCCATGCAGTGTGGCCGACGCATGTTCCTCGCTGCGTTGATCCTCGCGTCCAAGTACCTGCAGGACCGGAACTACTCGGCCCGTGCGTGGAGCAAGATCTCCGGCTTGAACACCGCCGAGATCAACCAGAACGAGCTGATGTTCCTCGGCGCCGTGAGCTGGCGGCTCCACATCCCGGAGGCGCTCTTCCAGCGGTGGACGGACATCGTGTTGAAGCTGACGCAGGGCGGTCTCTCCGTCGGCGGACTCACGTGGCAATCGGCCATCCCCCGACTCACTCCAGAGCTGGAAGGTGAGTTGGAGGCGGCCCCGGCATCGGGTCCGCTGACGCCGAACAGCATGCGTAGCTACGACGCGCGCTTCTCGGAATCTCCTTCGCCCCGTGGAAGCTCGACGCGAGGCGGCGGCCCTTGTTCCGCGCCACTCGCGGCTGAGCCCTGCACTCTGCCGTCGATCCATGATACCCTCGGGCTGTACCGACGGACGAGTCCCGTGGGTCTGCCATCCATGTCTCGACTGGACGGTTCCCAGGCGCCTCCGTCCCTGCCGCGCCCGCCGATGCTGCCGACTCCGCAATTGACTCCGCAGTCCATCCTCGCCGGCACTCCTGCTGTGAGTGCTGGTGGGGTCCCCTCGCACCGACGACACATCTGTTCGGCTATGTCCCAGGCGCACCACGCGGGCCTGGCGCGGTCGACCATCGACCAGCGCCCGCCTCCGTCGATGTGCCCTCGGGCCAGTACGTTCGATGGGTATTCTACCGTGCGTCGGTCGTCGTTGGCGCGGTCCAGCTCGTCGGCATCGTCTCCGGACTCGATGGTCTCGGATGTATCGACCCTGTCCTCGAGCTCGCGGTCGTCCTCGGTCTCGTCCAGCTCGGCCTCGGGGCCCGGGGCGGTCTCTCTTCCCCGCCTGGCCACCCTGCGCTGCACCAACAACTCGCTAAAGGACGGCCGCCGACCGCTGAGCGTCGTGTCGCCCATCGACGAGAGCGTCTTCAGCGACTTCTACAACTCTCCGGATCTCTACGGGGCGCCGCTGAGCCATGCGCCGGACTTCTCCCGCTTTTCGCTGGGCACGCCGGTCGATTTGAGCTCGGCCCACGAAGCGGCCCAGGGTCTGTGTGAGCTGTCTGGTGCGGTGTCTCGTCCGACCACTGGCCCCAGCCAGCGACCGTGCCGGAAGCGTGGTCGCGCAGGCTCGGACGATCTGCCGCTGCCGAACTACATCTCTGGCTCGCGCGAGGATGCCGCGGGGCTCCCCAGCGGCCACGTGATGAATCGCTTCTTGAACTCCAAGACGCTCAGTGCGGCCCAGCTCCAGGCCCTCAACCAAACCCCTCTTTCCGGTCCGGTCGGTATGAAGCGCGCTTGCTGTGGAAGCGAGACGCAGAAGATCGCGCTCCACCCGAGCGTGCGCGCCGAATACTGATCCCCTCCGACCTGTGGTACGATGGTGTTTACTTTTACTTCTCCTTCTCTCTTTTTACCACCGGCTACTTTCCTTGCTGTATGGAAGGGAAAAGTCATTATTGCATAATTTTATTTTTTAAGGGACGGATCTCGTCGACCGAGTGACCTGCTTGCCCCCGACGCCGCAGCCAACGCGGACCAGCGGTGGAAAAGTTAACCTTTACTCTTTCTATTCTCGTCTTGTACATACCGGGAGTTGATGGGCTGGAGAGTTAGCAGCGGCGTTGGGTGGCGGGCAGCCCCCGAGTGTATGATGTATGTGGGGAGCTTATTTGCCTTGCAATCATTTACTTTACTTTTTACTTCCTTTGTCTATCTTGCTGCGGAGTGTGTGGATGGAGGGGTCTGGTTTTGACTGTCTTTTATTCTTCTCTTTTATCTGATTTTCTTTTCTATCGTCCCGCTCGGCGGCTGGGTCGAATCTATGTTCACTGAAGGAGTTGTCGGAGCTGGAGCTACATAGGTAGGATTCAATCCATGTATCTACATATTTATTTGTATACCCACATTTACCTTTCGGACTGCAAACAGTATACACAAATAGTATACACAAGTACAGTAAGATCTGGATCAAACAGGCAAGTGCCTCACGTATCGAACCATGGTTCATCCACGTAGGTTCCACGAATAGAACATGTAGTGGAGGTAGGTAGCCTGATCATCATCCATGTGATACGTGATGTGACTCACTCACAGGTGGAATAGGCAGATCCATCCATTCCTGTCCCATCACTTCCATCCCTTCCATTATTTTCCATCCACTCCACTGAAAGAAAAAGAAAAAGAAAAAGACCCCGGCTGGCGCCGTGGCGTCGTGAATGAGTCACAGTCACGTAAGTGTGGGGTGAGTGGGTGGTCAGTGCCTGAGGTCAGCTAGGCAGCTCGGTGGGCAGAACTCCATTCCGGGCGATATCGGACGTTGGATGTCGAAATGACCTGACCGCTTTGTGGCTCGGGTGGGATAGGAAGATAGATAGATGGTCACGGGATGATGACGGCCTTGGGAGGGCTGACTAGCCGGGTTGGGTTAGGGCCATCTGATAAGATCAGACGGTCTTTCCCTTCCTTTCCCCTCACTTGCTTTGCTTGACTTCGTCTGTTGATAGTATCTATCTATCTATCTATCTACCTGTTTATCTATCTCATGGGTTAGGACTGTCTTCTGCTAGAGGATAGGAAGACAGACTATCTACGATAGTATTTTGATTCCTCCTGGTTTCAGATAAACAACCATGGCTCCTGCACTCACCGTCCTATTGCCAATACTAGCCGCTATCAACCCGCTTCTCTGCAGTGTTGGTGCGACGCCCGTTGATGGCAGGACTAGTGCCACCGGGCAGGTTATCCTGGGGGAGGTAGACACTCCCAACCTCACCTTCACAGTCGACGACGACACAATCACCCTCCCCAACACCAACACAGAAATACAAACGACATCCCCACCCACCTGGTTCGAATCCACCCTCCTCGCGCGGCGCCTCCTCGCCCTATCGAAAACAGGCTCCATCTCAAGCACATTCCCGTCGTCCCACCCCCACGCAGGCCTCCCCATCACCCTCCCAGAATACATCGCGGACTGCTCAGACGACGACGACGGGAACCCCACCGTCCTCGCCCTCCCTGTCTCGACCATAGTGCGGAACGCAGCAGCGGGGTCGAACCTGTCCCTCTCGCTGGACTGGTGGAGTCACGTTGGCTCCGCGCCGCCTGTGTTTCCGGGGTTTCCGCCGTCGGAGGCGGGGTTGCCGCGTGTCACGCTTATCGGGTATTTAGAACGACTGGAGCTGAGGACGGAGGAGGAGGAGGACGGTGTGAGGGGTTGCTTTTTGGAGAAACATCCTGATGCGAGGGCTTGGGTGCCTGGGAAGAAGGGGGCCCCGCATGAGAGTTACTGGGCGAGGTTGGTTGTGGAGGGGGTCTATTGGGTGGGTGGGTTTGGGGGATTGCAGCAGATTGGGTGGGTTGATTTGGGGGGGTGGAGGGGGGTGAGGAAGGATGGGAATGGGAGTGGGAATGGGGATGGGAGGGGGTGGGGGGATGTTAGGTTGCCTGGGGAGTGATCTTCTTCATCGGGATTATCTGGATTGGATTGGGAGTGTGTGAGGTGGAAGTATATGGGTGTGGTGGGGGGAGAGGTCTCATGATGGATGGGAGTTGTTATAAGCAGTGCATTGCATTTGAGTATTTATGCTTTTGACATGATTGCGTTTGACTTATGTACCTGGCAGAGTGAATAGTTAATTACGAATGATGAATAGCATTGATTAATTCTATATCAAAATGAAAACAACCAGTCTTGCACTCTGCAACGGGCCCCCTACTTCCTTGTCGTAGGTTGATATTGGCATCTACAGGAAGTAGTACGGAGAGAGGGTAGAGTGTAGGAGAAAGTAGTCGGGAGTAGCAGAGTAGAGAGCTCGAGTGCTAGTATATGTTTAAGTAGATCTACTGTAAGTACAGTAGTAGATAACCCAAGGTAAACCTTACCTCATGCCACATGCATACGCATAGTGCTTATCTTGTTTTGTTTAGTTCTATCTGTCGTATTCTATTCTTCCACTTCTTTAGGCATGGTTGGTATTAGTATATATAATAAGGTAGATAGTTTGATGGATGTAGCATGGTTTTGTATAATTGGTTTTTACTGTATTCTGTGTCTTTATGTGGTTCTACTGAATAGGTCTGTGCTTTATGGCATGTACTTCTCTCTTTCCCCGTCTTATCATTTGGCAGTAGTCGCAGTAGCAGAGACCGAAAGGGCATAATCGACTGATGTAGTCATTGCAATAAGGAAAAAAAGATACCATGCTTGTCTATGCAAGTATTCTACCGGGTATATCAACACGAATAATCCACAGCAACCTTCAAAACTTTCGACACCCCCATAGACGCCCTCCCCGTCTCGCCCCCCTCCTGCCTCGCCCCCTCCAACCCCCTCTCAACAGCAGGCATGAACTTCTCCCGGAAAACCCTGAACCGGTCCTCCCTCGTCTCGTACATCTCGCCCTCCTCGTCGCGCGGCTGCCCGAACAGATTGAGGTAGAGGTATGGCGTGGCCGTCCCGATGGGGACCATGTTTGCTGCGGGCTGCACGAGCGGGAAGACCCACGGCCCGCCGGCTTCGCTGTAGATATCAACGTCCGAGTCGGTCGTGTCCTGCGGAGCGATGCCAGCGTTGAGGAATTCAGCGAGGACGGTCAAGACGCGCACGACGACACCGCCGCCCTTCGCGCCAGACTTGCCGAACGAGGCGCGGTTCGCAGACCACTTGGCGCTCTCGGCGGTGTGCCAGCCCAGGACGGAGAGAAAGCAGTTCAACGTTTTGATCCAGCCGCCTGCGCAGGCGACGACGTCTGCGCCTGCAGTCGAGAGTAACCAGGAAAGTGCGTCTATGGCAGAGAGACGCACGTCGGGCGCGAGGTGCGTCATGCCGGCGCGGACGTAGGGCAGGATTTGCGCAACATGGTCTTGGATGTCTGTTGCTGGGAGGGCGCGGAGGAGTTTGAGGAGTTGCGTGCGGACGGAGCTGGCGCTATCGAGGAGGAGGGGGAGGAGCGGCGGGAGGATGACGCTTGTTGGTTGGGGTGGGGGGGTGTTTACTGGGCGCGAGGAGAGCGCTGTTGTGAGGTGGGAGAGGGAGTCGCGCCGTTGGGTGTCGGAGCGGGAGGTGAGGAGGGAGAGGTGGTGGGTGAATTGGGAGGTGGAGGATGGGGCGGAGAGGGTGAGGGATTGCTGGTTTAGGGTGATTGCTGTTTTTGTTAGTTAGATTGGTTGTTGATGAACCCATTGCGTAGGGGGATAAGAGTATATGTCAAGACATACATTTCGATTTGAAGCTCGTGTCGGTGAAGTTTTCAGGCTTGGGTCTGGCTTTGCCGACTTTCAGCTTGGCTTTCTGCATACTGGTTAGTTATTGATCAAGCACAGTGTGGACTATGATGTACCTGAAAGTCCTTCTGCTTTTCCTTCTTCCTTTTCGTGCTGGCACCCATTGTGACGTGTGGTTGGTACTTGTGGAGATGAGGTTGAATTGAATTGAGGATGAAGAAATTATCTCCAAATCTGCTATCAGCACGTGATGTCACGTGGATATATCGGGTTTCCTTTTTGGGACATCCCTTTGAACATCGCGGTAGCTTATAACACACATTGTGATAGCTCGATTGTAGATGATCTGTATATTCTTGGAGATACCAGTTGTGTGCAAGATGATGATGCGGTATATCATAGGGTCATAGGTCTATACAAGTTCTATGTCAACTTCGTTGCTATGCCAAGTTAATCTACACTGGAAGAATAAAACTAAATAATCTAGGGTTGCAGACGACAGACGTCTATAGGAAATGCCAATGAACAAATTCTATGGATCTACGAAGACGGGGAAGCTCAGGTCACCACACTCCTGCCGTAGAATTAGAGCGATTGAAGCCTCGCACCTTCCAGCCATCATCGGGTTATGCTCGCTTCCGTCGGCCGATGCCGATCGATTCCGCTTTTTATAAGGCCGTATCCCCGAGAATGTCATACGGTACGGAGTACGAGACACAGACATTCGACATCACGTCAAGACACAGAGAAAATGACCCTAAACGCTCTTCGTCTTCGTTCCACGACATTCTCGCCGTCTGCCGAGCACGATCATCTCTCCCGACAGAAACAAGAACAACACCATACATGCAAAGAGAAGGATAAGACCAAGAGCTACCTGCTCAAAATCAAAGACCTCCCCCCTTGGGCAGACCCAAACCCTCACATCCTAACCTCCTACCGCCCCTCCAGTAACAATGTCCTCATCTCCCTCGCTAGCATCTTCTCCCATCACAACGAAACAGCCAACATCCACACGCACCTCGTCCCCGCCGTCCTCCTCATCCTCCTACTAACGCACTCCACCCTCTACACCTACCTGGTCACCAAGTACGGCGACAGACTGACCCCCTTCGACTGGGGCATCATCGTCGCGCAGCTACTCACAGCAACAGGCTGCCTCCTCGCCTCGACTTTCTACCACACCCTTCTCAACCACTCGGAAAGAGTAGCCGAAGTATGGCTGGCAGTCGACTACGTAGGGATCATCGCGCTCACGATGGGTGATTTCGTGAGCGGGCTGCATTTCGGGTTTTACTGTTTTCCGCGTATAAAGTTCTTTTATTGGGGGCTTGTCTGTCACTGTTGTTTCATGACTATGCCCTTATAATGTGCTGACCAGACGCGTAGATCACGGTCTTGTCGATCCTATCGGGCATCGTACTGCTGAGCCCCAGGTACAAAAGCGAAGACCACCGTCTGTTTAGGGTGGGCGTGCTCGTCGCGACTGGGCTGTCGGCGTTTGCGCCCATCGGACACGCGTGGATAAATTGGGGAACGGCGTACGTGATGGGCATTGGGGTGGGATGGTATCTCCTCGAGGGAGCCTGTCTCATCCTTGGCTGTTGGCTATGGATTGTGAGTTTTCCATTACCCTCTGCTGTTCTACTATCTTTCTACGTTCGTTCTTCTCGGACGAGCAGAGGACTGAGTGTGTGCAGACGCGGTTCCCAGAATGCCTCTACCCCGGCCGGTTCGATTTATGGGGTGGATCTCATGCGCTATGGCATGTTTTTGTGGTGTTATCCATTGCAGCGCATGTCGCTGGCTTGCTGAAGGGCGTGGAGTTTAGTTACCACGGGTTGTGTGCTCACTGATTTGGTGATAGATTTGAGGATGGGGTGTGTTAGCATGTCTTATCTTGACCTTCGACCAAAACCAATTGGCGAGTGGTAGTCTTTTAATATCCAACGATATGAACAAGATTGTGCTTCAAAAACAGCTGCTGTCTGATCCATGTATGATGTAGAAGTAGATTGATAATCGGTAGATTGTATAAAATAAAAATAGCCAGTGGAATGCTTCAGCTGAATCAGCACCGGCATAACCGGGGCACAGCCGAAATGACGTCGATCGGCGGGGTTCTGCATCATCCGAGAAATCTCGCCTGTTGTAACACTTCGGTTCTTTTTCTCTTGTACCTTAGTTCAGTTGCTGCCATTATATATCCGATCCAAATCTCTGACAACTATCCTGTACGTTGTTTCCGTGGTATTCTCATTAATGCTCTCCCGACAGCTTCTGACTACCCCACTGCGAAGGTCCTTCCTCGCGTCTTTCAAACCACTTACGACCACATTTCGTCCTATTCGCTCCATCCATTGTTCATCGTCCAACATGTCTGGTGTTAGCAAGGCCTGCTGCTCGTACGTATATTGAACAGAAATCGCTGAATTCCCTCAGCCAGCTAACGGCATTAGTATCCCCCCCGTCGTCGCCAAGGGCTACCAAGCCAAGGGCGAATACAAGACCATCAATGGCCTGAAGACCTGTACGTCCAACAACCGACCCAACTCCCCCTACACATTACTGACTATATCAGACGTGACCGGCCCCGAGTCAGCCACCAAAGCCATCCTAGTCGTCTACGGTAAGTCCCCCCTCACCTCCCACCTTTCCAACCCAACTAACAAATACAGACATCTTCGGCTTCTTCGACCAAACCATCCAAGGCGCCGACATCCTCTCCACCGCCAATACGCAAAAGTACCGCGTCTTCATGCCCGACTTCTTCCAAGGCCAACCAGCAGACATCTCCTGGTTCCCACCCCAAACCGACGAGCACAAGCAGAAGCTCGGCAACTTCTTCCAAACCAAGGCCTCCCCGCCCGACACGCTCTCCAAGATCCCGGGCGTCGTGTCGGAAGCGAACAAGCTCGCCCCGGGCGGTACCTTTGAATGGTCCATCCTGGGCTACTGCTGGGGCGGCAAGATCGCGTGCCTTGCCTCCGGCGCCGAGAACAAGACGTTCAAGGCGGCTGTGCAGTGTCATCCGGCCATGCTGGCTCCGGATGATGCCAAGGCCGTGGGGATCCCGATGGCGCTTTTGGCGTCCAAGGACGAGAACCCGAAGGATGTAGAGGCGTTCGGGGCGAATCTGAAGAAGGCGGAGCATTATGTGGAGACGTTCGCGACGCAGATCCATGGGTGGATGGCGGCGCGCTCGGATCTGGAGGATGCGGAGGTGAAGAAGGAGTATGAGAGGGGGTATAGGACTGTGTTGGACTTTTTGCACAAGCATGCTTAAAGTATTCTTGGGAGTGGGGTGTCTGGAATGCTTCAATTTCTTGGAATGTTAGTTAGGTAGTTAGTCTTGCATTTCGCTGTGAACCACCCCGTCACCACGGCACAAAGGCGAAAACGTGACAAATATCAAATAATGAATAAATGACTTCAATTTATCCCAGATATACAATCATAAATCAACAGTCAGAATATTATTAGAAAATAAGAATCAGAATAAGAATGATACCTAGGGCAAACAAACTTCCCCATCTGGTAAGCAAGTGGACCCGGCGGCGAGACCGCGAAGACGTCACCACTATAAACATACACTTTCCTTCCACCATGGTTAGCACCCATGTCGTATGGGAGAAGTGAGTTGGCTGGTCTGTTCTTCCGGTCGGACCAGCCGGGCTAGAATGATCGTTTCTTGAGGTGGGATTGGTTTTAGTTGCCTCTAACGTAGCCCTCGTTTTACTTTACCAGCCCTAGCTCAGTATTCTTGCGCCTCCAACGAAACCAGAAGCCAAGTCAAAGCAAACCATACCAACCACATTATACATACATACATACATACATACATAGTCAAGGCGAACTATCAGCGCGGTTTACACATACCTATCTTACAGACTCATGGCCGTGTCGTGAGACCGATCGACAACTCACTAGTGACCTTTCATTGACGTTCACGCAAAGGTCATACTGACCAACCACACATACAATCACCGCATTCACAGCGTCAAACGACGCCAACTCCGAAACCAACATGCCACTCTTTTTCGGCCGCCGCCACTCCATCTCAGGCGGCACGCAGCCCGAACAAGACGGAATCGTGAAAGAGCGCGCGCGCAGACGCACCTCGCTGCCCGATTTCCACAGCGTGAGGCGCGGATCAGGCTTATTCCAGGGTCTGCTGCGTCGGCCGTCGAAGATTTCTGCATCCGCTCCGCCGTCGCCGCCTCCTGAGAAGGACGAGCTGCCTCTAGTAAGTGGTGCACTTAATCCTTCGGGGAGATGGAAGAAAGGAGGGAATGAAGTATTCTAACGGCAGGTAGAAACGCTCGAATTCAGCACCGAAGATCCCGGCCGTCACAGTACCACCAGGCGTGGTCCCCTCTCCGCCGCCTAGTCCCCGCGAGGGCATCGTCCAGCCGCAGGTTGAGCGGGAGCCGAAGCGTCGAGCGGGGGAGTATCACCGTGTGACGTCTATCGACACCGTGCTTGGGCGGGATGACATTGAGCATATATTTTCCGGGGCGCCGTACTTCCTGCTCGAGAAGGGCAAGTATCGCCAGTTCTACCCGATCGTGATCTTCCCCCTCGACGACCACGACTCGTCTATCCAGAACCTCTGGGATAGGCAGCTTCTGCCGCACGCGACGTACACGCTGTGCACGCTGCATGCGCACCTGCCTGTACCCGAGGGATGGGTGAACGAGGGCGAGACGTCCGTGCAGCTGACGCGGTGGTCGAAGGTGAAGGCGCCGAAGCGGGCGACGTTCGATGTGGGGCTGTTCGAGGTGCCGAACATGCTGACCATGAACGGGATCGAGCCCGGGACTGTGGGGTTCAGCCACTTCCTGGAGATCCCCGTCGGGGACGCGGCGACTTTCACGCCGCAGACGAGGAGCGGTCAGCAGAATGGGTGGCTGCGGCTGACGAACTTGAGTGCTGTTGAGGCGTACGAGCTGATGGAGCATCATGGGGAGCCGTATGCGCAGTGCAAGGACGGGACGAACCACGATCGGAAGCAGCTCTTGGGTAATGGGCCGAGCGCGTGGAAGCGGATCGGGGTGCGGGATATTGAGCTGCAGGCGCTCGTTAATAGGTTGCAGTTTTTGAAGGAGCTGCGCAATGATATACTGCATAAGGAGGGGAATGCGGCGGGGACGATCCTTGATGTGGAGAGTGCGGGACAGCTGTATACGGGCTTGTTTACGAAGTTCCTGTTTCCGCCGTCGCGGTTTATGACTGTTGGGGTGGACGAGCCGCGCGGGCTGAAGGCGCAGATTAAGGCGATCACCACGGTGCTTGCGACGCCGGGGGCGTGGTTTGACTTTTGCTATGTGGACTGGCGACTGCATGCCGGGCAGCTGCTGTGGGAGTCGGCACCCCACGTGGACGGAGACTTTTTCGACTCGTCGCAGAGTGACAGGCCGTGGGTGTTCCCGTCGCTGGAGCGCAAGTGGTTCCTCATCCAGATGCTGCTGTCAGCGGAGCTGCTGCTCCGACTGGACGCGAGCGTGCGCGTGGGGTTCCTCCGTCGCAGCGGCGGTCTGACCATTTCCGCACGCGACGTGCAGAACTTCGACCAGCTGCGGACGAAGAAAGTCGACTGGGACCTGGTGGCCGCGCGGCGGTTCATGGACAGTTTTGATTTCAGCTACGGCGTTATCGAGGCTGGCGAGTTCCCGCGGAAGCAGCAGCTGCAGCAGCAGCAGCAGCAGCCTGGGGTGCGGTCGACGCAGCAAAAGGCCGCCGCGAAGCGCCGCCACCTGGCGTTCTTAGAGAGTCTGCGACACCGACCGTCGACACCGACGCCGCCGGCAACGCACCAGGATAACACCGAGTCTGCGTGGAAGTGCAACCTGATCCCAGGCCGCGTCGACCAGCAGCTGGTCGGGCTGTACGTGTTCGCCGAGATGGTCGGCTGGCCGCAGATGGACGACCTGAAGAAGCGTCTGCGGTTCAGCCTCGGCGAGGGGGAGCTCAGCCAGCAGACGCTGGACGCCTTCTGCCGACCGGTGCACAACGCCCCGCCGGAGCATATAGCGTCGACCCTCAAACCAAGCGACATGTACACGCGCACGCGATCCTACCGGCCTCTTCTCCTCCATACCCCAGGGAACGAGAGCCCCGGCTCCAGCGCCATCGGCGGCTGGGTGTCACGCACGTGGCTGTCGGGCTTCGTCCTGCCCGGCGACATGATCAGCCACGTGCTGCTGGGAACAGTGTTAGAAAACACCCCCGACGCGATGGCCAAGCTAGGCCCGCTAGCAAACCTCCACGGCGGATTCGCCTACAACGGCCGCAGCTGGTGGAGCAAGGAGTGCGTGGTCGGACGCGTGCTGGCCCCCCTCCCAGGCACCAAGCACTGCCTCGCCTGGATGGGCTGCGCCATCCTCCCGCTGAACACCAACACGGGCGACCGTCTCGACGACACCTGGCTGGAAGTCGACACGCTCGAGCCGCCCGCCATGCAGGGCACAGCGCGCATCAAAGCCGGCCAGCGGCTGTCCATCGACTCCTCGCCGTTCGGCATGGGCGGCCTCACCAGCGGGACGTTTTCGCTGCCCCAAGACCCCCCGCTGGAACAAGCCGCGCGGGTGCAGATCGACTTCGACGACCTCTCGTTCACGGACCTGCCGTCGCCGCTGCAGTCCGCCAGCGAGCACCGCGCGAGCTCCAAGCGCGCGACCATGTCGTTCAGCCTGGAGACGGAATCCGAAGACACGCACCAGTTCTCCGAGCCCCACATCGTGCAGTTCCCGCTCAAGTACAACGTGCGGTACATCACCAGCCACGAGTGTCGCACGCCCGCGGGGTTCATCTCGTACCAGGGCGAGCAGGGCCAGCAGCAGCCGCACCTACGCCATCACCGGCGACTGCCGGGCCACCCGCTGCATCGCAGCTTCTCGTACCGCACGGTGGGGCTGGATGGGCTGCCGGGCCCACACGCGCCGGGGACGTCGTTCGCGCAGAGCATTGGGCTGAGCCACGAGGAGGTGGTGGTTGTGGATGCGCGGGGGAGTCGGGAGAAAGAGACGTTCGCGCGGGCGTGGTGCGCGGCGGTCGGGTACCATGCGATTGTGGGACGGGTTGGGCGGACTTGTGTGGCGTGCTGTGTGCGCGAGGCGCGGGCGTTGTGTGTGAAGGTTGTGCTTCGGGTTGGGGAGGCGGGGAGTCGGAATCCGTCTATTGTTGGGTACTGAGGGGGTGATTGTGTATGTTGAGATGGTGTATATGTGTTGAGCATGGTATATGCGAGGATATGGGTGATTGTGTATAGGATTGAGATTGGAGGTGGATAATGGTCATCATGTTTGATACCTGTATGGTTGTGCAGAGATCATCAAAAGTTACTACATTGAACCAAGTAGTATATGTCTATCTATGCATTGTGTACTCTGCCACCTAACATCTCAACATATATTATGCTAACAGAGTGCATGTAAAATAGTACCGATGCCAACAGGAAGTTAAGAGCATCGAAAGCCGAGGCCACGTAAAACACATGGTCAGCGTCAGATCCCAAAGCAGTCAAGTGGCCGAGGTGAAACAGCCGGCGTGGAGAATTAGATTAGAATGATTTCTTGACTACTATATATAAAATGACTGTCCTGTGTGTGGTCAGATTGTCGAGTGAACTATACTATAATTAACCGTTATTAATATGGGATATGGTTCAGCCATACCGAGAGTCCCGTACTCTATCTACTACGGGGACTCCGTCTTATTCTACAGCGGATATAGAGTCCAGGTGGGGCTCGGAGAATTTGTCGGACTCGCATGCTTCATGCAGGAGGGACCGGGGTTGCATTGAGTTCAGTCCCTGCAGCTGTCATCATCTGGATATACTACGAGTACGGAGTCTACTATCTAGTATGCTGAGTCTACCGAGTATAATAGTATAATAGTATAATAGTATATAGTAAAATAGTATATAATAGTACATAGTATATAGTATATAATATAGGATATTATCCTCGAGTCAATAGGAATGAATAAAATTACCCCGACGATCCCAGCCTCCGCTTACGTAGCGAGGACCCCCGTCTGGAGACCGATCCTATTACAGCATGGAGGGACTGGGATCAGAATAAAGAAGACGAGAATGACGAATGGAGCAATCTCCACGTCGACTGAGTCGTGGCTGAATTACAAATAAATATCTTTCTCTAATATAGAGGTGTAGGGACTAAGGAGAAAATAAGGTCAGACTAGTAGCCCTGTTCCATAGGCTCCTCTTTTAATCATAAGATTCTCGTTGCGGTATTTTCTGCTTCTTCTGCTAATGGATGTTAAGATTCTCTTCGTCATTCTTCTCTTAGTAATTTTCGTTATTATATATAATATTATGCTCAATATGGTCTCCAGTGTCCAAGTCGGTGAACTTATATGCTCGCATGCCAAGAGACTAGGATGCAGATATGATCCCTAATTAAACCTTGAGTCGGCCCACCCCTTAATTTGACAGATCTGTGGCGGTGCTTCTCTCTCGATTATTTATAGATGATGAAACCATCCTCAACAATGAGTTCCATGGAAACCAAGAATTGAAATAGAAAGAGATCAAACCGAATCAAGCAAACGCGAGAGATTCGAATCAAGAGAAATGAAGAAAGAATGAATCGATGGATGGATAAATGAGGTTGGGTCGGCCAATCATCGGGATGCGGTCAAATAACTGATGACGACTCCTCTGTCCGATCTAAACCTCGATGGGTTTAGACCGGGGTCTCATCTTAGTTTTGACTCTTCTCGAACATCTTTCTCTCTTCTTTACTCGACGTCTTTCTCTGGGCAAATGCAGTCCGGACTCCACTCCCATGGTTGGCTGGTCCATTCAAATGGGAGGAATCATGATACCCATTGGAACCGACGGGGGAGGTGGAAGGGATCAGGGGTTGTCCTGTCCTTCTATTATTATCTGGACCTTTTTTTTTTCCCTCTTCTCTTCCTCTTTCCCCTTCTATCTCTGGAGTCCTGCCTATACTACCTATACTGGCATTGGATGTGTGATGGTAGAGAGTATCCTCTAGTATCTACACATACTGTATACTATCCTATAGTCTAGGTTGACAGATCGATATCAGGAGTCAATATCAGCAGATTCAGCTCTGGTCCATCGTTCAGCTGTCCACTCAGAGATCCGGTCGATGACTTGCCTCTTTCGTCCGGACCCTTATCCACTGTGGATTCTTCCTTTTCTATCGTTTCCCTCATCTCCATTTCCCTTGACCATATTGTCTTCATTTCCTTCCATCTTTGTTGGATTTCGTACCTTCTTTGTATCCTGGGTTTTTCCTAGTGTAGTCGAGATCCTATACGATCTCCGAGTGATATTCAGATACTAAGATGTCCTAAGAGTATACCGGTATCTATATATGGTTGTCCCCTGACGCCAACGTAGCTTAATTTGGTCAAAGTCAAATCCGATCCATCTAAGCCTAAGTCAATATCATTTTGCAATAGATCATGGATTATCAACCTCTCTGATTCCTCTTCTTTTCTTTTCTTCCCTCCGATTCTTTCCCCATTCCTCCCTTCCATTCTTCCATTCTATCAATCCTTCAGCCCAGTGTCATGCTGATTTCCTCCACTCCATCAGCCCTGCCCCTAATCCAATCCCAATCCTGATCCCAATTCGAACCCCCAGAATATCCTTCTAGAACACTACACTCCTAATCTAATTCTAATAACTTCTACCAATTCCCCTCGTGGGCCAGCTACTATTCTTTCCCCCCCCCACCCCTTTCCCCGTGGGCCAATTTACCCTGCACTTTCTGTGACATACTCCCTCTCATTTGATACATTCCACCCATTCCCTCCGCTTCCCTCCTCCAGTCATCGTCGACCCTCATATTACTCGAATGATACCCTATCCCCTCTCCTGATTCTTCCCTTTTCTCTCCTGGGGCTGTCTTTCGGCTCTTATTCTTTGATCACTCCCGGCTTCCTTCCTCACGACCTTCTTCCTCTCTAACCTCTGACGAAAACACCGTCCCCTGCAACTCCGGTCGTGGGTGGGTTCCGCCGACCTGCAACTAATCCGCCTGAAACATCCTAACAGCCTATCCATCGACTGCCCCTACAACCACCGGAGATTCAGGGCATTCGGTCGTTCTCGACTATCCTGCGCTGTCGCCGTCGAGAGATCCCTATCTCTCCTCCATTCCCTTTTGTTCTCTCGGTGCGATCTCCGTTCCGCCTACGTTTAGATGGTCGACCGTTGCGAACCACCCCCCTCCCTCCGCGACTCTTAGTCTCCGTCCACGACACGTCCTGACCCGCCCATCCCATCTTCCCCCCCATCCGCCGCTGGTGTGGTGCCATTGATGCGCCCTCCGTCTTGGGGTTCCGCTTCCTCGCCTTCTCCCCTGGAGCGATGCCCGCCGTTCTCGAAAGCATGACCTCCACCCCCAACTCCCAGAGCCTCGTCATGGACCCCTCCGCCGACAAGAAGCGCAATAAACTCGGGTACCATCGCACGTCGGTCGCATGTGGTGCGTCTTTTCATCTCCCTTGTCTGAGAATGTTTTGACCCGTTAGAGAGTCTCCCCGGTCACTCATGCGAAATGCAGTCCATTGCCGACGGCGGAAAATCCGATGTCTCGTCGCGGCCGGCGACGCCCAGGGTCGCTGCGAGAACTGCATCCGCCTGCGCAAGGAGTGCCAGTTCTACCCTGTCGACCAGCAGCCCCCCGTCGAGAAGAAATCGCGCCCCAACTCCCAACTCGAATCCGCCTCCACCGACCCCTCCACTGCCTCCTCCTCACCCCCGCCGGTGGGCGGCGGCGGCGACCAGCCCGACGCCTTCTTTCCCTATCCCCCCATGCCGCTGAGCTCCGGTCCCGACGGAACGACCTTCAACCCCAGCGCCTTTGCCGCCGATCCCATGGCATCCTTCGTACCAGGTTGGTGGCGCCCATCTATTGCCCCGAGCCCGAAATCCACCCGCCCAGTGACTGACCAAGAGGGAGGATCAGGCCCGCCGGTAGGGACCGCCGAATTCACCGCCGCTCCCCCGTTAGATCCCTCCGTCCCGTGGGACGAGTTCACCACCATCTCCGATCCGCAATTGCTCGCCAACATAGCCGGCGGGAAACCGGCCATGATGAACAGTATGCCTTCCGCCATGTGGAGCCCACCCCCGAACGCCATGGCCCCGGTGCCCGCCCCCTCCACCATCCCGAGCACTCCCACCGTCCCTTCCCAATCCCAAGCCCTCAGCCCGGCCTCAACGTACGCCCTCCAACCGGATGGCTCCGTCTGGCAGATGCCCCCGCGATCCATGCCGTTCGCCGCGCCGCCAGACATGTCCGCGCAGCCCTACCCCCCGAATCCGAACTCGTATCCGCCCATGCCCCCCGATCTCAAACGCCGCGTGACCAGCCCCGCGCAGTCCTTCACCGGCGGCCCCGTCCACCCGCAGAGCCCCCCACCGTCGGATCTCCCCACGGCCGCGATGTCCGTCTCCTACCCGGGTCAACCAACCGCGGTGGGATATCCCGGCTGGCCAGACGTCCACGGCATGTCATCCATGAACATGGTGCAGTACCCCATGTTTGCGGGCGATCCGTCGCAGCAACCGCCGTTCAACGGGGGACCACCCATGGGACATGGCCATCCGGGGGCGTCTCCGGGGTGATGACTAGACCGTCTGATTTGTAGACTGGCCTAGATTTTATGGCCATTTCAATGCCTCCTTTCTATTTTTCTTCTCTTTGGATGCTTTCTTCTTTTTTTCCCCCCTTTGTTGTCTTTTTTTTTTTTTTTCATTGGACACTTTAAACTTCCAGTTGTTATTAGCGGGCGCAGATGGTTTGGGTGGCATTTTATTCGCTTCTTGCACGGGAACCTACCTACCTTGTTTTTCGAATCAGTCGAAACTGCTCTAGAAAGAATATCCGTCCGGCAGACGTTCGATTCATCTTTGTCTTCACTCCGGTCTTTTTTTGCTAGATCCGTGGTCTACTTTCGGCATTGCAGTCCACTGTCCACGTCACTGGACGAGTTGAGTTCACCAGTGGCGATAGACCGATTGGGTGACCCCAGTCTACTTATATATATACACACTGGGATACCAACCTATCACCTCCCGCCTTACATTATATCCAGCCATACCCTGGTCCAACGGCGTCTGATTCTACCTACTTATCTGTCTATCTATCTACATCCTGCATGGTCTACCCTCGTCTGGCGGTTTTCACCCTGATGTTCTTCCTCCATTTACTATATCTTATGTTTCCACGTTATATGCCGTTCTGTTCCACGATCGTCTTTATTATTTTAATAGATTGGATTGGGTGGGGATATCTTCTATATATGTATTGATCTAGACTGGCTGCATGTTTGCAGATCATCATCATGATAGATGGGTGGGATGTTGGTTAGGTTGATTAGAAGAGTGAGAGGGAGTAGAAGGGTGAGGGACGGATGGGAGGGATTATATAGTCCTCGTCTACTAACTTAGATTATGATGCCATGTTGGGTTCTTACACTTGTCTACGGATCCCACCTATCTTTCTTATGTTATATAACATCATATGTGTTACACGATGGACAGTCCTAAATAACCTCGTTCTTCTCTCAGCAAAGCTAGTCCATCGTACTACTCTACCTATGTTCCACAACGTCTCACTATATGGGTATCTGTATATTATGCATATACACCGATGGATTCATATGGATGTATACAACAAAGTTAGGTACGTTAGGCAAGATAGGTAACTAAGTAGATTAGATAGGCAGTAGTGAGCTTGGGTACCTTACTTACTATCTGATATAAGCTATACGTACATACATACAGCAATAGAGCAGCGCGACATACTTTATCAGGAGTAGGAATAGCCGGTAAGAGGTGATGAGTATCTACTATCCGCGAGAGTATCCTTTCAACTAGAGATACATATGAGTACAGAGCCTACTGTTGTATCCTGCGGTTATTGATTCCATGTTCTTGGTGCAGGTGCATGGTTTGGGGGCCTTTGCGTGTTATATATTGCTGTGCCGTATCTATGTACACGTAGCTTGGTGCATATCTACCGAGTATATGTATGCACGTGTGTATGTATGCAGCGTACCGGATGTAGCGTGTGCACACCGCTATCTAGGTAACTCGCTAGACCTACCTAATTGGTTCTGTCGATGATGCTGAAGTCATGTGAGGAGAGAATCGGTTATCTCGGGGGTATGTTGTATACTACACTGTATTCTGGGACTGGTACAATGTAGGTAGTATGGAGGTAGGTTTATGGTGAGTTGGATATACGTGCCAGTTCTTCTTGGGATAGTGGTGGTTCTTGATGCGGTAGAAAGGTATAAAATTATGCGTGTTGTCTGTATATCTCGATCTGTATATAGTATTTTAACGTTGACTTTTACTTGTAACAGTAAGAGTAGAACAGTTAGTAGTAGTCGGACGGAACAATAGAAGCCCAGCAGGAGTAGTGACAGCTGTAAGCCAGAGTAACCAATAACCACCCCCCAAGCTATCTACCACCTAGTCCACTCAACCTTAAGCTGGACAACTATCACCCAGGTTTTCCAAACACCTCATTCCGATACCTCTCGCAAATGAAACAGATTCTGTTTTTCCGCGGCGTGACCCCTCTCATCAGTATATCAACTCATCTACAGCACTACCTACCTATCTACCCAGCCAATTTCCTCCATCACCCTTATCATCCCCCAAAGATAAACCACCATTGATGGGTGACAGGGTCTCCCATCCTGCACTGACGTGACCGGCATGACGTGTGTCTTCCCGTCTTCTTATCTGAAGCTGTGCGGTTATCATTGTTGCCTGCCCGATCTTGACCGACTGTTGTTAGCAGTACATAATGCTTCTTTTCCCCTGTGCTTGCTGTTTGTTTTGGTGACTGATATTTGATACTTTTGGTGACTGCTTTGGATCTGGTCAGTTACTGTTATTGTTTCTTATCGTTTATCTTTTCTGCCTTTCTTTATATATTATACATATATATACCCCGAGGTATATGAAGGAAGTGGGTACCACCATATCCAGCCTGTATCCCCCGACACCACCACCACCACCACCACACAATCTGACCAGGTCTAGATCAGCCCACGCAGCTCACTACTTCTTCGAACCTTTCCTACCACTCTGATATGGAAAACAGCGGGTACCATCCTTTTAAAGCCACGCCGCATGCACGCCTCGCGGCCCGGTGCTCGGTTCCCCCCGGCTACTACTAATTGCTAGTCAATTGCATTTCCATCCGATCCGCCGCACCCGCATACAATTCTTGGCTGCTACATTACCACCAAGGGGGACAATCCACAAGCAAAATCAAAAAGAAAAAAACACACTAAAAGTTAACGAAATAAGAAAAACAAATGAAAGCATAAGGAAAAAGAGAAAAAGGTGGGATGATCGCTGCATCCAACCAAAATGGTCATGATTACTTTCCGTCCGACTTGATATTGCACGATGATCGCAAACACGGGCCCCCGTTCGATATTGCCAGCCAGCCAATACTCCGGACGGCACAGCCCGTTTTGAACCCCTGCTCGATGCATCTTGAAACCCTACTTTTCGCCCCAGATGGGATGGGATGGGTCTCAATCGTCCGATACAGAAGAAGGCTGTCGCCAGCTGGCTCGATTCCTGACATCATCGTCACTAACTACCACCGGGACGATCACCAGACTGCTCCGCGTCGAACTAGCGTGGCTCCTTCAGTGGGACGACGACGGCCACTGGTCTTTTTTTTCTCCAGATATCCACTGCATGGGCCGCCTTTGTCCAGCGATGACTACGTCAGTCGCCGGGATCTTCCAGGGCGTTGTTATTGTTGTCCTGATCTTCACGATGGCGAAGGTGTCAGATAGTGGTCGATACTCGGGACCGACCCTGACTACTCCGTATTCATATTCAATATGGAGCATTGGAGTTAGCTCCAGAACGGTGTAGTGGCTCCACCGGATGCGACAGCGACAATTCCGGGTCCAAACGGAACCGAGGCACCCTGGTGTTTTACTATCGCTATTTATTTATTGTGCGAGCAATACGAAAGATCGATGGATTATCTATCGTCATTGGTATGGCCCCGTTGTGACGTCGGTTAAGTATTGTTTGCTTATGACGATTTTATTAATTGATCTTACTGAACATGAATGTTGATTTGATTCGAGCAGTGGCCGTTGCGTTGCGCTAGGAATTGGAGCGGTTTGGTGGGCCGATGAGGCGTCGCCACTCAATTCAATTCCCCTCCTTCTCTCGCTTCTGGATTACCCTTGTGGGCGGAGTGCAGTTTGCTGCCATGAATCGAGTTTACGATTCAACCCGACTGACAGGGTTTGAATCATTTATCTTTCTTTTCATTCTTTCTTTTACATTATTTTTTTTTTGTTTATGTGGTGGTGGAGGTACTTTGGTACTTCCGTCTTAGGAACGATGTGCAAATCGTGGGGATTTTCCGTTTCCAATTCCCCTGACAACATGATTATCGCTATCATTGATGACCACGGCTAATTACATTCTTATCAGCTTATCTAAAGGGTTTATCTGGGATTGTCGTTTACCCACGAATATCAATCCACAGTTGCTGCTGTTAGCCTGTTAGCCTGTTAGTGGCGGTGGGCCCCCTCGTGGTCCATCCTCGATATTATCCTTATCCTCTGTGGGGCTGGCTGGCTGGCTTCAGCTGGCAAACCCTTCGAGAGGCTCGAATAGCTGTCTCGAAAATAGCTGACCACCGGGTACTAACACCCATAGCTGTCCTGTGCTTGGAGCTGTGCCAGAGCTGTACTAAAGCTGTGCTCAGAGCTGGCGCTAGACAATGCTTCGTTGCGAGTCGCACTTTGATCCCCTCATGGTTAGCCCTGCCAATGGATTGGCGTTGGACCCTCCAGCTTGGCGGTTTTCATAATTGCCGGTTGCCTGTTGCCTGTCGCCACGCCCGGGGACAATCCCTCCGGCTTCGATGATCCCTCCCTGATTATTTGTCGCTTCTCACAGCCTCATCAACACAAGTAAATAGGACCGACCGGGAAGGAAGAGCAGAAAGTGCGTGGACAAGACATGTGGAAGATCCTTTCGCCCAAAAAACCCGGAAAGGAATGCTGATCAAGCAATGATGATGACGGCGGTGACTGATCCATCGCCTTTGACCAGCAGCCTGACCAGCGTCCACCAAAATAACAGCAGAGCAAGCAGCAAAAAGCACCCACTACTACCATTTTTAGGTTAGGGCCCTGCGATGGACAACCTCCCGGTTAGATGACAGAGCCCCGCAAGACCATCCAAAGTGGGGCTCGAATCAATCTGAATCTTTGAGCTTTACCGGGAGGGGAAGGTTTAGTAGGTACCTACATGGGCTGGTAGTTTCCTAGGAAATGCCATGACCGTCGTTACCGTATGAAGGTAAATTACCAGGTCTGTACGTCTATCGGGTAAGATAGGAACGGAGAGTGGTATAGCTTGGGAGCCCTCTGGGGCCAGCGCATCCTTCTCTTCTTCTTTTCCGGCTTCCTTTCCACTTTTACTTCCTTTTGGTCTACTTTCCCGTCCATTTCGGAGCTGGGATCGGAGATGGGATTTGTTTTCCGACCTATTCATTACTACCGGTGAATAGCCAAAGGAGCAGGCCAGCCAGATGCACCGTTCCGCTGTATACCACCTCAGTAGTAAGGCACCTGGTCAACTAGGACCCCCGAACCAACAAAACCCACCAAAACCGTTCATCTCGTCCGCCCCGCCCCTAGTGATTTTTCCACCATCCTCTATCTTTCTCTTTCCTTTCCTCCTAGATCCGGAGTCCACACCTTTTCACCGGTGACTGGATATATACTCTCCGATGAACGGAGGAAATCACTGTTACCTGGAAACAGTTCAACCCTGACCCAATTTTTGGTTCAGTGAAATTTTAACTTTCCCTTTCCCTGTTTCTTTCTTTCTGTTTGTTCGATTCTGTTTCTTTTTTGGTACTTTATTTAAGCTTGGCAGTTGATCATTCACTTACTTAGTAATTCGATTCTTTTTATATGTTCTGGCATATTCTTATTTATCCTTAATTTTTCTTATTTATTCTTAGATATCCTTAATGTCAATCAGTCCCACCAATCTCGAATACGTTAAAAGTTAAAAAAAAAAAAAACCCTGACCATAAAGTACGATAAAGTAAGCTATTTAGGCTATCGCTAGTTCACCTCCCACCTACTCTAGTACGTACTTTAGTTCTCCTCCTCATCCTCCTCCTTCCACTACCGAGTCCTACTAGCCTAAAGTCCTAGTGTAGAACATTGTCTCTCGGGTATAGTAGTCCCGTATAGTCCACGGAGAACGGCCCCGAGTCCGCCCAGTGCTGAAAAGTCGGGTTTGTTAGCTCAGCTGGGTCGTCTGCATGAAATGAGTTGGGCGGTTTTGGTTTTGACCCAGACCCACCGTGGGGATTTATCTTACTTTTTCGACTGTTTTTACTGGTGTAGGCTTGTGATAAAGCTTGTGTTGTGTTGGATTGGATCAGAGACACGGTGCCTGTCATATCTTGTCAGTGTTGGAGTCTGTTTGGGTGAGGTGGAATGTGATAGTGGAATGTTTTTTTGTTCATTTTTAGGCATGGTTATGGGGACAAGCTTTATGGCTGTGCTGGTGGAGGATGGATACGGATGGTAATTATCTTCTCTTCTTGTTTTGTCTCTTTTGATATATTGAATTGTTGGGTTGTTTATTGCTGCGATGACGTACCCTAACTAGGCACTTAGGTAGTACAGTGGCTGTTATAGGGTCTCCTGCATATGTCGGTATACATAGTATCCTCCATGCTGGAAGAGACATCAACGTGGACAAGTGCAAAGCATCCCCATAGTACGGAGTACCTTACCAGGTAGTAATAAACTAAAGTAAACCATGGCCAAAACGATCGAGCCCCGATCATTGGATGATCGAACTCGACCAAGATGCACCGCATCGTTTAGGTTCCTTGAACCCAGGTAGGTATAAACCCATTTCCAGACTCCGTGTTGATTATTTATTATTAACTATTTATTTGTTTATTTACATTGTATACGAGGTTGGATGAAGTGGGGATATGATTTTTATTTTTAATCTAGTGATCGGGATTGTTGGGTTGTTAATCTGGTCTGCATCTGTAGCCAGTAGGTATGAAAGAAGGAAGGAGGAGATGATAGTATGACCATGGTCATGATATAATGGATTGATTAATAGATAGATGGGGAGGGTCGACTACTGCAGCCCAGATATTGTGGGTCCGGCGTGCAAGCGGCCGATTCCGCTGTCTTGCCACCGGTATGGGTATTACGGTGTATGGTATTGTATGTTTATATGGAGAATGAAACCAGATCAGATGGATGATGATGATATGTGGATGATGATATAAAGATGAATACAATGTGAAATAAATATCCATAAATTTAAACGGATTCAAAGCGACATGAATCAAGGCTGATGAATAGTTGTATAAGTACAAAGTATCATTAGTATATCCAGATACTGAGTCTGATTTTCTGGTTCCCGCTGTTCCCATCAGAATTGGACGGTGTAAAGTACGGACCAGTAATACCGCGTTCGTCTCTCCTCCACTGCATCCTCCATCCAGCATAACATTTCTTATTCTCTTCTTCCCGTCACTTTCTCTCTCTCCCTCTCTCTCTCCTTCTCTGTCTCTTTCTCTCTTTTCTTCTTTCTTCCTCCCGTCTCTCTCATTTACATCGATTCAGTTGAATCTCGATATCTCCTGTCAAATCCCTCGTGACATCCATTGCATCGTCCTGGCTGTGACCATGTGCGCCTGGAGGGTCTAGCCCCTCCAGTCCATTGAATTTTTAACCTCTGAGTCACGGTCAATCAGACAGAAAAGGAATCAAGAAAGAAAGAAAGAAAATCAAAGCTCGTTAAATTGTTTTCCTAATTTTATTTACAATCAGGAAAGATTAAAGGAGAAGAAAGAAAAGCAAAGAGGGATACATCATTGTTCCCATTCCAATCCGGTGCACGGGATCGGCTGCGTCGTATACTCTTCTATTGCTACTCCAACTTACCTCCTGCACTTCTACACGCGACTCTCCATCTGCATCAATCCCTCATCAGATTGATTGGTTTTTCGCCATCAACCTCATCATCAATCCTCTCCAGGTACTGACTATCCTTTCCTCCCCTTCCTCCCCATCGATCCATCATATCATCAAGGATCCATGGATCTCATTCCCTCCACCAGTAATCAATACTAACCTCCAGCCTGGCGAAACTTTAGGCCCTGCTAGCCTCCTGCACCCTCGGCCACCTGCAAGACTAATTATAATTAACTATCCGACCCTGGACCGTCCTTCGTTTACGGCGGTAGTCTGGAATTTCTTCCTCTTCCATTCCCCATTTCTGCTCCATTTGGGCCCTTGCTTGCGCTGGTCATCGCGGCCAATCGTGCGCCCCCAATTATTTCCCCTCTCTGGTGCTGCCTCGTTCTTCACCCATCTCGGACCCTCTCTCTCTCCCTCTCTCTTTTTCCCTCTCCTCTCCCACTTCCTCTCCCTTTGATTTAACTTTCTATTTGATTTTTTATTTTTTTTTTATTTCGTTAGTTTATTTTTTTGTTTTTTTCTTATTTTTTTTGGTGCCGGAAATTGGTGGTTCCCTCCCATTGACCGCTAGCTTCTCTGCAACCACCCCTCCCAATTCCGGCTTATCGTGCGTTTCTCTGCCCTTCCTCCTATCACTCCTGTCCAACGCGCCTTATCGTCATCTCTACCACACCCACCTCATCCCCCTTCCTCCCCCCCCCCCGATCTTCGTCGACCTCCAATCAGAGAGGTTCGCACGATCATGTCCGGGTTGACCCTCGGACAAGGTTTAGGGGGCGTGCGACCGACTCAAACCGCGGCATACCCCGACGCTGGCCGCGCTGGCTATCGCGATCCTGCCTCACAACTCTCCGATGATTTCTCCTTCGACTCCCCCATCAGCCCCCCGGACTCCGCCCGTCTCCAAGACGGCTTGCTCCAGGATTCCTTATTTCCCGAGTGGAATTCCGGTACGCCACGAGGCTCCGTCGACAGCCCCGATGAACAGCAGAAACGAGATCCTTTGGCCACCCAGATATGGAAACTATATTCTAGAACCAAGTCGCAGCTCCCTAACCAGGAACGCATGGAGAACCTGACCTGGCGCATGATGGCTGTGAGTTTGAAGCGACAAGAACTGGAACGACGGCAGCAGTTCAGGTATGTCTCCTTCCTCTGGCGGAAACACGGCCGCTGGTGTGGTTCGCCACACCGCGTATGACCCCATCATCTCCCTTGCTTCGTGACTCACCATTGGATGGAGTAGACCGCCCGTGAGGAGTCTAAGCACCTCTGGCCCCAGTGGTATCGCCCAACTGCGTCTCTCCGACCAAGACCCGACCGCCGCGGCCGCCCCCGAACACCCGACTGATCCCATGAGCCTCGACGACTTCATCGTACCCTTCGAATCCCCCTCCGATCAGGTGTCTCCGGCCAACACCCGCGCCGAGATGGCCGGCGCCATCCCGATCAAGTCCCGCCGGGAGCAGATGGGTGGATCGGCCACACCCGTGCCGGCGTCCCTCCCCCAACCCGCCCACGACCCGCGGAAGAACAGCGAGTTTGGCTACGTCCCGCGGCGCGTGCGGAAGACCTCCATCGACGAGCGTCAGTTCTACGGTCTGCAGGTGCCCACCCGCAAGCGACCCGCCGAGTCCTCGCCCCAGGTGCCGCCGGTGTCCAACGCCATGCTGGCCCACGATCCGGATCTGTCCGCCGGGGTGCCCGACTACGCCCTCGATGCGTCGTCCTCGGGCTTCGCCCTCCATCATCCGACCCACCCCAGCCATCACCCCTCGCCGGGTGTGCCGTTCGGCCTCGACACCTTCAACCTGGGCGAGGATCCGATCCTGTCATCCGCCGGTCCCTATGCCGCCCAGTTCACCTTCTCTCCGAGCGAGTCGCCGATGAACTCGGGCAACGCGTTTGGCAACTTTTATGCCAACACCCCGCTGGCCTCTTCGCTGAACTCCACCGAATTCTTCTCGCCACCCGCGTCCGGCTACCAGTCGACGGCATCGACCCCGCAACCGGCCTACGATGGTGAGCAGAACATGTACTTTGACATGCCCTTGGAGTCGCGGTCCCACCACCATCAGCAGCAGCCGCAGCAGCAGCGCCGCATCCCCCCATACATTGCCCAGCGCTCCAACCTCTCCGCGTCCCTGCAGCCGCGCTACGTGTTCAACCAGAGCACCCCCGAGCAAACCCACCATTCCCCCAGCTACCCGATCCCGCAGCCCCAGCACGTCGATCCGACCCACGTGCTGAACCCCACCGATTTCACGCCCGGCTCCCACGCCGCTATGTTCTCCTTCGGGGGCGAGTCGGACAACGAAGACGACGATCCCGGCGTCGGGCGGGCCGGTCTCGCGATGCCGACGGATTTCGGCGACGACTCCGAGATCGCCGCGGGGATGCAGTGGGATACGCAGTTTCCCGCCTCCTTCCACTCGCTCCCGGGCTTCGGACAGCATCGCAAGCACGTGACGATTGGGTCCGCTGACATGATGGACACCCCCGCGGACTGGAATCCGGGTGGCAGCCTGGGCCGCACGCACGGCTCGGCCGCGTCGGTCAGCGAGGTGCGGAACCGTGAGCAGGATCCGCGACGGCCGAAGATCGCCCGCACCTCGTCCACGCCCAACGCGGCCCAGCTCCTGCGACAGAGCATGGCCGCCGGCTCGTCCCACACGTCGCCCAACACCCCGCCCGAGTCGGGGCTCAGCAGCGCGGCCCCGTCCCGACCCGCTAGCCCCGGCGGCCCGAGGAGCGGCGGTGGTGAGCCGGGCGGCAACGGACCGACGACGTGCACCAACTGCTTCACGCAGACAACGCCGCTGTGGCGCCGCAACCCAGAAGGACAGCCGCTGTGTAACGCCTGCGGGCTGTTCCTCAAGCTGCACGGGGTCGTGCGGCCGCTCTCACTGAAGACGGACGTGATCAAGAAACGGAACCGCAGCAGCGCCAACGCCATCGCTGTGGGCACCTCGCGGTCCTCCAAGAAGTCGTCCCGCAAGAACTCGGTGCCGCAGGCAGCCGCGCCGTCGGCCTTGTCGAGCCGGGCTCAGAGCGCCACGACGTCGGAATCGCCGCCGGCGGGGTCTTCGGGCCCGGCCGGACGCGCCCCCGGGGTGGTCCCCATCGCGGCGGCGCCTCCCAAGGCCACTCCGGTGACAAGCACTCCCACCACTACCTCCACTAGCACCACCGGCACGATTGCGTCTGCCGGAGGCCCACCGCCGAGCCAAGCCAGTCAGGCGCGGGCCGCCATGTCGGTGGCTCCCAAACGCCCGCGGCGGCTGGAGAAGGCCACCGACGAGACGGAAGACCCCAGCAAGGCCGGCCCATCGGGGCGGTCCAAGGTGGTGCCTCTGGCGCCGGCTATGCCCCCGGCGGCGGTGAACCCGGCAAACCACAGCATTGCGGGTGGTCAGGGTGCGAGTCAGGAGTGGGAGTGGCTCACCATGAGTCTCTAATCTTTTCCTTCTTTTCTTTTCCCTTTTCTACCCGTTTCCATTTTCTTTTCTTCACTTCCATCCCTTCGCATGTTTCTGTTGACGCACGCCACGAAACGATAGACCCTTTGATGACCACCGCAGGAGGAGTTCTCGCTAGACGAGCCGGAGTTTGGATTGCCCGTGGATCTATTTCTCGGGGTTTCAGAGAAGCGAAGCCTTGTTCATGATGGGTTGGCCAACATACACGATTGATGTTTTTCTTTTCTTCTTTTCACTTACACCTTGATGTTCATTCCATGCGACAGCTATTCTTACTGCACGACCCGATCTCGATGTCTCAGCCGTCGACATTTTCCCTGCGGGCTTCTCGCCGCAGTCTTCATTGTCATCTGGCGGTCTCCTCTTTCTTTCTTTTCCCTCTTCCCACCCTTTCGGTGCGTTTCTTGATTGCTGATTACTGTTCGATACAACCGCGTCTGTCCCGGTCCCGACTCTGTTTTGCTTTTGTGTGACCTTTGAGAATCCTGCGATTTCGGAGCTGGGTGTTTTGTTCTGTGTTTTGTTTTGGGTCAGGGATACCGGGCAGAAGTGCGCATGTTTGTTTCTTTTCTTATTTCTCGATCACTAGGCAGGATGAATAGACGGATTGCTTTTCCGAGGTTTTGTTTTGATATAGATTTGGGGGTGGTTGTAGGGTTGGGGATGAGTAGTCGTAGATCTGTTTTGATTCTTTCGTTGGTCGTTGACTAGGATAATTCCCTTGGACTTTACACTATTTGCTTTCAAGTTGATTTTCGGATTGTTTCCTATCTAGAGCACTTTGAAAACTTGTGTATAAACCTGGTAGAATTGAGTAACAGCCGATGCAGTGGTCTCCGAACCAGCCCTAAATTGGAATCACAACTATGGCTCTACCGGGACAAGTACCTTGACAAGATGACGATGTGTACTAGGCAAGCATGCGTGTTGTCTTAACCATTCCACCCAAGGCACCAATCGGCGCGTGGTAGGGTCTTGACATCCAACATACAGCTGGTCGGGATGGTTGCCTGCCGGATCGCCCACGAATGGCCCAATGATCGTGACCTCAAGGCTGTGACGGACGGACGATCATCAGCCTCATACCCCGCACGAGTGGCGAAGCACCAGGCGCGTCCGTTCGATCGTGAGTCAGACAGGAACGGGGTAAACCTTTTGTTTCGATGAGACATAACATGATTGGATCAGGCTGCTAGCCACGTCAGGAATCGAGCTCCCAAGGCACCTATCCTCAGGAGTGACAGAGAGCCGCATGTAAACCGCGGGCTTATTTGGCTGCTCGTCCGCTCGTCAACTGACTATCTGCGCTTGTCTTTTCCACACCTCATCTTGAACCTCACTTTCGTCTTTCATCTGTTCGATCGATTGATTTACATCCGCTCATGGCCTTAACAACCCTCCCCAACGAGCTACTCCTCGCCATAACGAGTAACCTCACCGACGAGTCCGACCTAAACGCCCTAGTCCAGACCAGCCGCCGCCTCTACGAGACCCTCGACGAGGAACTCTACCGTTTAAATGTAGAAGACGGCAACAGCGGCGCCCTTCTCTGGGCTTCGCTCCACGGCCACGAGGCCAGCGTGCGCAAACTTCTTCGTCTCAAAGCCGACGTGAACGCCTGCACCAATATGCGCGGGACGACACTGCCTGCAGCCATCTCCGTCGAGAATGCCTCCATCGTCACACGAAACCTCCAGCAGGAGATCACCAAGGGTCGCGCACGTCTCATCGCTTCGCCGCTCCTCTACGCTGCCGCGATGAACCACACGGCTATCATGCGCTTGCTCATTGACGCCGGCGCGGAGGTCCACCGGCGACATGGCTGCCACCGTATCCCCATCATGGCTGCCGCTGACCAGGGCCGCGTCGATGCCCTGGAGATGCTCCTCGATGCGGGTGCTGATGTCGAGGCTCACGGTGCGAACTGCAATACTCCGCTTAGTCTGGCTGCGTCAAAGGGCCACCTCGCTGTTGTGAAGACCCTCCTCGCCCGCGGTGCCAACATCGACACTGCCCGCCGCGGCCGCACGCCCTTGATGCGCGCCGCGCAGATCGGCCACTACGATACCGTGCGCGCGCTTCTCGACGCCGGCGCCGATTTCGCCCCGCACGACCACAGCGAACGCACGGCCCTGATGGCCGCCGCCCAATCCGGCCACTACGACACCGTGTGCGCGCTCCTCGACGCCGGCGCCGACCCCACCGAGAAGGACTTCACTAACCGCACGGCCATCACCTTGGCCATGGACGGCGACCACGACAACATCGTCGCCCTCCTGCTCGACCGCGGCACCACAGACCTCGAGGCCACCGTCTCCAACCGCTTCACCCTACTGGGCTGGGCCGCCAACGCCGTGGCGCCCCGCTGCGCCGCCCTGCTCCTCGACCGCGGCGCCGACCTCACCGGCCCCTCACCACCACCTCTCTGGCACGCCGTGACAGGCCGCAACCGACCCAGCACCGACGACGACGAGACCCGCGCCATCGCCACCATCAAGCTCCTACTCGCCCGCGGCGCCCGCGCCGACATCGTCCACAACCTCCCAGGCTGCCCGCGACCCCTGCTCGTCGCCGCCGTGCTCCAACGCCGCATCCCCGAGGCAGTCGTCTTACTCGAGGACGGCGGGGCGGACCCCAACTCCCCCAGCGGGAACGGCACCACCGCGCTGTTCGCAGCCGTATACAAAGGCAAAGCCTCAACGGTCGACATCCTCCTGCAACACGGCGCCGACCCGAACCAGCCGCGCACACCGCGAGGCAAGACGCCCCTGACCCAGGCGTTGCACGCAGCCGACACGCCGATCGTGCGGCGTCTCCTCGAAAGCGGCGCCACCTCGCGCCCGGCAAACCTCCGCACGGCCCTGCGCGGAGCGGCCCTATCGTGGGGCTCAACCGAGGGGGAGACCTTCGAGATTGCCCGCCTGCTGATCGACCACGGCGCAGACCCAACGCGAGACCTCTACGACGGCGGCAGCCGGCTCCTCCTCGCGGTAGCAGCCAAGGGCGACGCTGACTTCCTGTCCGCGTTGCTCGCGCGCTGGCCGCTCGACGTCAACTGCAGCACCCGCAACGGCAGAACGCCGCTGTTTTTCGCGGTCATGCAGGGGAATCTCGAGATGGCGCGCTTGCTGCTTGCGCGTGGTGCGGACCCCAATCGTGTCAAGGACGGACAGTCGCTGGTGCGGTGGGCGAAGGAGCGCGATGGTGCTGATGGTGCGTCCTTGGTGCAGTTGTTGGTGGAGCATGGGGGGCGGTGCGACGGGCTTGGAGGATTGGACCAGGTCGAGCTGATGATTGAGGCGCAGGAGTCGATCTTGTCGGGAATGGCCGAGATGGGGTTGTAGCTGTTTCTTAGGGGGTGATGTTGATTATTAGTGTGATGACTGTTATGAGCGATACCACAGACTGTTTGATAGAGCGAAGAAGCTTTTTCTAATTATAACGGAGTGTTTACGGAGTATGTTGATGTATGATTGATAGAAGCTTATCCCAGACATAGTTATGCAGGGATTACTCACCCGAGTAACGTGCCGACCCATCACCCCCAACCCCAAAAGAGCATAGTGTCCACACCGCTCGAGACCAGATCTTCCCGCGTCTTTTCTCTTCTCTTCCAACGTGTCTCACTTTCTCTCCGTCGTGCGTTCTCCTGAAGAAGTGGCGACCTACGTGCAGAGATTTCAAGTGCTTCGTCTACGGCTTAACTGCCAGTCTACCTCGTGGGGGTCTCGCGCTGATAGCCTCAACCACCCTGTCATTCAACCTGACATTCAAATCTGAGCCTGAACCCCACACCGCTGGAAGAAGGAGGAGGAACTCGAGAGGAACAGTCAACAGCTGGAAGGGGAATGTAATGTGGGGATCCCGTCATGACCACGTTCGACACCCGGGCCTGACCTCTTCGTTCGACAATATCAACGAGAACACCGATCACGAGAACACCGATCACGAGAATAACCCCAGCAGCGACAGAAATAGCGACGGCGACACGATCCAAATGATGGACTCGCCCACGCGGCGCTCCTCGTTCCCGTCATCGTGGCAAAAATCGACGACGATATTCAAAATGCCCCGACTAGGCATCGACCTCGCGGCGTCCATCCTCGCTGGAACGCTGCTCGTCAACCTGCTCCTAGCGACAATCGCGCTCCTATCCTACGCCCGCTTCCACAGTAAGGGGTCGGGCGGAGCGACGGTGTATGTGGGCTCGTGTGGTGCTGTTGAGGGCTGGAACTCCGCGCTGCATTTGCTGGGGAATGCGTTGGCGAGTCTTGCGGTCGCGGCCTGTGTGTATGCGTTGCAGTGGGTGACTGCGCCGTCGCGGGCGGAGATCGATCGCGCGCATGTGAGGAGGTGTTGGAGGGTGATTGGGAGTTTGGGGTGGAGGAATTTGGGGAGGTTGTCGAGGAGGAGGTGGTTGTTGGTTTTGGGGGTTGTGAGTGCCGCGGTGCCGTTTCATATGATGTGAGTTTGCCTTTTTTGTTTTTTGTTTCCCCCCCGTGAGCTTTTGTGTTGGGTGTGGTTTGATGGGTTGGATTTGGGCTAATTGGTTAGGGTCAATTCCGCGGTGTACTCGTCTAAAACGCTGAAGCAGTTTGATGCGTTTGTGGCTAGTGCCCATGCTGAAGTGAATGAGCAGTTGGTGGATTCGATGGGTCCTGATCGGTGTTTGGGGAGACTGCTTGGGTGGAATAAGGCTGGATTTAATGCGGCGTTGAAGAACGGCCAGTTTGAGCGTCTAGACGCTGAGACGTGTCGACGGCAGTTTGAGAACCCGCTGTCGGATTGCAAGTTCTGCGGTGCTGGTCAGGGGACTATGGTGCTTCTCTCCAGCGAGCTGAAGAACAGCTCTCTCTTCTATGCGTCGGGAGAGTCACTGCCAGACACGGGCTCCTGGATGGCGGACCTCGTCCCGTTGCAGATTCCCGAGTGGAATGTCACCGTCCCCATCCGCAACGGGACCTTCACCATGAACCCGCACCTGCTCAACGGGATTCCCATGGATGTGGACGTGGAGATGCGAAAGGACTTGGCGACTATGTATGACTTTCTTTTGAACAACTACACCGAGTCGGTGGTGCCGTACACCGGGCTGGAGCGGTTCCAGAAGTTCCTCCGCGAGGCCCACTGGAACAATGCCACCTGGGCGCAGCGCGCCGTCATCCAGCAGCAGGGACTGGTCTGCACGCCCGAAAAGGCCTTCGACACGCTCACCACTCCGTACTTGCTGAACAGCCCGCAGTACAAGGTCGACGGGTGTCTGAACCAGAAGATCACGGAAGACTGCGAACTGACGATCCTGCCGGCGGGCCTGCTTCTGGTCCTCGCGTTCAGTGTGATCCAGGTGGCGTGCGTGTTCCTGATCGCGCGCCATGACAAACCCGGCGCGCTGCTCACGGTCGGCGATGCGATCGCGTCGTTCATGGCGAACCCGGATCCGTCCACGACGGGCCAGTGCATGATGTCCAAGTCGACGGTGGGACGGGCCTGGGAAGCCCCGTGGCTGCCGTGGCTATTCCGCCAGCGGGCTCCGCCGAGGCGTGACCCTACGGTCAGCTATCCGGAAGCGCTGCCACAGGGACAACGGTGGTTCCAAGCGGCCAGCTTATACCAATGGGGAGTGGCAGTTCTCCTGTAAGTTTTTTTTTTTCCGGTTTTCCAGCCCGAATATCGTCCAACAACTAACAATCTCAGTGCACTTGCCTACCTTGGACTCCTGGGTTTTGTCCTCATCGGATATCTCCCCCGCCATGCCTCATTCTGGGAGCTGAGCGGAAAGAAAGCTCTCGCATCCAACACGCCCCATCTCGCTCTCTCCCTCCTATACTTCTTCTACGACGATCTCTTCACCTGCATGGCCATCGTCGACGAATACAGCCAATACGCGCTCCAACGAATGCCGCTACGCGTATCCCACCCACGAGGCATCCAGCGCTCCACATACTACCTCAGCCTGCCCTACAAATACGCAGTCCCCCTCCTCCTAATGACAACCGTCCTCCACTGGACACTCTCCAAAACCTTCTTCTTCACCCAATTCATAATCTACGACAAGTTCGGCGACGTGCGTGTCGACAGCCCCATCAGCACGTTCGTGTTCGCCGGACGCCCTGCCATCCTAACTTTGGTCCTATCCCTCGTGACTGTCTGTCTGGCTCTCGGCCTCGGCGCCCGCCGCCTCCCCATCTCGATCCCCTTGGCGAGCAATTGCAGCGCCGCCATCAGCGCCGCGTGCCATCCCCCGCGCGGCGACCCCGACGCGGCCCTACGGCCGGTCATGTGGGGCGAGTTTGACGAGCCTGCTTCGGACCTCGATGTCGAGAATGACCCGGTGGCAGCGGACGACCGCGACTGGGATGGAAAGGCTGGGTATGCGCGGTGCGGCTTTTCATCTGCGGAGGTGGCCACCCCGAGTGGCATTCGGTTGTATGCTTGATGTATATTATTATTATTCTTCTTCTTTTAATGGTTTATATTTATTGATACTCATCCTAATGCTATCGCTATTTTATGAATGTTGACCGGATTGATTTTACAAATACTTATCAGTGCTTATATAACCAACGTACAGATAAGTAAAGAATGACACCTCGGGCATATATGTCTCGTGACATCCTACCGGATCGGATCGTCCGGTGGGTCTCCACCGCCTGCTTGTTTGAGCATACTGCCGCAAAGCCCTAGATCGTCTTCATCTTCCAGCTCACGTCGCGTCATCTCCACTTCAATTGTCTTGCTGTATATCATCTGTCTGATTGGCACTACTCTCTACTCACTGATACTCCGCCCCGTCAACTCAAAACGCCAATTGGTCAGCTACACCAGAGAAAACCGACACAATGGACCTCTCCAACACGTCCACGACGAGTACCCTCCGCACGCGCACCCTCGACGACTTCCTCGCCGACGACGATGGCGACCAGTCCTACCCTCACAACCCAGCCACAACCACTACAGCCACCACGGCCTTCCAAAACGAAGTACCAACCGAAAAACGCACCCGCACCCACCCCACAACCAAACCCCCCACGAAAGACTGGATGGTCGTCCAAGGCAACACGCACTACGCCCGCGACTACACGACCTTCCTCCCCGAAACCTACCGTCCGACCTCCCAAACCCTCTCCAACAACATCTTCGACCCGAGCTCAGAACTCCACGTCGCCGGACTCGGCACCGTGCGCGTCCCCGTCCAAACCGGGCCTGCACCAACCGATACTAACGTCCTCGAACTCCATGACGTGCTGCATATCCCGGACGCCGTGTGTAATGGGTTTAATCCGCTGCTGTATGGGAGTAGCATGTCTTGTTATGAGGGGTTTTGGGAGGGGAGGGTTCCCGGGGGCGGGGACAGGCCGGAGTGGGTGGCGAGGGGGTTTGCGGGGGGCGCGAGGCTCGTTTTGGTGGGTGGGGGGGAGGAGGACGGGGTTGGGAGTGAGATTATTGATAGTGTTGGGGGAGGGAAGGGGGGGTTGAGTTTGTATGTTTCGAGGGAGGAGATGGGGGGAATTAGGGGGAATATGGGTGGGTTTTCTTGATTTTTTGGATTCTTTCCTGTATATTTTTGAGATTTCTTTGGGATTGGGTTGGTTGTTTTGGATTGGTTGGTTTTCTGGTTGGCTTGATGGTCTCTGGTGGTGTACTGGTTGGAGGTATTTAGGCTGGTTGGGTTGGATGGTTGGATGGATGGATGGATGGTTGGCTGGGCTAGTCAGCTGGATGGTGTTCTATTGTACTAATACTGATACTAACTAGGATAGAGAATACTTCTCCTACAGACGGAGTTCCTCTCATGTCTAGACCCCTAGCGCAAATAAGTCGAGAAATCCCACCAATCTACACCAGCTGGGTTGCGGGGTCTAGGGCCGTTTCTCCTCCACTCTACTGCCATTGGTGCACTGGAACAATCTTATTATCCTGATCTATATTGCCATCCTTTATAAGGACGCACTCGGATGCGCGGGCCGCATGTCTCTCCTGTCAGCCTGGATTTCAGAATATCAACATGTAGTGACAATAGTGATTCCACCATGCAGCCACACAACCCTTTTTTGCCGTCTGAGCGCTCTGCTCCAATGCAAGCCAATACGAGCAAAAGGATCATGTCCAACCCACGCGTTCAAACCATACACATGAGAGAAAAGTCCATCCCAATCGAGACGCCACAAACACTACCTTACCGAGATGAGCTTCCCTATCCAGTACGGACCTCATTTCCCTCGACAGGGATGTTTCCAGGATGTTCAACACCAGGGATTTTCCTCCAGGGATTTCCATTTCTTTCGAACTTCGCCGTTCAGCCTGATGGCTAAACGTCTGTGCTGCGCACATCACATGTGCCCACCTTGGGAATAAATAAAGAATAAACCAGGAAAAATGAAGAACTATAATACCTCCCCTAGCCCCGGATTTCCTCTGGACCCCACCCACCTTGATTGATCTCGTCAGACAGTCAGTCACTATCACCATCATGTCGGACAAAGGCGACACCGTTTCGCGTCTGGACAGCGCCAAAGATGCGCAGATCCACGGCGTCAATAATGCTGCGTTGGCGGTTGCGACGCTGCAGCAGAAGCCGAAGCTGTTGGGCAAGAGTATGCTTAAGGTGGGTCTCTCATTCTCATTCTCTGCCGTTTTCGAGGTGCGGGTCATCATGCTGATGCAGTGACAGCTCTACTGGTGTATCGGCGTCGCCATGCTCAACTCCTGTATCAACGGCTACGACGGCTCCCTCATGGGCTCCATCAACAGTTATCGCCAGTACCGCGAGTACTTTGGTTTCGATCCGACGGAGGGAACGCCCTCTACGGGCATCGTGTATGCCATCTATACCATCGGGAATATAGTGGGGTCGTTTACTGCGGGGCCGTTTACGGATTTCAAAGGTATCTATCTCCCTTCTCCTCCCTTCCCCTATATAACTCCTCCAGGTACTAAATGTAATAGGCCGCCGCGTCGGAATGGCCCTCGGCGCCATCTTCATCATCATCGGCACAGTCGTCCAAGCATCCTGCCACAACCTGGGCGGCTTCATGGCCGGCCGTTTCATTCTGGGGTTTGGCGTCGCGACGTCTGCCACCGCCGGTCCGGCGTACGTCTCGGAGATTGCCCATCCTTCGTATCGTGGTGCCATGACGGGTTTGTATAACGTGCTGTGGTTCGGTGGCGGTATCCCCGGGACGTTCATTCCCTGGAAGACGAGCGAGATCGAGGGGACGATGAGTTGGCGGATTCCGGTCTGGTTGCAGATGATCTTCTCTGGGCTGGTCTTGATTTTCTGTTTTACTCTGCCTGAGGTATTTTCTCTCTCTCTTTCTCTCTTTATTTTTTGCCCCCGCTCTCTACCTCCCCCTCTCTATCTTTTCCTTCTCTCATATATGCTAATTGGATAGTCCCCCCGCTGGCTCATCTCCCAAGACAAACACGAAGACGCCCTCAAAGTCCTCGCCGAATACCACGGCGAAGGCGACCGCAACTCCCCCATCGTGCAACTCGAATACCGCGAAATGGTCGAAGACATCTCCAACACGGGATCCGACAAGCGCTGGTGGGACTACCGCGAGCTGTTCAACTCTCGCGAAACCCGCTACCGCTCCATGCTAGTCATTTTCATGGGTATCCCCCCCCCCCCCCCCCCCCCCCCCCCCCCCCCCCCCCCCCCCCCCCCCCCCCTTTTCCTCCCTACACCTTCATGGCAAGAACAATACTAAAGTGAACAGCCTTCTTCGGCCAATGGTCCGGCAACGGCCCCGTCTCCTACTACTACCCGCAAATGCTCCGCGGCGCAGGCATCACAAGCAACAACACGCAGCTCATGCTGCAGGGGATCCAAAACGTGGTGCAGTTTCTAGGCGCAATCTTCGGCGCCCTCATCACCGACAAGGTGGGCCGTCGCCCGCAGCTGCTGATCTCGACGACGCTGGTCGTGCTGCTGTTTTCGATCGTCACGGCGCTGAACGCCACGAATGTTGTTGACGGGCCGGACGGGCCGATCGCGAAGAGCAGCGTTACTGCCCGCGCGCAGATCGCCATGATTTTTGTCTTTGGATTCATCTATTCGGCGGGCTGGACGCCCAATCAGGCGATGTATCCGGTTGAGTGTTTGCGGTATGAGAGTCGGGCGAAGGGGATGGGGATGAATAATGTAAGACCCCGTTTTCTTCTCTTGACTTATCGTCACCGTTGTCATTGCTTGGAAAGTGTCAAACTAATGAAAGATAGTTCTTCGTCAACATCGCCTCCTTCTACAACACCTTCGTGACGGGAATCGCATTCTCCGGCGCCGGCTGGAAATACTACTTCCTGTTCATCTTCTGGGACACGCTCGAAGTCATCGTCATTTACTTCCTGTTCGTGGAGACGAGCAAGCGCACCCTGGAGGAGCTGACTACGATCTTCTCGCAGAAGAATCCCGTCAAGGCCAGTTTGCAGAAGGATGCTATCTTCGTCGTTGGGGATGAGGTTACGGAGGTGAAGACCGTCAGTTAGTGCTTCTTGGACCTTGGATATCTAGGGTGTATTGATGGATGGATGGATGGGTGGGTGGTTGGTTGGTTGGTTGGCTGGGTTTGGAGTTTTTGAAAATAGGGTATGATGGTATATACGACCATTGATTTGACCTGTGTGGGACATGGATGAGTTGTCGATCTTTATCTTTCTACTTTGTTTTTATTATATCAAAAATGTTACACATATACCACAATCATCAATCACTTCCTTTTTCACACTCAATCAATCAATCAACCCATCAAGGACAGAACAAGAAGAAAAAGCAAAGAGAATGACACCCCACCGACCCACAACTACTAATCATAAAATCAAACCCCGGATCTACCCGAATACAATATACATAACACCAGATCAAACACGTGGGTCTCGATGCTAGTGGTGGAAGTTTTCACTGTAGGAAATATAGTAGTTGATGATCATTGCTTTTAGGAGGAAGCGAGTTACTATTTGAGATGAGGGGGGATTGAGGGTGTTTTAAGGGCTAGGTGGGGTGTTTGGGGCTTGGGGTTTGGGGTGGGAGGTGACCCCACTGGGCAATCCTGCACTCGCACTATATGCTAGACTAACTATCGGCTGATTGGGTTGGAAGCTTGAGATAGGTATCCTAGATATACTAGGTGGGTAAGTGTTTCGTAGGAAGTTTCGATTGTGAGTGTAGTTTATATTCGATGACTAGATATACGGACCATAGTACATACACGATACATATATCCTAAACCTAGCTACTAGCTCATCTCCACTAAATACCATTCGGGATACACACCAGCCAAGTCAGGCCCTCCCAAACTGCCGTGTAGCTTCTTGATGCATATAGAATACCAGGCAAAACTACCTACCACCAAGATCAACCCCAATCACCAAAGGAAACAGCTTCCCTCCCTAGCCACAAACGGCAATCCCGGCGCCCTTCCACCCCCACCAGCTAAAACACCCCCCCTCCCCGGACACCCCCTCCCCCCGCAAAGATGACCATCCAGCAAGGGACCGGACCCCACACCCTAGACAGACCCAATCCTGGAGTTCAACACATCGACACGCACCGGCTCCACCAGCACTGTATTCAGGGCTAGACTGCGCAGCGCGGGGTAAAAACCCCAACCCCCAACCCCACCCAATGGCGAAAGTAGCCAGGCCCGTGATGGAGCTGGTTGGCGTGGTGGTTAGCTAGGGTCATGTGGGTGGCGGCGGGAGTGAGTGTCCATGTGGTGGCTTGGATGATGTGGAGGTGGGCGGTGATGGGATATTAGGGGGGGTGGGTTGTGGGGTGTTTAGTTGGACGGGGGAGGATGAGTGAGGGTGGTGAGAAGGCATTTGTGGGGGAGGATGAGTGAAGGATGGTGAGTTTACAACTTTTGACTGGGCTGGGCTGATTAGGAGGATGGCGGTTGCTTGGTAGACTGTGTGGTTGTTCTTGTTGTATACCAAGAAGTATAGGTCAGTATAAGACAGTAACGCCATGGGGCAAGCAGCTGAATTTGAGGGGTTTCTCTCTATTTTTACTGGACCATTAGTGATTCTTGAAAGATACAGTCTTACTAGGTAGGGTGTTCGAAGAATTGCTAGTACTTTTTGACACTCTAGTCGCTTATTCCTTACCTTCTAATGGGCCAGTTTAACCTGTTTTCAACATTTATGAAGCGAGAAAATGAATAACTAGATAAATAATTAATTCCAATAGATCAGATAATTCCTGCTAGCTTCCAAGTACTCCCTCTCACGCTCTCTTTAGGTCAGGAATGTTGTGTCGAAGAGTAAGGAAGCTACATAGAATTGGCCCTAGATCGTGTCGCCTTGATAAGCACTCGAGCAACTTCCGGATAGTTCAACAAACGAGCCACGTCTAGGGCCGTCTCCCCCTTAGAGTTTTGCGCTGTGATATCAGCACCGGCTGCGCACAGCCCCTGCACCGCGGACGCATTATCTCTCTCCGCAGCCACATGTAACGGACTCTTTCCGCTCGCATCCATAACACCAAGATCAGCTCCGGCCTGGACCAAAGTCCTTATAACAGCAACATGCCCCCCCCAAGCCGCGTAGAATAGCGCTCGGTCGATGTCATCACAGGAGGCACCTTTCTCCACCAGAACCTCGACCACTGGGTTCTGCCCACCTTTGGCAGCCAGCGAGAGCGCTGTATTGTCATCTGTTGCGGCGTCAATATTGGCGCCATTTTCCAGTAACCATGATACAACCGCCGCCTGCCCGGAGAAGGCAGCCCGATGCAGAGGCACTTCCCCTGCAGGCTGATGGCACCTGATGTTGATATCAGCTCCGTGGTCCACTAGCAGCTGGAGCGTAGTGACCTCCAGACCATGCTGAGCAACAACGTGGAGTGCTGTTCCTCCGCTGGTCGTAGTCTGCGCATTGAGGTTTGCCCCACCGCGGACTAGATGCTGTATGAGGCCGTGGTGCCCTTGTGCAACAGCGAACATCAGAGGTGTCGCTCCGTCGGGTCCTCTGGCGTCGATGTCGGCTCCGTTGGCGAGTAACAAGTGGATTAACTTTGGATATCCAGGCCCCATCGCCAGGTGTATGGGCAATCCTAGGCTTGATTGTGCGGTAAGATTGGCCCCGGCTTTCAAAAGGACCTCGACCGCGGCGATGTGGCCTTTCAGACAGGCTAGGTGCAGTGCGGTTTCATGACCCGCAGTCATCTCCTCTATATCTGCTCCACTTTTTATGAGAAGTTCCGTGACCTTCGTCAGCCCGAGGGCGGCTGCCTGGTGCAATGGGGTTTGCCCGTCGTCGTCTTGGATGTTCACGCCGGCGCCCCTGCGTATCAATTGTGCCGCATTCGCCTCAGAGCCAATCACTGCAGCGTGGTAGAGGGGGGTTCGTCCGCCTGTGGTCCGCGCCGTCAGATCTGCGCCCGCGTCAAGAGCAAATCGATCATGGCTTCAGGGGGACCCATTCTTCCACCGCAGGCGTGATGTAACGGAGTGCGATCCTGTGAGTCTCTGCAATCAACCAAAACCCCTCTCCGTATCAGCAGACTTGCCACAGCCGCAGATCCGGCCTTGACTGCTACATGGAGAGGGGTAATGCCCTCCCCGAACGACTCTGTTATTTTGGCTCCTTTACTGAGGAGCAGGGAGACGACATCCTCGACTTTGTCCCCGTAACCAAGGAGGGCGTACGGCAAGATGGCTATACCGCTTTCATACCGGGCGTGGATGTCGGCGCCACAGCCAAGGAGGAGAGCGACCATTTCGACGTTTCCAAATTGAGCGGCCCAATGGAGTGGTGTCATGCCCCATCCCCGGCGAATATCCACGTCCATTTCCATGCCCAGAAGATTCCGCACGAACATCTGGCCCCACTCCATCAATCCCCATTCCAGGACGGCATGGCCATAGTTGAAGGTCTCGTGGATATCGGCCCCGCGGGAGAGTATCAGTTTCAAGGTACTCTCGTATCCGTTGAGCGCGGGGAATACCACGATCGGCACCTATCTGTTGTCTCTCTTGTGAATATCGGATCCCGCGTTCAGAAGCAATTGCACTACTGCGTCATGGCCGCAGGATGCCGCCACAAAGACGGCAGTGGCGCCATTGCCGTCTCTGTCTGAGACGTCGACGTCACCCTCCAAAAGAAGGCTGACCACCGGCGCATGGCCAGCTCGGGAGGCAACGTGCAGGGCTGTTGTCGAAATCCCTCCGTATCCTGTTCGCTCCGCCACGTCCGCCCCGCTGTCCATGAGCTGTTGGACTGCGTGATAGTGTCCAAAGTAGCATCGCACCTGGAGGTCCGTGTAGTGTATGGGGCGCTCAGTAGTTTCTTTGCTCAGCAGCCAGTCGACATGGAACCACGTTCGAAAGCACTTCGCTCGCGTGTTGCACAGTTTGAATGTCAGCTGCATGGTCTCTGAATGCGCGGGGATGTCAGCTTCTCGGAGGTGGGTGGTCCAGAACGATGCGGCATAAGAAAAGAAGTGATATTGGCTCATGCACTGGCGCATAAGGCCTTCTAGGAAATGGTCTTCGAAGTGGGCGACTTGGCGACAGGCCGGATTGTATCCCAGGAGCTCGGTCTCAAAATAACCAAGCAGCCGGTACCATACGCATCGCTCCGCCAAGATGGTTTTCGATTCTACAAGACGGAGGGACCCTTTCCATGGCACCTCTACTCTTTCAGTCTTCGAGGTCTCGGTACTCACAAGCAATTCTCTGGCTGTTTGGTGAACGAGATAGACTGTGGATTCAATCACGCGAACGAAGACGCCGCAGAGTCTTCTCACTGTCTGCTCGATATTGGGCTCCAGGTATGAGTCTAGGGCCTGGACGGATTAAGGGGCACGCCGGATGGAGAAGGCGACGTTTAGCTCGCGGAGGGAAAGGGGCCGGGCCGCCGCTACTATAATATGAAGCATCTCCTTGGCCTTTTCAGGGCTCGTAGACTTCTCCAATATTCTCGAAAAGATCTCGTCCAGCGTACTTGGTAATGTGCTAAGCATTTCATCCAGGACACTCCGGGACGCCATGGCGCTCTCGTCGATTATTTGCATAATGAGAGATACCCACAAGAACGTCCGGTCGGCGTTTGTGAGGAGCCGTTCGACCAAGGATCGGTGCACCGCGTCCGAGATGCCCTTACGGGCAGAAATGTCTTGCATTCGCAGATTGACGACCCGCTCAACGTCTTTCGTTGTGGCGGAGATCTCCTGTTCCAGCTCGAGTCGCGTGGACGGCAATGAATTGACCAAGGCTCTGTCCGGACGGCCTGTAGCTAGAATCTTGAACGACGCGTGGGCTGAGATGGAGTCAAAACCTGCTAGCGTAGTGAATAACAAGACACTGCTGGAGTCGTGGCATTCGTCGAGGGCGTCAATGACACATACGACAGGGCCGCACCTCGAATCAGCGAGCGAAGCAGTGAAGATACTCCAGAGGGAACTGAAATCATCCGCGAGTTTGACACCCTTATTCTGATATTCTGGTAGAGCATGCTTGAATAGAGCTGGCCTAGCGGTGAACAGCTGATGGACAAGGGTGCTGATGGCCAATGTGGCACTATTCCACTTCTCATTATTATGCCGGAAGAAGAACGAGCAGACGGTCTCTGCACGATCGTCATCTGCTTGTTCGGATTTCAGACGATCGGCCACAAACGAAGCAAGGTGAGACTTTCCGCAGCCCGGATGGCCCGAGATCCACAGGAATCTTGACTGACTATCCTCCTGCCAGCGACGATACGTGGGACGGTGCAATCGCCAATCGCAGGTGCCCTCGACAGGAGTGATCGCTCGTCCATTGTTAAACGCCCGGGCTTACATGGCTGAGCACGATCCTGGTGTCTCCAATGAATTCTCCTCCATTGGTCTTGCGTATTTTACCTCTGGAGGGTGGAATGTAGGGAAGAGCCTGGAATAGTCTCCATGAATCAGATGAGCAGAACCTATGACAATTTGTAGGCGAATATGATTGTAGTTAGTAGGAAGATGGGAAGATATGACGGGTTTTTGCCTAGGTGTTAATATGATTGCATTTGAACATGCCAGTAGAGGATTGAGAATTATGTGAGGAAACGGAGGGAAACAGTCAAAACATTGATGATTTTGATGATCATTTACGTAGATACTAGAAGTTGCAGACGAGTGAAGTAGTCGCAAAACATGAAGAGTCACAACCAAACGTGTGGGGAAAGAACCCTGGAAATCAGCTGACATGTGCTGATTATGTTCACTATTCACTATTCAACAAAATTTAATCCGCAGTATAGATAAAGAACTTCATGATAAAAGTCTTCCGAAACAGACTGCTGACCTTATAGCAACTGCTCCACTACGTCCAAGCTATAATCTACTGTCACACTAAATATAGGGTTACTTTTAGACGCCTGAAGTGCCATGATATATATTGTAGCTAAGTGGTCGCCTCTCTTTTGATGCACATTGATGTGTAGATTAATTGCCAAAAAATATAGCATCGAAAATACCCTGAATTTTGTCGCAATATAGATAAGATTGCCTACTTAGCATATTGCTATTTCCACAATCTAATAAAAAACCCGACAGCATCTCCACGGAGTCCATAGATCGACACAGGGTTAAGTCTGCAGAATTTTTCCACACTTCCTCTCGAACAGGCTAGCCTCGTAGACATTCTCGAGCTATACCAGTACAAGTAGGACAGTAGTCATGGTCCAACAGCCTTATATCCACATAGTTCTAATCAAGGTATAATTAGCAACCAACCCCTGCTCCCATCTCAATCAAAACTGTATAATTATGTCCTCCACATTTTTGCCACATGTCCTAGCCGAGGAGCATGAACGCCGTTACGGGGACCAATCTATTATACTTTACCGGTGTCTACATGTCGAGCAGTAGCTTCAAAGCCTGCCAAACTAACCGACTCTCCAAAACAACGGCTCGAACTTTATCCCAGGTCCTGGAATCCATCAATCTCCGATCTTTACAAAAATCCTGCAAGCAAGCTAGAGCCTAGTATACACCACGAGTCCAGTCCAGTCCAGCGCCACTCCCCTATCCAGACCGGCATCGGAGCTCCCTCTCACGCCTCCACTTGATGCTACGAGAGTGGACCCCCTTCACTTCCCGAGACGGATGCCGGGCGGCATATCCGAGCATCTCGACTCTGTCCTATTTCGGAAAATGATCTTGAATATCCTTTCCTGTCTTGGGCTGACCGCTGTTGGGGTTAGTTATGTGGGGCCCGCCTCTTACTCCACGTATTTATTGTTTGTAATTTGTCGGTTGCGAGTTGAGATTAAGGGGCTTGGGCATACTTGATTCTGCCTTGTCTGTTTCAGTTTTGAGAAGTGTGGAGAGAGAGGTTTTTGTGGGATGTTGTCTGTTTATGTGACCCCGTGGGATGGATGATGTTGAAGGGTTGAACGTATAGGTCATGCCATACTATCGTATGATGTCTAATTAATAGTTGTAAAAAAGCAGTCAAAACCCACCCCAAACCGGTATAAGAACACCAATCACAAAGGAAATAATATCTGAAATAACCGCAAAAACAAGCAGAAACCAAAGGGAAAAGCATAAAAGAAAAGGGGGAGACAGAGAGAGGGGAATAAATCAATCCCTCTCCACAATCGTCTCATTCACGACTTTAATGCCCCGTCCGTCATAAGGACCGTCTGGCCCCTTAGCCCCCACCAACCGCTCCTCCCCACTTATCGTCTGCCAGTTCGACTCCCCCACCCCCAACGGGTGCCGGAACCGCTTCTTCTTCCCGCTGTACGCCGTCGACGAGAACGCGCCCGGAGCCCCCGACAGCTCGTAGTTGCGACCGTAGGAGCTGGGACCGTGGGAGGACATGACCAGGCCGGCACGACGCAGGCCACGACGGATTAGTGGGTACACCATGGGGAGGTTGCCGATAATGACGGCGACGAAGGTCTCGCGGCAGGCCCAGCTGCCGGCTTGTTGGGCACCGTCTGCGCCAGCCTATACACACGTATAGATTAGCATGGTGGTTAAATTGTATTGGGAGAGGGGGACGGACAGTTACGATCAACACGCAGCGGAGAATGCCGGCTGTCATGACGAAGATACCTCCGCTGAACATGAGGAGGAGTTCGCATTTTTCGCGGATGGGGAGGCGGGCTTTGAAGAGGACCTGATTTTGTTAGTTTCTTGTTCATCCCAGTATGATGTAGGATAGGATAGGTGTTGAGGAATACCGGCAGCGGAATCGAGATCAGGTAAATGTCGGTCACGACGTTCAGAACCACCGTCACGTAGACGTCGATGTGAGACACGGCCGGTTGACAGTAGTTGCCCGGGTCGGGGTAGATCTGCCAGTTTTTGTGCATGGGAAAGCAGCCGAACAAGATGGAGCAGATGACAGCGATGTAGGTTACGCCGATCATAATGTATGCGATGTGAATGCGACGACGCATGTTGACCAGGCCGATCCTATATCCGTCAGTCATTCGAACATGCCGATATATTGATGGAGCTCAAGTTCAAGTAGGGTACACACGTCAGTCGCGAATAAAAAACAGCCATGCAAGCCTTAAGCAACCACAACAACGAGGTATACAAAGACCACCCGATGACCTGCGTCTTGGACCCCCCCACGCGCAGGGCAAACTCCGGGCTCTCGGGTGTGAGCGAGAGCGCCTTGCGCTCGGCGTCGGTCATGGCATTGTTGGCGAGCCCGTGCCACCAGGCACCGACGCAGTAGGCGGCCCCTGTCTCAAACCCGTAGACCACGGCGGCCAGCGGCATCAGGTAGTCATCGACTTGGAAGTTCTTGGGGCCGGTGATGATCCATCGGGAGACCACGCGGAGGATGATGAAGAGGACGGCGAGGGCGAGGAGGGTGAAGGCCTCGACGACGAAGTCCTCCTGCGCGGACATTGCTCCTCGTCTTCTTCTTATTCTTTTGCTCTTATCCTTTTCCGATCGCAGATGAGGATCTATAAAATGATAGGCCTGAATAAGGTCAAACGAGGGTGGGTTCAAACGGCATCTGGCCACAGTCCAAATGCAAGATAGTCAGCATGGGAGGAGATGTTTTAAGTAGATGCTATGCCTGGGCACAGCCCGCACAGCCTGACGACCGATTCTCCAACTGCCGCCATGCTGGCGCATTCCGATCGGCGCAGGGAGCAGGATTGCAGATTGTGACGGACAGACTAGCTGGGTCTTTCCAGGGGATGGCCAGACTAGCAGGGATGGAACGATGCCCAGTACAGGAGCATCCACTCGCTCGGGATGGCAATGTCCGGAGTAGGCAGTAGAGAACGTTCCCCATGAGTGGGACGAGGCCAACGGTGGCCTCCTGTTGCAGTGGGCTAGGCGAAGGGCTACGATGGAAATAGCAATAGAAGGAGATGGTGAGACAGCGGGTGGGGACACCATCTTCGAAGGATTCGGAACCATGCAGGTCGGGGTTCAATTATAGCCCGTCAGCACCCAATATTTCTGCAGGACGAGGAGGATCAAATGGTTGTTGTGGAGCGCGCCGTGCCAACCGTCGCCCCACAGGGGGGGGGTTCGATATAAGACCAATCAGGCCAGCTAACCCTAACTGACCTCGTGTTAGAACATTCCCCAGCCGCCTCAATGTCAATTCTGACAGGGTCTGCGGAGATCGACCACCGACGGTTCGACGTTAGCCGGATATTAGCCCGTTCAACGTCGGGGAATAAAAGAAATTAGACACGTTTTGTGCTGTGATCGTCCAGCCCCATTCCAAGCGCGCCCTTGCTGGCCTCGGGGATGTATCCGACCCTCCTCTTCACGCCCCTCACCTCCCCCACCCCGTAAGACTTCTTCCTCCCTTTTTTCCCTCCCCTATTCTCTCTTTCGTTCTTCTTCTCAGGAGCATATATCCGTCCCCCCACCACCCCTGTCCTCCTTCTCAACAAGGACACCCAACTCAACCATGGAGCAAAAAGACATCACCATCGTGGGCGCCGGATGGGCCGGCCTCGCGGCCCTGCGCACCATGCGCGAAACCCACCCCGACGCCTCCCTCCTCCTCCTAGACGACTCGTCCTCCATCGGCGGCGTCTGGGCCAAACACCGCCTCTACTCCGGCGTCAAGTCCAACAACATGCGCGGCACCTACGAGTACAGCGACTTCCCGATGGACGACTCGTTCGGCGTGAAGGAAGGCGAGCACATCCCCGGCGCCGTCATCCAGCAGTACATGGAGCGCTTCGTGGAGCATTTCAACGTCGCCTCCTGCATCCGGCTCTCCACAGCCGTCACGGACGCCGAGCAGCAAGCCGACGACAAAGACGGCTGGATCCTCCGCACGCGCAGCACCGTCGACGAGTCCGTCAACACCATAGCCACCAAAAAGCTCGTCGTTTGCACCGGCATCACCTCCAAGCCCTACATGCCGACCCTCGCGGGCCAAGAAACCTTCGAGCGCCCCATCCTCCACATCAGCAGTCTCCGCGTGCAACAAGACCAGATCCTGCACGCCGGCAAGACCATCGCCGTCTACGGCGGCACCAAATCCGCCTGGGACGCGGTCTACGCCGCCGCCACAGCAGGCTGCAAAGTCGAGTGGATCATCCGCGACAACGGCCACGGCCCAACCTGGATGGCGCCCCCCTACGTGACCCCCATGAAGCGCTGGCTCGAGAAGCTCGTCACCACGCGCCTCCTCACCTGGTTCTCGCCCTGCATCTGGGGTCCCGCCGACGGCAGCCCCACCGCGCGCTCCCTCCTGCACAACACGCGCGTCGGCCGCGCCATCGTCGACGCCTTCTGGAGCACCCTCGAGTCGGACGTCGTCTCCGCCAACAACTACGACGCGCACCCGGAGACAGCCAAGCTCCGACCCTGGATCTCCCCCTTCTGGATCGCCTCGGGCCTCTCCATCCTCAACTACAAGCAGGACTTCTTCTCCCTGCTGACCGCCCCGGACTCCCTCGTCTCCATCCACATCGACCGCATCACCACCCTCTCCTCAAACGGCACCATCACCCTCGCCAACTCCGCCGACCCGTCCACCCCCACCGACTCCCCCGAGTCTTCCTCGCCCTCCTTCCCCTCCGACCCCGCCACCCCCACAACCCTCCACGCAGACGCCCTCGTCCTCGCAACGGGCTGGCAAGCGCACTCCCCGCCCATCGCCTTCCACCTCCGCTCCCCCCAAACCACAACCCTCGGCTTCCCCTCCGACCCCGACCCCATCCCCTCCAGCATGGTCCAAGCCGCAACCGAAAACATCCTAGCCCGCTTCCCTCGCCTGGCAACACCCCCTCCCCAAAAATCATCCACCTACGCGCCCCTCGCATCCAACGCCCCGGCCTCCGCCTCCCACCCCATGCGCCTAACCCGCTTCATGGTGCCCCCCTCCCTCCTCAACACGCACAACATCGCCTTCATGGGCCTCGCCATGACAATCAACACCACCATGCTCGCGCAAGCGCAGTCCCTCTGGGTCGCAGCGCACTTCAGCAACAAGCTGCGCATGCACCAGTGGGAGTCCTGCCCGGCCGACGTGCGCGCCACCGTCCAGCGCGATCTCTCCGAGTCCGGGCGCGAGCTGAAGTTCGACGAAGTCGACGTGCTGTGGGAGACTGCTCTGCATACCGAATTCGGCAAGCTGCGGTATCCCGGTGGGTTTGGCGCGCGGAACCCGGACTTTGTGTTCGATGCGCTGCCGTATGTGGATCTTTTGCTGCGGGATTTGGGCGTCGGTTGGGATCGCAATCGTGGGTTTTTGGGCAGGGTGGTGAAGAGTTATGGGATGGAGGATTATGTGGGGCTGCTTGGGGAGTGGATTCGGGTTAATGGGACTTCGGTTGTTGGGGGGTCTTCGGAGGTGTTGGTTGATGTGCGTGATGAGACGGAGGCTAAGAAGGAGGCTGAGAAGCAGGCTGCGATTGAGATTAGGGTTGAGGAGGCTCAGGTATGAGCCAAGTGATGAGGCGAGATATGAGCCAAGAAGGATATAGAGATGTACGATATTATATACTAATAATGCTGATTCCTGCAAGTTATGTTCATCCCAACGCCTACGTCTCACGTACTCGCTATGAAATACAATACAAGAATAGACAGTAAACACTACATCATTATCTGCTGGCCCTAACCCTCTTCCTTGACGTGATCCGTCTTGCTGTCCTTGCCACAGCCTTTGACGAGGACATGTCGCTATATAGTGTTAGTTTCTTATCTTTTATTCGGTAAGGTAAAGAGACAGAGAGAGGAGGGGCTACCTTCAACGCATCCTTTCGGGAGAAACTCTTGTCGCAATGGTTGCACGGAAACGGTTTCACCGACAGATGGATCCGCTTGTGTCGCTTGAGATCGTGGTTCCGGTTGAAGCTCTGCGGACACTGGTCGCACTTGAACGGCCGGTCCGTCGTCGGTCCTGGCCCGTGCCCGTGCGGCCCGTGTCCCGGTGGCGCATGCGGGTACATGTGTTGCATGCTCGCCACGTGTCCGCTGTTGAACCCAGCCGGCAGCATCCCCGCCTGCAGTCCACCCAGCAGCGACATCTGCCCGCCGGGGCTGTGGACGTTGGTCATCACGGGACCTGTCATCGCCGGCAGAGAGTACGACGGCCACGGCTGGCGCTGATGGTTGAGGTGGTATGGCGGCGCGTGCGGCGTCGACGCCACCCGTCCCACCCCGAGGCCCGTCCCGTACGGCGGGTACCCGCCCGGCGTTGGCGGGGTGGTCAGCAGGGGGCCCGTCCCGAAGCTGGGCGCCGACGACGACTTGGTCATGTAGGGGTCGTTGGACGGTAGGGGCGGCGGCGGGGCAGAACCCGGCGTGGTCGCGAACAACGCGGCCGGATGATGCGGGTGATGGGGTTGGTGGTGATGGTGGGACGACGGCGGCGGCGGTGGTTGCTGGTGGAAGGGAGGGAGCTGGTGCAGGTCGTACGACGGGGAGATCGACTCGACTCCCGGGGGGGAGGTCGTGTGGTGTGACGACTGCGGTTGATGGGGTGGACGGACGAACGCGTTGGGATGGGAGAAGGTGGGCCACGACGACCGGGAGCCGTAAGGGGTGTGGGCCCAATAGGTGTCACCCGGGGTGGAGGCGGCAGTGGAGGCGGTGGTGACGGGCGGGGCGGCGGAATCGGGCTGATGTGGCGGTTGGGTGTGTTGCTGGTGGTGGTGCGCTGCCGGGATCGGGTCCAGAAGACTGCTGACACTGCCCGGGTTGACAGCTGAAGCGGACGGGTACTTGACGGGGAGGGGGTTGAAGGAGGGCGCTGGAAGTTCGAAGCTGGGCAGCGCGGGCGCCGCGGGCCGTCGGGCGCTTAGAGGCGGTGGCGGCGACGGGTTCAGCGCCTCCAGCGCCGACCCCATCGCGGGCGGGATCGCGAGGGCCGCCAGATTGGCGGGTGCGTCGCGCGACACGGACGGGAACAACTCCACACCAGCCGCCGAGATGGACCCGTAGGGAACAAGCGTGGGATCAGCTCCCAACGCCCAAAAGCGGTTGCTGTTGTTGCTGTTGTTGTTGTTGCTGCTGCTGCTGCCGTTGCCAGACAGGCCCCCCGAGACGACAGGAGGATCCAGGAGGGGCGATGATCGCGTCTTGCGATCGATGAAATCGAGGGCAGAGGATGACAGATGGGTAGGAATGATGGATTTAAGAGAGAGTCATATCCTGAAAAGTAAGGATGACTGGGGTCAAAGAAAAAGAAACAGAAGGCGGCGATCAACCAGACATGGCCTGAGGAAACCAGGGACCCGAGATCGCGTCGGACCCACGACAATCACGGTCAAACGAACAGGTCAATCTAGAGGAACGGAAAGGAAGGGTTGTGGGCAGAGATGCATGAAGATCGACAGGAGAAAGAAGTGGAGCGGACAGCTGACAGGGAGAGTATTTACTAATAAAAGGATTGGAGAGGAAGAGAAAAGGAAGGGAAAAAGGGAAAGGGAAAAAAAATTGGGAACGAGAGAAGGGAAAATCGAAATCAAATAAAATAGAAAATAGAAAATGAAAGTAAAAATTGAGAAGTAAAAAAACAGGATAGAAAATAGAAAAGAAAAATATAAAAGATATGATAGAAAAATAAGATCAAACCCCAAAAAGGAAATGGAACGAAAAGAAAAGCGAAACACAACAAACAAATCAGAAGAGGTTATATATAGTGATGATCAGTCAACCCTGACTCTCCAACCCAATCCCGTCCGATCAAACAGTCCAACGCCCAAGAGGGAATGACACGATTCAATAGGAATGCACGGGGGGGGAAGAAGGATGAATGACGAGTGGAAAAGAAGCAGATCGATCCGACTCGAACCGGGGAGGGGAAGGAGGGGGGAAGAAAGATGGGTTTGGATGGAGGAGGAAACCAGAGAGGAAGAGGAGGGAGGGAAGAGGAGAGAAGAGGAGAGTTGGGAGAGTTAGAGAGTTAGAGATAGAGAAAGAGATAGAGAAAGAGAAAGAGAGAGAGAAAGAGGAGGGAAAGAAAGGGAAGATAAAATCAAAGTTTCCCGACCGGTCTGGCCCTGCGGGGGAAAAGAAGATTATAAGGATGGAATTGATTGGAACTGGGTGGTGTAATATGGTACGGCTGATACCGTACCATATTATACCATACTGTACCATAACTAACTACTGGTTGACTTGACTACTGGCCTACTGGCTAATGGCTACTGACCTATACTGGAGGGTACTATACTCCTGAGGTCCCATTCGGTGATCCTTTGGTACAGGCGAGGGTTATAGTGATGGATATCCATCCGGATCGTCTGGATGGGAACTCCTCACGTGGTTGACAGCGGTTCATCCACGGATCCCTCAAATCCACATGAAGATCCCGATCGATCTTCCCACCACCCCCCCCTTTTTGCTGGGAAGATGAATCACCAGTTTGACCGATCGGCCCTGGATGGTGGAGCCAAATAAGCTTAGTTGGGACGATCCTGATCGTCCGACTGGAAGTTCAGAAGTGTCCCGTCTATATAATATATAACTACGGAGTATATGGAGGAGTATGGATTAGGACAGACTACAGACGATGTACCCTTAGGACATACCCCCGTTAAACGAGGATCTGATCTGATGGAGGATACTACCTAACTCTTGGGAGGATCCTTCTCAGACCAATCTGAGGAATCGCCCCAAAACCCCTGAACCATCAGACAAAGAATGAAACTCGTATTGCCTCCGCACGGATGCACACCTGGACCAACCGGGTCGCATCGCTCGGACAATACGAGACTAGTTTGGTTGAATTATGATATTTTATTTCAGGAAATATAAAAAGTAAGAAAATCAAACATTCCCCTCCTTCCTTCCTGTTATTTTTTCTCCTTTTCTGCCTTTTTCTTTCTGCCTTGATTATACATCATTATATAATTTGGTTAGGCTCATAATTTTTTATCCATCTATCTTTTTACTTATTTTTATCTATGTTGCCTTGTTCATGTTTGTTTATTTGTTTATTTATCTTTATATCTAATTTACTTAGTTATTTATCATATATCTATCTATTTAATTACTATTATTATTATTGACGTTTATTTATAAGTCATCTGAATCATGTGAACCAACCCATCCATGGTTCTCAGTCCTGACAGCCGACGAACCCTGCCTATCACATCCCGCCCTTTGTCTTTCCCCCCTCGACAAATCAAGCGAGCATCTCGACCAGACTATCGATCTCGATGGGCCAACCCAGACCATTCCAGATCCCGGGTCAGACCATCCACTTGATCAACTGTGATGCATCATGGAGTCCCTCGCGTCAATACTTTCTTGACTTTTTCTTGAGTTGGTCAATAATCGATTGAATAGTATTTGCCAGTGGGTTGGATTCCAGGAATGGTCGGATATTAATCATGTAATAATATGGGAGTTACCACATAATATATAGAATGTTCATGAGATTATACTAAAACATATCAAATGTATTATATAAGTATACTGACCTCGCACAAGATATCCTCAATTGAGATCACGTCGGACCGTGGCGCCGCCTCCCTGGAAAGGCGCTTCTTGTGGCGCAGTCTTAATCCCGCCATCGTCAACATCATCTCTCTATTCTTCTTCCCCTCCCTCCTCACGATAGACCCCATACTTGTACCGACTCCCCGGATGATCCGCCCGAAGCTCCCGCTGTCCCACCCCGTAGATCTTCTCCCGCGCCGTCAGCCCTTCCCCTTCTCCTCCCCCATCCACTGCCGGAGGCAGTGGTGCCTCCCCATACACCCCACGCCGCCTCAACTCCGGAATCAAGAACTCCACGACCTCCTCAAACGTCCCCGGCGTAGTCACATACCCCAGATTAAACCCATCGAGATCCGCCTCGCGCACCCACCTCTCCAATTCATCCGCCACCCGCTCCGCACAGCCCACCCCGACGGGTCCCAAGCCCCCCACAGCCGCCCGCTCCGCCACCAGCCGCGGCGTCCACGCTCGCCCCTTCCCCCCCGTCTCCCCAGCTTCCTCCAGCGGCGCCGTCAGCGTCTCCATCAAACTCGTAATCCGGTTCCCCTCCGTCGAATCCCCCGCCGTGATCTCCTGGTCCAGCGGAATCCGCGAGATGTCGATCCCCGTCCACCCCGAGAAGAGAACTAGTCCGCCGATGATGGATGCGTTCGCGCGCGCCGCGTCGTACTTCGCTTGGGCTTCGGCGTCCGTGCGGCCCACTATCGGTGTGAATGTTGCGAAGACCTTGATGGAGCGCGGGTCGCGGCCGCGTTCAGCGGCTAGTTGGCGGATGTGGGCGATTTTGGGCCGGAGGACGGACGCGGAGTGGCCCGAGACGAAGATCGCTTCGGCGTGCGTGGCGGCGAAGGAGGATCCCGCGCTGGAGGTGCCTGCTTGGAAGAGGAAGGGTGTGCGTTGGGGCGATGGGTCGACGATGTGTGGCGTGTTGAGCTGGAAGTATTTGCCTTTGTGGTTGATGGGGCGGATTTTGGACGGGTCGGCGTAGGTGTCTGTTGATGGGGTCGGGTTTATGGCGTCGGGCGCCCAGGATGATTCCCATAGTCTGTTTGCTTTAGTTTCTTATTTACATTATTTAGGTCGGGGGAGTGTAGGGAGAATGGGTGGGGATAGGTACTTGTAAACAACCCGCATATACTCGTCGGCCTGCGCATACCGCTCGTCGTGCTCAATCGGTGAGTCCAACCCGATCGCCTTGAACGCGGCTTTCTTCCACGATGTGACGATGTTCCATCCAATGCGCCCGTCTGTTAGATGGTCGAGTGTTGAGAAGCGTTTTGCCAGTAAGAACGGCGGCTCGAAGGACGTCGACGCTGTGATGCCAAAGGCGAGGTTCTTCGTCACGGCTGCCATGGCGGAAATGGGCTAGTCGTTTATTAACTTCTTCCCTTCCATTCCCTTGAGTGTCTTTCTGAAAGACAACGGAAAGTATAGTAAGCAAGAAACATACAATAGTCGGATCCGTAACAGGCCACTGCGCCCCGCGCCGAATACACTCATCTAGCTTCCCCTCGTAGGTATCATACCCGCCGTATGTATCAGCCAAGAACAGGGCGTTGAACCCCCCGCGCTCGAGAAGCTTAGCTAGGTCCGTCCAGTAGCTGAGTTTGCGCTTTGTGGCAGAGCGATCGGCTGGGTTCTGGTTGGTAGCTTTTAGCTTTGCTTGACTTATATATATACATGCACCTTATAGAGAGAGTTGATGTATTGAAAGAGACTCACCTTCCATTGTCCCGGCGATAAATGTCCCACAGTGCACATGTCAAAGGCATTGAGGAGGATTTGTTTCTTGGGACTGTTGTCGGTGCTTGGGGGTTGAATGTCGCCCATTGTGAGTTGTGTTGTTGCTCTGTTTGTTGACGTGCAATTGTATGTGTGGTAGGTATTCAATTGTTGGTTATGAACTTTGTTGGTGTTGTGTCGTGTTGGTGTTGATTGATTTATAACTTGTGATATGGTCAGGTTATGAGTGTTAATTTGTTGGTTTATACAGTTGGTTCAAGGACAACCCCGCACACGCCATCGGGGAAGCCCATCGCGTAACTGATGTCGACGCGCGTGTCTATGAGGAGTATGTCGTGATTGTCTCCGCATTGGACGTGCTCTTATCGTTATCTGGGTGTGATTGTTGGGAGGGGCCTATATACTGCTATCTTTGTTCCAGTTACTTGAGGTCAATCTGAGTTCGAAGTAGGTGGTTCCCTGGATGATTTAATGGATAATACATGTGGATCAAGAGCTCAATAAATTCTTCATAACTTTGAATCGAATATATCGTCTGCAGTAGTAGACAGGCACCACCTCGCTCAGAATTCAAACCGATGTTAATTGCATTGAGGGTCCCATCAAAAAGCTGGTGCTAGACACAATGGACCCCCTGCCAAAGCTACAGGTATTGCACCTCGTAGCCTGACACTGACGCAGGCATTACTGCCGTATATTTGCGCTAAGAATTTAGGACACCAGGCAATAGCTTGGATGGGCCTTTTTCCAGTTTCCCTGTGGCTGCTGAGCCTGGTTGAGCGTGGTGTAGATGACTGGATTGACTGGACTCACTCACTGAACGGTGGAGGCTGGGTGCACTACAATCCCTCAAAGTCATTCTAATGATGATGCTGGAACGGGAAATATACCCGAGCTTTCTTGGTGTCGATTGCAGTTTATCAATCTGTGGTACGTATATGTCCAACGGAGATCAATTGTGTCCACCCCCCAGGCTTATAATGACTGCCTGACAGAAACATAGGAAAAGACTTATTCACTCGACAGAGACCTGCATTAGCTGTCCGCCCTGAAATGAATCTCAAGACACTGGACAAGTTGGATCCACACGCATATGCCCATCGAGCTGCAGTACAGCTGATCAGATATGGTTTCTACCATACCAGTCCATAAAAACAGAGTACAGTGTGAAAGACTGTCGAGAACCGGGCTAGTGGTCATCTGTATTTGACGCCCCGGTCTATCTGATGAGCCACTAGGTTCAGAAATGAAGACCACAGGAAGGGCATACCGAGGCTTTAGATAGCCATGTGGCTTTCAACGCCGACAGCTCCGCTGCAAGTAATCTGGCAGTAGTACCCTTTGGGTCCTACCAGCTTCCGAGCCATGCGACTGGCCATCGCGCAAATGCCACAACATATTGTGCCAAGCGAACAAGCTGGTGTATTATCCGCTTATTCCCCGGGATAGCCTCACACATATGTTTTCGAATGATCCGATGGCCTCGGGCAGCTGCCTCAGGCAGCGGCGCTGCATCTTGGCTCCGCGAAGTTGCGGCTGCGAAAGGAAGGCCGAGTCGGCGAACATATCAGTGACATTTGATGCGATGGCACTATGTTCAGCTCCGGGGACAAAGCTATCAGGGCCGAAGCTGGGTTTTGTTAGCTGTGTATCTCGCAAGAGAGAACCAGCGGCCGAGACAGCGGCCACTAATCTTTGACAGCAAATTCTTCACATTTCTGCGCTTCTCTCCGCGACGGTCTGACGACCACGAGTGCGACTGCCGAGCTTACAGTCCAGGCATCAATCTGGCCGATGCGAGTGGTTAAACAGGATGGTTACTCCAAACGGAGGTGTCAACCACCTTGCGGGTTTGAGTGTGGTGTTTTCGTCGCCAAGTGAGTAGTATTTATCTGCTGGCACAATGCGGGCATCACCGAAAGAAGAATGGAATAAGGCAGTGAGGAGAAAGTATGCGAGGTAGCGCTTCAAGCCGAAGTGTAAGATGGACCTACAACCCCATTTAGTAATGGCGGCGCACTGCTTCTTCTGCCCTACTGCCCTACTCCGTAGATACAACGAAGACATGCAGCTTCTAGCTGGCCAACCACTGCCGCGACCCACCGATTAAAATGCCAATTGTGTCTTCACTCAAGACCCGCTTGCATAACCCAAAACTGGGTCCCATGACGCAGCAGCGCGGTCTCTCATCTGGTAGGGCGACTAACCCCGAGAGATCGGCAGATCGTCACAACCCCGAATCGGTAAACACTTTCCACCACCAGTGCAGTAGCGTTATTGGCGACTAAGAAAGTGGGGTGGAGACCCCAGCAATCCACACCCAGCCAAACTCAGTTTCGTGAGAAACCCCACTCGTCCCGCCTGCGCCCTGACCCGACGAACCCTGGATCCGGTCGGTTGGTGGGCCACAGCCAGGGCTCACATCCCGTTGGGGTGCAGACCGTGGAATAATCACGTACTAATCATTATGGTGTAGTGCATCCAACCAAGTGATTATTTCAGGGTGCCATATATCTAGCACTGTTCAAGTCGCAGCGTGGGATCCAAAGGATGCATGGGTGGGATGTGCAGGGTCCATCATTCGATCTTGCCAGAAGCATGGCCACTGAATACTGAATAGGGATATGCTAGTTATAACATCGGTAATTACTCGACGAACGGTCGGCATCCAGGTTGTTGGCATGTCTCGACGGTCGGAGGTCTGTAGATTTGCGGTGGAGTAAGGTGGACTCGGTAAATAGAGCCAGCCTGTCACGAACGTGAAATGTCAGCATTCCAGTAGTGAGCCATCGGGAAGTATTTCCGTACGGACCTGTCAAGCCATACTTGGGGACGTCGATGGGGATCAGCGCCCCTTGAACCAAAGCAGGGAAGAGGGCGCCACAGAAGGGTTCATGATCGATATCCGCGGAGATGTCTCAACGCCTCTAGATAGTGTCGCTAATCCACTGTGGATCGAAGGACAAGGGAACACTTAGAAATGATCTTCTTGCATGCTGACTGAGAGCGAGTTATTCCGACCGATTGATTTAGATGCAACATAACAGGTGCCTAGTATCTAAGCATACCGACTGTAGGATGAAGGTGAAGTGGAGACACCCAAGGCAGAAAAAGCTTTATGTCACGTTGGCTGACAAGGGCCAGCATGTGCCTTGATCCCCTGGTTGGCTTGAAATATCAAGCTGTCTTTCACTTCAAGATACTCCGCAGGGAACTCCCTATCCCTCGGGTGATATGTCTGGGTTGAAACAGGCTCTGGTTATTGATGCCCACATACAACTGGAATGTGGTTCCACGGTTTGCTTTTGTTTGAATGGTTTAAGCTACCTGTCGCCATTTTATTGAGGATACAGCGAGGACTCGGCTAGCCTAATTACTCCCCGCATCGAACAACACAGTTTCTTCGAGTACCACAAAAATAGCACACAAGACAGCAAAGGAACATCCTTCTAGGGATAGATTGTTGTGGCTATGCAATGTACACCCACTAATTTGCTAGTCATGAATTCGAAAGACTCAACGCTGCGCTGTACAATGGAGTGACCCCGCTTCAAGTCGTTAGTCTAGACCGTGCAATTGCGACCTCATGCGTCAGAGTCATGGTGTCTGGTTTGACTGTGTATGGTGCGGTTGAGACTTAGGGTCGGGTATACCCCTTCCCCGTGATATGAGTAATTTATCAACAGGCATTGGTGAACTATATAAGAAATGATAGGAGCACGTGCTAGAATCCTCGGACCAACGGTGTTAGTGTCATGCAAGCGCTGCTTGCCTGTATGCAGGGTTCATATAGGATGCCTAGGTCGCCCAGAAAACACTCGTGTCCCCGAGGATGCAACTGTGTTTGCAGTTGATGTGTCGAAGGGACGGGAAAAGTGTGATAGATTCGTGTCGAGGTTTCGATTGCGGTGTATTCGGTGGCGATCATCTTTGGATCCCTTCCAGTGCCCCTCCTTTTCTCTACTCTGCTTATTCGTGAGGTGTTGGTGCGCGATTAAGAGCGGGTCGTGGAACTCAATGGAATCGGCCTTGTAGGGGATTCCCGCGTACACCATTGGACTAAGTAGCATCCAACTGTAGATAGCACCCCGAAAGAGAAACACCCCCGGCACTATCCAGTGACTCCACCTTCCTTGCTCATTGCCCTTCCTATTGTCATAACCCATTGAGAACAATTTCGCCGGGATAGGGATTGACAGGCCTCTGCTGAACTGTGGATGAATACTGTACATCATCTCGGATGGCATACAGAGAGATCTTGTCCGCACTTTTGTGTTATCCGCGTATCTGCGCTCGGGACATCCATGCGCGGTTTGATCCGTCCGTCTAACTGCGCCCTCTGGGAATTTAACGCGCACCATAAGACACGGGCCGGAAACTAGAATAACTCCCGTCCTTCGCTGATTATGGTGGCAGATGAATTAATCTTACCACTTATAGTGGACCACGTTCTCGATCATCCCATTCTTGGACTTCCCGGGATGGATTCACAGGCTCCTTGGCTGTGCTGGTAGGAAAACCTCGAAGTATTGCCTTTGAAAAGCCGGAAAACTTCTGCTGGCGCTATCAGCCAAGACACAAACTACATCTCAGCCGCTCGCACCATCCCCACTAGTCAAAGATAGGCATCATGATAAGCGAATAAGCCTCAATATGACAAATGCCAACTGAAACCATTCCCCCCAGCTTCATCTGTCCCGCACGCTCCCCTTGCACCGGCCTCCCCAACCGATTCGACCTTGTCGTGTCTCCGCCGGGTACCAACACGGGGAACACAATACCGGGACATTGTCGGTCACAAGAACAATAAACTCGAGGATGAAAGAATCCGAGTCCGGATCATGCGAGGCGACTCGTGGCTGGATGCGTGAATGTCCTATACTCGACTGCTCATAGGACGGAGCCAGAACCTTTCTCTTCCTTCGACCTGGTAAACAGAACCGAGACAAACTCAATGTCACGTGTAAGCGATTTGATTCGGGGAAGCGACGGATTGCTGTCCTCCATGCATCATGTCTCTGAATAGTCTCACCCCTCTCATCCGCAAGCATAACCTCTGGATGTTGGAAGGTAAAATTAGCGTTATGAGTTATCGATGCGATGACACCTTCTGTACGCTACAGGTGCATTAGCTCTGCATTAACCCTCTTAGTCCCCCAGGTCCGGGCCGACCTTTTTGGGCAAGTCGGAAGTCCATCCAGCCAATGGTTCCGTGCCCGCCTGAAACTTCCAGCCCAATCGTGTGTGCCCATCGTGCCTGAGGTGTGACCATCACGGGACCACTTCCCCCTCCTTTCATTTGTCGGATCCGACCAAGAACTCTCATTCCCCCATCCCACTCTTGAGCCCGTTCTCCTCTAAACTCCCCTCGGACACTGCTACAGCTGATGCCCCTGACTCGACTGAGACACCTCGTTCTCCTTCCCACGTCGGGTTAAGTTTCAACCCTGGACCACCAGAACCACTCACCGTTGGTCTGATATACCCCCTCTCCTCACCCGCCTTTGCACCGAAGGAATCAGGACCATGGTTTTGTTTGCTATCGATACGATACGAATCTGGGGCACCAAAGGGTCTGAGACTCATCATCCTGAGCTCTGACGAATGATACGTTCTTGAGATGTTATTAGATCGGTCTGGATAGACAGACATGCGATCGGATCAATCATTTTCCCGTATTAGCTTCTTTTCTGGTGCTATGATGGGGCTGCCTCCCCACTTGAAGGGGGTGGGGGGATCCTTCTTAGCAAACAGATGGGAGGTTAACGGGCTGTCATACCTGCCTGATACGCAAGGTCCGATATGCCTTGTCTTTCTTTTTGATTCCATTGAACTGATCCCTACCTTTCTTTATTTCTATTTATTATTTTGTATTTCATTGCATTTTTGTCCATTTTTATACTGGTTTTTTTTTTTTTTATGTCATTTTTTTTTCCTTTTTGTTTTGTTCACTCTACATTTAGTTTGATGTTTCGTATCTATCCATTTTTTATTTTGATGGCATTCTTATCCTTCTATCAAATTGTTCCCACTTTATTCTCCCTTGTCTGTCCATTTCCTTCAACACCTTGTTTATTGGTTTATTTCACCCAGTAATCTCTTCCTCTCGATACCTCGTTACTCATCCAAGGCTGCAGTCGAAAAATGCTAGCGCCAGGCTAACCAGACTAAGAATGTGGGGACCGCTTTGTTTGGCTTCCGACGCACATGGAGAAGAGTGGATGGAAACAACTATAGGTGCACTAACGCGTCACCCGATCCTCTGATTGGCAGGCACTTTGTGCCGCCAGCGAGTGCCGCCAGCGATTTACACCAACGAAATCGGCGCCAGAAACGACGAGACGCACAATGGAATGCGACCCTGCCGACAATCAATCTTCTTCCGCGGAGAACTGGATGACGACGGTGTGAGAGGAGTTTTTTTTTTTTTTTTTTTTTTTTTATCGTGCCCTGCCCTCCACTGGGTGGAAAGTTCCCACTACGCCTCAATTCGGAACCTTTCTGGACTTTTTGATTGGTCCACCAACCCAATCCTCCCCGGCAGATAGTCCTGACCCGCCAAGAGATGGCCTGGAAGGCTCGGAAATACAGTCCCCGATATAGAGAGTTGTCCTGATTTTATAAACCGGTCCGGACGTCATGCTGGCCTCCCTTGTGCGGCCCAAGTCTCTTCATTTACTCTGTTGCAGAGTTGGTGCTATATGTCCGATTCGTCGTCATCCACCCGTCTACTCGCCCCTGCTCCAGGCCAACCACAGAAGCCCAATGCGTCCGCCGACGATGTGGTACCCGGTCGAAAGCACAAGACCACGGCCTGCCGGGCATGCAAGTTGAAAAAGCTCAAGGTAATTCCCCCCCTTTCAGTTGGAAAGAACGTATGGGGATACCGTCTAACGTGGTCCAGTGCCGGGGTGATCCGCCCTGCGAGCATTGCGTGGCCAACCGGATCGAATGTGTCGTAGATGAGATGGCCGACATGCGTCGTAAATTTGCCATGAAGCGGAAATTGGATCGCTTGGAGCAAGCCGAAGACATCCTGACGCAATTGATCAAGGCACTGCGCGACAGCGAGAACAAGCGCCTGTCCCAGCTGCTGAACCTTATCCGGAGTAACGCGTCGTTGGAAGAGCTGCAGATCTTTCTGCAGCATCAATTCTCACGGGCTGAGATTGAACGGTCGCCAGAATTGCGCGAGATCCAACTCAAGATCCAGCGATCGTCCACCGAGTCTTCCTCGGAGGAAGGGTTCACTACCGGTCGGCAGCAGCGACCCCCGAGACGCATGCTAGAGTTGCGACGGCTGGTCGACATCCCGGTGCATCGGGTACCCGCTAAACCGTGGACTACGGCCACGGCCGACGACGACCTGGTGTCGCATCTGGTTTCCCTGTGGTTGACCTGGACCTTTCCGTTCTTCCACTGGTTGAACGCTGACGTGTTTGTTCGGGCCATGCAATCGGGCGACGTCAACAGCCCCTTCTGCTCGCCCTTTTTGGTGAATTCCATTTTGGCCGAGGCTAGCGTACGTAACGTGATCGTTCGAGGGTAAGATGAGTGATTGACCAGCCGCAATTTGGCAGTATTATTCGGACTATGCAGATGTGTTTACGGTGCCGGACGATATGCTGTCCCGCGGGGACCAGTTCTTCGAGGAGGCACGCCGGCTGCTGGATGTCGGCGACAACCCTTCTCCCTCTCTCGCGACCATTCAAGGTCTCTTGATTTTTTTTGTCCGGTATGTCTGTGCTCGTCTGAGGTTGATCGACCACACTGACGACAGTAGCATGGTACTTATGGGTAAGGATCGCATGGGCTGGATGTATTTGGATCTGGCCACGCGTTCCGCGGAGGACTACGCCGCTACACATCCACCCCGGCCCCCACAGTCGGAGGCAGAGAGAGTAACTCAGGACGTGGCCAGCCGAACCCTGTGGGGCATATTTAGTTTTGGCTCGTGCGTCTTCTCTCCTCTATCTCCTCTTTTCCTTTCTTCCATCCCTCCTCCCTCCTTCTTTCTTTGTGGGTAGGGCACTTCTTGGCTAACTTGGTCAGTACCGCAGCCGTGTCGTTGATGAAACATATCGATGTCAAACCGCCAAGCTGTCCCCGTGTGTCCATATCGCATGGGGATGCTTGTGACGTGTGGGTGCCGTATCCGAGGTCTGCGGACCGGGTGACTGGACATCATAACTGCGTGTTCGACCGCTGGTGCGATCTCTGCTGCATCACTATTCAGATTAGCCGAGCTTTCCACGACAATTCCGACCGGCCACCGCAGGCAGACCTCGTGGCGATTGTCGAGGATGTGTATCGGCAGCTGCAGGGATGGCATGCTAACTTGCCAGATTGCTTGGGTGTTGACACAGCCGCTGTGCCACACATACTCAGTCTGCAGTACGTTCCCCTCGCCGAAAAGGTGGACCACGCGTTCTAACCCGGTGTAGTTTATTTTACCACACCACTGTCATCCAAATCTTTGGCTTTCTTCGCTCTAATATCGACACGACGCTTGATCCCGGGGCGGGCGAGCGCGCACGGAACATCGGCATGTCGACAGCGCGACGCATAGCTTACCTCCTAGGTCTGCACCGAGAACGCTGGGGCATCGACCGGATGGCCCCGTCGACGATCCAGTGGATCAGCGTGAGCCTCTTCACTCTATTGGAGGGGTTGGATCAGCCCGAGAACCGCAATCCTTTCGTGGAGGTTCTGGTTTTGGGGCGAGCATTCGCTCGTCGCTTTGCCCTGGCCACAGGCATTATGAGGATGATCCAGCTATCGGCGGAGCAGATGCAGGTGGCACTTCCGGAGGAGACGCACGCACTGTTTGTGGATTTCCAGACGCAAACATGGGGCGACCGTGACGCCAACGGCTTTAGCAGCTTCTATCCGCATTTTCTGACGGTCGTGCAGCAGCCCGAAGCACGGCAGACGGAAGCCTCGATGGACAATTTTCTGGGGAAGTGGGATAATCTTAATCTCAAGGAGAAAGACAGGGATGAAAGCCATGACCATTAATGAATATATACCCTAGCAAGAATGTCAAATATAAATTCAATGTTATCAAGATTGACGGCCCTACGAATCGCCACTGACGTTATATACCTTAGACGAGAAATGAGAGAACAAGAGCTCAAATACCTTTCAACACCTCCCCAAATGATTCATCCAAAATGCGCAATCCTTCGTCTATCTCCTCCGGGGCGACCGTCACCGGCGGTGCCAAACGGAACACACCGCCCATGCCAGGCAAGTTCACCACATTACAGGACAATCCTTTGCTCATCGCCATGTCCGACACAGCCTGCCCGAGCTCCACCCCGGGCGCTTTCGTCTTCACATCCTCCAGGATCTCAATCCCCTGCAATAGGCCCTTCCCTCTCACATCCCCAATACACCAGTACTTCCTCTGCAGCGCCAGCAACCCCTCCCTGAGCTGCAACCCCCGCTCCGCCGCCCGCGCACACAATCCATCCCGCTCCACAATCTCCAACACCTTATCTCCAACAGCGGCAGTCAACGGGTCATTCAAATGCGTTGACAACCAAAGAAACCCCGCCTCGCGACACCCCCTCTCAATCTCCGCAGTCGTACAAACAGCCGCCAGTGGCAGCCCACACCCCAGCGTCTTACTCAGCGCCAAAATATCAGGCACAACGCCCCCATGGTCGGGGTCCTGAAACGCAAACATATGTCCCGTCCGACCAACGCCCGTCTGCGCCTCATCCAAAATCAACAACATCCCTCGCTTGCGACACTCCTCGCTCAACCTTGCCAAATAACCCCGCGGCAGATCCAGCACACCCCCCGTTGACAAGATCGGCTCCACCACAAACGCGGCCAACGACCCCACACTCTGCCGGTCGATCATCGCCCACCCGTACTCGAACTCCGTCTCCCAGTCATACTCGCCGTCCGCGGGCCTCCGAAACGGCGAGCGGAATGCGTACGGCGCTGGAAATGCCAATTGGCCGGGCATGCACGGCCCGCTACCGTTCTTGCGCCCCGCGGAATACGTCGCTGAGCCGGCGCCCTGCGTTAGGCCGTGGTAGCTCGCTGCGAAGGCGACGACTTCGAAGCGGCCTGTGTAGCACTTGGCCATCTTGATGGCTGCTTCGATCGTCTCGGAGCCGGTGTTTAGGAAGAAGGATTTGGAGAGCGGGGTGGGTAGGTGGTGTGCGAGGCGCTCGGCGAGGGCGAGGACGGGAGCTGTTAGCATGTTGGAGAGGAGGTGATCGAGCGTCGCGATGTGTGTCTGTACGACCGATACAATTTCTGGGTGCGAGTGGCCTAGGAGAGAGCTCATTTGGCCGGAGGTGAAGTCGAGGATTTGGTGCCCTTCCGCTGTATATAGTCTTGTGCCGGCTGCGCGGGTGATTAGGGTGGGCGAGTAGGGGACCCCTGTGTACATGAGGTGGGCGTTGGCTTTTTCGAGGAAGGCGGACATGTTGGCTTGTTTTGATTCTGAATTTTTGGGAAGATTAATTGGGATGTTGGATTTTGTTGGGAGTTGGAGGTTGATTTATGGAATTATATAGATGTGGTGACCATGGCCGCGGGGAAGAACAGCCAATTGGAGACTCTGTCGTGTGGTGGAGATGGAGGGGGATTCTTTGCCGCGGGGAAGGCGTCCTCTCCTCTCCTCTCTTGTTATCTTCATGGCCTGTTCTGGTAAAGTGTTATCTCTGTACTTCCATTGTAACTTTGTGTTCTAGATTTTGAATCTTCTCGGACGGCAGTGTTCGTATACAAATGCATCATGCACAAACGGAGAGACCGTATCGCTCCCATCGCCATCCCGCCTGTCTCGCCTGCAGAAAACGCAAATCGCGCTGCAAAACGCGGGATGCGCCCTGTTGTATAATGTGCCAAGTTCATGGCACGGAGTGTGTTTTTCCCGAGGAGCGAATGTCTCGAACGAGGAGATCTCCCCGGAAACCAGCAACTACCAGGCAGCTAAAACCGCGTCTACAAGTCGCAGCAATGGCCAGCGATGGACCAACTCAGCTGGAATCCACCCCTCAAGTAACTTTGGAAGATCCCCAAGACACAATTCAGTCTGATACCAGTGGTACTCAGTCCCAGAATAAAAGCGATGAGCTGTCAGATATCATGGGCCTCGATGCCGAAACAAACCCCGACAACGCCCACATCGTCAGCCCCGCTGTGGCCGACGACAACACCATTCTCGAGACTTACCTCTCTCCTCTGCCTGGCTCTCGCAGACGCATGATGAGACCGACAGTCAATGGGACCCGACCAGTCCTTTTCAACACAGTGCAGCGTCGTCCGCTGGGCGTATCGTGCAACCAGTCTCTGGCAGGCAGTAAATGCCAGATCATTGAGAAACTCATCGAGCCGCACGAACACGACCTGGTTGATCTGTACGCATGTCCTTCTCCCCGCGACCATTGCTAGACAGAGCTAAAACGTGGTAGATTCTTCACCCACTTCAACCCCTGCTTCCCCCTTTTCGACGAGTCCTCCTTCCGCAAGATCTACACGAACCACCGGCACAAGATCTCCCCAGCTGTGCTGTCAAATTTATACGCCAATGCCCTCATTTACTGGGACTGTTCTTCTAACTTACAGGGCACCCGTGCCCCGGACGGCCGTTTCATCTGGGTCCTAGCCTGCGAAGCGCTACACTCTGAGATGTTTCTCGCGCCTGGGACATCGACAGTCCTCGCTATTATCCTGAATGTGTGTGGACGGCCTAGCACGTCTGTCTTCGGCAATGGCGGTCTGATGGGCATGGCGGTGTCGCTGAGCCATGCGCTGGGCTTGAACCGCGATCCATCTGGTTGGGACATCTCGCCCGCGGAGAAGAAATTTCGTGTGCGGATTTGGTGGTTGGTTGTTGTGCAGGAGAGATGGTCTTACTCCACCTTGCTTTTGAAACAATGACCCATGCTGATGATTAAGTAGGTGCAGTCTTGCGTATGGCACTCCGCTGCAGATACACCGCTCTCAGTACGATGTGCCTCTCCCGTCGTATACACCAGAGCAGAGTCTCTCGTCTGTATCGCAGATCTTCACATCCTTGGTATCCCTAACAGAGGTACTGGGAACATCCCTCGAGCACGTCTACAGCGTCGACACTGTCTCCTCCTCCACTACACCAGAATCACTCGCCGCCCTCTTAATAGACTGGGAAAACGGCCTCCCTCTAGAGCTCAAACATACCATCCTAAAAAACAACGCCAACATCCACCATCCAGGCGCAGCCAACCTTCGTCTCGCCTACTTAGCAGTCACTCTACTACACCGCCGCATCCAACTCAACCTCAACACCCCACCCTCATCCAACGAAGAGCAATACAGCGCCGCGCATGTCGCGGCAGAAACCATCGTGCACTTCGTGCAGTGCCTCCACGAGACGCCCTTCCCTGGCTTCTGGATCCCAATGAACGCGTACGCCCTCACCTCCGCGACGACCTTCCTGCTGCGGAGTGCGCTTCATGGGTCTGCGCACAGCGCACTCTCCATACGGCTGGCGAGGCAGATGGTGTGTGCGCTGAGGGAATTGAGGGATCGGTATGGTTGGGATCTGGCGGATCATTGTCTTGGACAGTGCTCCGAGATGCTCGATAAAGTTGAGAGTGTTGTGGGGGGCGCCGGTGGTGAGCTGGTGGATGAGTGCGTGGGGTTTTCTCTGGAGGAGTTGTTGGAGGTTGTTGATGGGGAGGGGTTGTTTGGATGGGATTTGGGGTTTGATGTGTAGTGCGATATTCTAGTTATTTATATCCTGTACTTTCTATGTAGGAGCGGGTGCGATAGACTAGGCATATCTATGAGCAGTCAACTGTGGTGCAAAGAATTACGATTACCACTCGGCCACAAAAGATACTTAGACACGTTTGCGCTTCTTGGGTATTCTTTGATAACGTCTTATATTGCGATAACTAATAATACCAATATTGTTAGGTCCATTGCCAGTATATAAACAAAGCATCCATCTTCTAGTCCTATTGATGTACCTGATCTCGTGACAACAACAGATGGATGACGTCATCACGCGACCATCATCAACATCTCAACCTCGTCACACCATCTCTCCTCTTCCCTTCCTATGCCCTACCTCTCCCAGCATGCGTCCCTCTATCCTCCATCCATATAAATACAAACCGCCATGTGCCTACAGACTCCCCCGTATATACAGACTCCTCCGGACAAAAAGCACAAACTCCAGACCCACCTGTCTCGAGACCGGCCATATCGCGCTGGGACCCACCGATGGCCTCATCTTCATAAGCAGTATGCCTGCCTGCTGATTTGCCCTACATGATAAAGTTCAATCAAAATAACGATCGCAGACATCTTTCCAACCAAACTCCAATGGCTCCTCACCCCGCTAGGCGGCAGCGCAGCCTACGCTTCCATCCTGAAGCGCCTAAATAGACCGCACATTGCGGCGTCGGACCCCGCGCGGATTGTGGAGTGCGCGTTCCCTGCTTCCCAAGACGTGGAAATTAAGGAGGTCGTTCCCCAGTTTTACGAAGGGGGCGCGTTTGTGCGCTTTTCGTCGTTGTCGCAGACAGATCTTGGCCAGAAAAGCCGAGAGAAAACCATCGAAGAAGCAGTGCACGAGCACCTCGCTCAGCAACCTATCCGACCATGGTTCAGTCCCTTCCGCACAGCGACTGTCCACACCGTGCGCGGACACCCTTGGATCGAAGACCTGTATCGCATTCCGAGCCAGCGGCTGCGCGTGGATTTCCTCCCTACCAACGGAGATACCCCCGGAACCGTGACTGTCGAAACGCTCTACTCGCTCTTCAGACGGTACGGTAAACTGCGCAATGTAGATGTCGTGCAACCGGACCCCAAGTCCGCTCCGCGGTACGCGCACGTTGAGTTTTCTCGCGCGCAGCCTGCCGTCGTTGCCAAAAGCTGTCTTCACGGGTTTACGCTCCCTGGATGCAACAGCAACGGTACAACGTTGAGAATCAGCTACGCGCGGAAGATCAAGCTCGCTGCAATCCGCGACTGGGTGTTTTCGCACCCGCGTATCATCATCCCGCTGCTAGCCGCGCTCGTCGCAGCCATCACGGTGACAGTCTTCGACCCGATCCGGCGCTTCTTCATAGAGATGAAGATCAAAGCGACGCTGCAAACGGAGGAGAACGCTATCGTGCGCTGGGTAAGCAGACAATTCGACGAGGCAAACCGTCGGTACAATTTCTTCTTCGGCGGGAGGAGAGACGGCCGGCCTGACGCGCGTGGGCTAGCAGCCATCTGGGCCGACCGGGAGGGCGACATTTCGCAGCTGCGGGCGTGGCTGAGCGATACGCCGGAGACGTTCATCGTTGTGCATGGCCCTCGGGGGAGCGGCAAACGCGAGATGGTGCTCGATCGCGCGCTGCAGGGCCGGCGGTACAAGCTTACGATCGACTGCAAGCCGATCCAGGAGGCGCGCGGGGACGCGGCGAAGATTGCGCGCGCCGCGGCGCAGGTCGGCTACTGGCCTGTGTTTTCGTGGATGAATAGCCTGTCGAGTTTGGTTGATCTGGCTGCGCAGGGCGTCATCGGGGCCAAGGCTGGGTTCTCGGAGACGCTGGATGCGCAGCTCAGCAACGTGTGGGCGAGCACGGCGACGGCGCTGCGGGCTGTGGCGCTCGAGGGACGGCGGAAGACGGATCGCGACGCGCATCTCTCGGACGATGAGTATCTTGAGGCGCATGCGGAAGCCCGGCCTGTCGTTGTGGTCGATAACTTCTTGCATCCGGGCAGCGAGACTGGTGTTGTTGACGAGAAGATCGCTGAGTGGGCTTCGGGCTTGGTAACGGGGAATATTGCGCACGTTATCTTCCTCACGGCTGACGTGTCGTTCGCGAAGCCGCTAGGTCGCGCGTTGCCTAACGCCGTGTTTAAGACGATCGCGCTGGGCGACTGCTCGCTCGACGTGGCGCGACGGTTTGTGTTCAACCATTTGGCGGATGCGGCTGCGCCGGGGGAGGGCGAGCTTGAGGCGAATGGGCTCGGCAGCTGTATTGAAGAGCTTGGGGGTAGGGTAACGGACTTGGAATTTATGGCTCATCGGATTGAAGCGGGGGAGTCGCCTAGAGGTATCCCTCCTATCCTTCTACTCCAAAGAGATAATATACTAACAAGACCAACAGCGGCGGTCAACCGCATAATCACCCAATCTGCCACCGAAATTCAAAAGCTCTTCCTCCTCAACGACTCCACCACCCGCCCCTGGACACCCGCCCACGCATGGTACCTAATCCGCACCCTATCCCAATCTAAGACCCACACCCTCCGCTACACCCAAGTCCTCCTCTCCGACCTCTTCAGCAGCACAAACGGCGAAGCCACCCTCCGCGCGCTCGAACAAGCCGAGCTAATCACCATCACGACGAAGAACGGCTGCCCGGAGACCATCCGGCCCGGGCGGCCGGTGTACCGGGCCGTGTTCCGGCAGCTGATGGCCAACGAGTCGCTGCGGGGGCGCATGGAGTTGTCGATTCTGGGCGTGTTGACGGCGAGGGAGACTGCGCGGATTGCGGAGTGTGAGGAGGAGTTGGGGGTTTTGGGGGCGCTGCCGAAGCAGCCTTGGGAGGTGGGGGGGAGGGTTAAGTGGTTGTTGGGGAGGGTTTATGAGGCGCAGAGGCGGGTGGAGGGATTTGAGAGGGAGAGTTCTGTGTTGAAGAAGTTGTTGGGGGTATAAATCCCACGTTGATGGGGTATGTATCGCATTTGCTGTGGTTAGCAAATGTGAGCTCTCTCAACGCGTAATTTGGGGCTTTTTATCTACTCGTTCAATTAAACCACCCCTCTCAGTATATAGTACTATGTATGTATCAACGACCACCTTGAATGAAGAATCCACCTCGTCCGTTGACTGTATACCTACCGGGCTCTCATCCATGATGAAAAATAATCATACACAAGGACCCTGAAATGCACACAAGGTTAAACGCCCACCCCACAACCCAGCTATAATAGGCCGAACATGCCCCACCACAGCCTCTGAAGATCCGCTAATTATAAGCCTAACCAGGGAATCCTAATCAGTAACCTAACCAAACTCACCACATCATCTCCCCATCGACGTCAACATCACCAACCGGTTCGACATGGAAAAACGATCACCGATACGGCGACGGCCAGCGCCAGCGCCAGCGCCAGCGCCAGCTCCAGCTCCAGAGTATATACCATCCACATCCGCAACACCACCCAGTCCCAGTTCCAAATCAATGATCAGCATACACGATGAAAAACACCACCACCACCAACAACAACAACAACAACCCGATCAACCCGAAAATGGAGACAACGACGCCTCCCCACCCCCCTACCACCCCATAACCCTCATTGAGAACCAAATCGACACCGACCAACCCCGCCGCTCGCGCATCCTTCCCATCCCACTCGTTATACCCCGTATGCCCCCATCCCCTCATCCTCCCCCCACCCCCTCCAAACCCAACCCCACCCCCAACTAACCCCTCCACCAAACAACAGAAACAAGCCACACCCTCCACGGCAGTATCTACCGCCCCTTCACACGCGCCTACTCCCCCTCCCTCACATCCCACGGCATCCCCCGCTCGGACTTCCTCTCCTTCATCGACGGCCTCAACAACGCCTGGCTCGCCCACCCCTACCTCCAAGCCGTCTCCACAACCTCACACCTACTGAACTTCCTCCCGCTACTGGAGACGCAGATCGTCGGCCTGGGTGTGTCCGTCGCGGCCGAATACGGATCCATCAAGCTGTCGCAGGCGCGCACGCAGGCCTATCTGCGGATCGCGAACGAGTCGCTTTTTGCCCCGCGCGGTCTGAGGGTGCAGATTTTGAAGACGGCTTCGATGTTGGAGACTGTTGGCGTGGAGTCTGATGTACTGGAGTTGCCGCCTCTGCGGGGAGATGGCGCTTCTTCTGTGGAGGGGGAGCCTCCGCGTTATGGGGATGGAGGGGAAAGGGAGGAAGGCGGGGATGGAGGGGAGGAGGGATTGGATAAGGGTAAGGGTGGGGATGGTGGGGATAGGGCGAGGGGGAATAATAAGGAACAGTATGATCCGCAGGTGCGGAGGCTGGAGGCGCTCGCCGGCCACGTCCTCCCCATCCGCTTCGATGGCGAGCGGACCGACAGTGATAATTGGCTGAAGCGCGTGACGGCGAAACAAGAGCGGTGGTTCACGACTCGCCAGAATACGGGGCTGGGGGTGAAGCGGGATAAGGCGGCGCGGATGGCGGAGAAGGCGGAGCGGGCGGGGGCGGAGATTGATGCGCGGATAGCGGAGGTGGAGGCGGTGGGGGAGGGTGCGCGGGAGAGGGCGCGGGAGAGATTGGCGGGCCCGCTGGGCGAGTCGTTGCAGGGGAGGGGCATTGTGCGGGATGATCTTGATAAGGAGATGAAGGGGGTGGAGAGGAAGCTGGAGAAGTTGAGGAGGGAGAGGGAGGCAAAGGTTACGAAAGTGATAATCAAGAGTGAGAAGCGGGTGATGAGGGTTGAGAAGAGGGAGACGAAGATTGCGCAGAAGGTTATGTGGGTTGTTGTTACGGGGGATGATGCTGGGGAGGGGGAATTTGTGAATCATTTGTATGAGGATGAGGATGATGATGATTCTTCTTGAGTCTTATTGCTTATTAGCATTAGATACATCTAGATTTTATTATATATTAATATGTTAAGCTATACATCCCCGTCCGACCCTTTCTCAAGCGCAGGTCTCTCAAGCGGCGGCGTCTCCCGCGAATATCCATACATATACCAGTAATAAGTCGCGCCGAACAAAACACCACCCACAACATTCCCAATCAACGCCGGAATGATCCCCTTCCAGATATACAACCCGACCGATATATCAGGTGCACCCAGCCAGATCGCCATCGGGATGAACATCATATTAGCGACAACGTGCTCCAACCCCAGCGAGCCGAATGCGTAGATTGGCCACCAGATGCCGACCACCTTGGAGGTGAGGTCGCGGCCCTGCATGCCGAAGTAGCACGCTAGAGACACCAGCCAGTTGCAGCCGATGCCGCGCAGGAAGATGTGGTGGAAGTCGGGCGTGACTTGCTTGATCGTCGCAGATTTGATCACTTGGGATTTGTAGGGCTCGGTGGAAAAGACTTCTCCGTCTGTGGATTTGTTAGGGTGAGATATGTCGGAAAGCTAGGGGGAGGCGGGGGGTACGTACAGCCGAAGATGATGGAGACTACGAAGAGTGAGCCTGCGAGGTTGCCCCAGAAGGTGATGAACCAGTGCATGAGCATCTTCCACCAGGGGAGACGGCGTTGGAGTGCGGCGACCGTGGTGTACTGTCTTTGTTAGCTTGTACCAAATAGTAAGATATCGAGGTAACGCACCAGGAAAGAACTCGTGCAGAGATCCACGCCCGTCAGGATGATCATGCACAGGCCGTACGGGAAGACCATTGAGCTGATGGTGCGAATCAGTCCCGGCGCATTCTCCTGGAACCACGGTGCAGTGGCGGTGCTGAGGAGACTGCCACAGGCGAATGCCAGCAGGCCGCCGCCTGAAACAGCGCTGAGGAAGATCTTTTCAAGCGGCATGTTGCCCTTGGTCACCCCGGCCCGCGAGATGATCTCGATCACCTCCGGGGGGCTGAATGCGTCCAGTTTCAGGGCCATTGTGAGGAATTGACGTGGAGGGTGAGGAGCGTGCCCACACACGGAGAGAGTGAATGTTATATGTGTGGAAAATCAGACCGCATGTGAAGCGGTAAGGCACAGATTTTTGTCCTTGATGATCGGCATCCGCACCCTCGGGACGCGCTATAGGGACTAGAGCGGCGAACCAAAGTATTAGAGATTACGCCACAATACCGAGTCGGCCTTTGACCGGGCTTGATTGACTGATATCGGACTATATTACTAATGGCACATCATGGCACTCTGGTTGGTTGTCTCTTCTCCGAGGGTTCATGTTATTGAGATCCCGTGCCATTCGAAAGTGTCATCTTATCTCCACAAGATAAGGCGTGAGCGACATGTCCGCGGGGAAGTTATGGTTGGCCAGTCTGCATGTTCGGACGATCCCGGACCACGGTCGGTATCTAGGACTGCTTGGGGCCGATATAGTCTAAACTGTCAGCGCACCGCAAGCGAGAGTTGGGGGCGAAAATTCCCATAAGTTTTTCTTTTCCTCACTAACTGTTCTTCTCTTTTCCGTGGGCTGACACCAATCAAATCCCTTGGAACCATTCCCCGAAAAGTTTCTGTCGCGGCGACATTATGCTCCACTTCCCCTGGGCGGACACACTGATGGGCCGAGTATTCCGCGGGCGAGCGGTGTTCGGGTTCGGGATTTGCAACCACGGGAACTCAGACCCTGAATTTGTGTGTCCGTGAGTGCATCATGCCACCGGACTCCCCTGCAGTAATTCGCTTGGTAATCCGCTGGACAATTGACTGTCTCGTGCTGGTTGCGTCGCATACACAAGCCCGACTTTTCCTGAGTGGTCTCCATTTTTGAAAACGGCCCATCGTCACTTATCAGCTAATCTGAATCAGCCTGGTTGGCACCCACGCGACACAAGACCAGGTCATTGTGATGGCGTTGGTTCCAGACGTTTGGATCGACTGGCCCGTAGATCGTTGCTCAGAGGATACCGAAAAGTAGGCTAGTCTTGCCAACTTTAATCCTGACGCCATTCACCTTAGGCAAGGCTTGTCTGGTGGGGTTTGGATTTCGTTAAACAGGTAATGCTTTAATCGGGCCTGGAGGACAGCCGAAGCGAAAACATGGAAATTTGAAGTCCATATTTGAAAATAATGGTGGAAATCTTGGTTCTGCAATATACGTTCTCAATTTGAGTTGAAGCTTCAAGTTGAAGAGCGGTATTTTCGCAATTATCAAACAGATTGCATTCCGTGTCGTGTTTCCAGGTGGTAGGTATCACGAGTAGAAATTCTGCTATACTTGAGCTCTATCTGAGGATGTGGTAGAGCATGACCTCATATTATGTCTATGGTCGTGATAGTTAGAAGAGCATACCTTGCCATTCCAGGCATGGTAGTGTCATTCTTGGGAAATAGTTAAACCTTGGGAAGGTGATTTTTTTTATTGCACTCGCTTGCCCTCGGTTATCACTCATAGTCTGTGATATGAGCCCGCTCATTACTTGCACGGTTTTCCCCTTGAATGTGATATCAAGGGTTGATTCAGATCTCCAGCTTATTCTCACCGGAGCCTTTCCTGTGTGTATGTTCTTGGCAAAGTCTAGCACCCGGGACGCTGATATTAGTGGTTACCAATGCGTTTTCATTAATATGCCAAGAACAGAACTAGCATGTGTGGGATATTACCTGGTTGTTGTTAAACTTCGCAATCATTATTTGTGGCTGTCCAATCATTCGTCTCTACGGCACTCGGGTAGATGTCCAAACCACACTGCGGGAAGTGAGGCGACCGGTGCCGGAGCCATGGGATCCGTCGATTCCTTGGAAATGGCAAACACTTCAGCTATCCTCCACCGGCGTCAAGACGGTGGAACCCCATCACGAAGCTTGAGCAGACCCACAGAATCTATACGAGCAGATCACTTCCAGCCGGCACAGATCACGTCACCTGTTCGGTCAATTCAGGGCCATCACGTTTCCACGGTAGATTCGACACAAAGCATTGGAGGCCCGAGCGACTGGAATCATTGGGCGTACGCGACGTCTCGATGGGACCAGCAACTATACGGCACAACGCCCACTAGCGAACCCCCCAGATTTAGTATCCCGTTTTGGGGACGGCTGGTAAAAAGATGACTCCTCTAAAAGTATAAGCGCTGTGGCGGTTGTTCGGAGCGGTCATCCATCAGCCAGGGACTCCGTTAGCGGCGGCCCCTGATGACACTATCTCCTGCACGCCGTGTTTGTGTACTGGTGATTGGTAAGTGACGAATTGAGTCCACTGGAAGGATGCTGGGACCAGTGGGGAGAGGTTCCATGACTCAATGGTTACACTGGATCAGAATTCATGGTCGAATGCACTGTATAGTCCTTGATAGGATTGGGTTTGTGATGAGTGGGCCGGTTTCTTTCAAGCCACGCCCCGCCTCAACGAATAGCGATCGAAGAGTCTGCCGAGCTCTCTCCCCGGCCCGGGGAGGATAGACCCACTAGGCAGTGTCATGCTGGGGTGTCCAGCGTGAGACGTGCGATCTCTCTCGAGTCTCCAGAGGATTTGCGAGTGACACAAGTGTAACCAAGTATTGCTCTCGGGACATTCGCAGCTCGGATATTGGTCATTCGAATGAAGAATCGAGAAGCCCTGACGCTTACTATACCGGATAAGCCTCTGACGACAAGTGACGAAACAGGGTCATTTCGCATTTAGATCCGGGCCGCAACTAGCCGGGATGGACAGTACGTTTCACAGGCCAATCGAGTCACGGTGTAGAAAAGAAACAAAGAAGGAAAGAAGGAAAATACAGGGTCAGACGCGTTCCGAGGTGCACATCCAAGGCAAACATCGGATACCGCGTTCAGTCGCCCATGGTTAGTCTAGCATCGAGACTCGCCAATGAGCGGGGTCGAAGACGCCTGACTTCCTCTCAGATATTAAATCAAGGCACAGCATCCCGGCTCGCACTTCACAAAGACAATATCCGGATATTCTGTCATGGTAGCGTCCATTATGCTTGGCATGGCCCCTCATCGAAACCAGAATGAGCTTCGCGATTGCAACCTGTACATATGAGAATAGAGAAGGTAGCATTCTATCACACAACAAACGTCGACAATCCCAAATCATAATCCATGAGAGTCAGCTGCGTGATCGATCACCATCGTCCGACTCGGTTTACCAGGATCTGGCTAGCTTGGCGTGGACGGGGCGATTGGCAGACAGCGCTGACAGGGGTGCGCAGGCAGGATTGGCCGTCCCGCGGATCGGGTATAGATTAGACATCAAGAACAGACCACCGGAAAAGTCAATCTTTACCCGACACCCTGGAAACTATACCCCATCCCGGGATGTGACATGGAAAGCAAGCCATGGAGGATGTCCCGAGGCTGGAGGGGACCAAACGGGGAGGGGGGCCGAATGGGATCGACAGGCGTTTCCAGGTCGGGAGGGTGCGTGTGGAACAAGACTAGACTTAGACCAGACCAAGACAACTAATGGTTTGGGATTAGAGCGAGACTATTGTAATAGTTTAGGGGAGTATGTCCCCCTGGTATCCTGTGTCATGGTAACGGGGAGAAGAGGGGAGCCATCTGCCGTGTCTGGTTGATTTCCTCCCCCTTAATATCGACTGGAAGAGTCCCAGAGAAGGATGAGTTGGAGATGGAGAGGAATATATTGGAGAAGCCGTCAAAAGATCCCAGGGATCAAGTCTAACCCGAACAGGTATACTGTGTACGGTAAGTTCCATCGGTATATCACACCCCTGTGAGTATACCCAAGTACCCCAACTTATACTTCATTTTTGTGTCCTGTGTTTCTCCTCATGTCCCAATTGAAAAGATGATATATTGAATGTAGATTATAGATCACGGGAATCATCCACCAAACTATCAATCCACTGTAAATACCTCCAGATTGTTGGATGAAGGTTGATGCATCAGACAGCAATACGAAATGTAATGTCCTGTAACGGGTATTGAACCGGACTCTCCTTTCCTCCAATTTCGGCCCCATTACGATGGATAATTGGGTATCAAGATGTGATGATGACCGACTATTTATTCGACTAACTTGATTGGATTTGCTTATGGTCAGACTGGGAAGAATAAATGACTGCATTAAATATGAAAGACTTCCCCCCTCTCTTCCCCTCCACCGTCATTTAACGTCTATCTCAACCCGTGGTGTTGGATCTGCTTGATTGATGATTGCTACCTATTCTGCTGGATTAATTACCCCGGTCTAAATTAATTACCTTCCATTACCCCGTATCTGTCGTCATTACTCTGTCTTGAATTTTATCTCACTCTAATTCCTTCTGTCTTTTTTTCCCTTTTTTTTCTCCATCTCTTCATTCCCCTCTCTTTCTCTCTCTCTCTCTCTCTCTTCCTCACTCTCCTGTCTCTTTCTCTCTCATACTCTTTTCTTCCCCCAGATATTCAAATTAATAATAAACCCCCCCTCCCCCCCAATTCCCCCCCATTCTTCCCCCCCAATCCTTCCCCCCCGTCTCCCCGTCTCCCCGTCTCCCCGTCATCTTCGGTTCCTCGTTCTCCCCGATGTATGCCTTCCCCCACATTACTTCATTGTCGCCATGAAGTCCACCTCTAGTAAACACTTCTGCTGCACTATCTGTCAGCGAGGGTTTACCCGAATTGATCACCTAAAACGTCATCATCTCCGCCGTATGTTCTATTCCCCCTCTTTCGCTCCCCATCCCCCACTCCACCTCCCTCCACTCCTCCACTCTCCGTCCCGCTCCGTGTCCTGCATAGATTTAGATCCCCTGGCATACTTCCATTCCTCCCTCCCCATCCTGCGGGACCCGTCAACTGACTAAGGCTGGGAGCTTCGCAGATTCCGGTGTGAGACCTTATTCATGCGTCTTCTGTCATGAATCGTTTGCACGCTGGTTCGTCTATAGTTGCCTTGCTTTTTTTAGGCGTCTTCCTGGGGCCTGTCCCTTCCATTAAAATCCGAACCGTTCGCTGATGGTTCCGTCCGGGGTAGTGATAACCTCCGCGACCACTATTCAGATTGCGCCAAACGGGCCGGTCGCAAGATCCCTGAGACCGGCCAGAGAGGTCGCCGCCGCCATGCCTGCCAATCGGTAAGATGGCCCGGTCTATGGTAACCCCGTCTGGTTCAGCTTTGACCCGTCATTCCTGCAGTGCACGTCCATGAAACTCCGATGCGATGGCTTGAGTCCGTGCGGATCCTGCCAGAAAAGAAACCTCCTTTGCAATAACGGTCGCAAGGATGGACCCAACTCCCCCTCGGACGAAGGTATTTATTGATCCGCCTTATCGATCTTTCTCCACCATCAGGTTAGACGGACGCAGGCTCATCGATTTAGCATCGCCGTCGTCGAGACAAGACGGCCCCCCGTCCGATCGCGGTTCTATCAAATTTCTCTTAAACGGTGGCACCGATGGCTTCACCGAAGACTTCCTCCTGCCTCCCCGTGATGACCGAGTCCGCGGCCTGGAATACAATCGCAAAGGCATGGAGGACTATGGAGACTACCTCGGGACGAATGACGGGTCGGAATCGCCGCCTTCGATTGCGGTCCCAGACCCCGATCCATCAGGGCTCTCGCTTTTCCAGGATTCCCTGTTCGAGCTCTTTGCGGGTCCCTTGGGAGACCCCGACAAGTCGTTAGGCGAACAGTACACCGACGTCCCTATGCAGACGGTGGTGGCCCCATGCTTGGATCTCGACCTGGGATTGCCCGTCCCGGAGCCCATGATTATCGAACCGGAGAGACCGTTTGCCATCAACTTGGTCGACGCCATAGTGCGACGAGTGTGGTCCCTTCCCTTGGATCCGAAAACCCAGGGAGAGATCACGACCATGGCGGAATCCTTATTGACGACCGCTCGCATACGCAAGTACGTCGCGCTGTATTTCAGGTACTGGGAGCCCAGCCTGGCCATGCTCCACGGGCCGACGTTCGACCCGGAGACTGTCCCCATGCCCCTTCTCCTCGGAGTGGCCTTCATGGGCGCCATGTATTCGTCGGATGAGCAGGAGACGCGCGTGGCCAAGCGACTTCTGGACTTTGCGGAACTAGTTGTCTTTTCCAACGACGTGTTTGCCCCGGAGAATGATATTACCGCCACATTCTGTGGGACCGGCGACCGCAAGGACGAGAGCAATGATTGGACATACTTTCAAAATTTCCAGGCGGGGTTCGTCATCTTGATCGTCCAGTACTGGTCCGGCTGCCGTGTATCGCGTAATCGCGCCATGGAGGTTCGGTTCAGCGAACTGGTCAACGTTGCGCGCCGGATGGGCCTTTCGAAGTGTCGACACGGAACCGCCGACCGGAGTCACGAGCTGCTCTGGATCCGGCGAGAATGTCACATTCGGTATGTTCTTCGCCTTGAGATACCCGGAGGCGATACTGACTATATAGGACTATGAACATCATCGTGCTGCTCGACTGCGCCTTCTCCTTCTACCAAAACTACCCATGCCGGCTCGCGCACACAGAAATCGCCTGTGACATGCCATCGATCCAATCCCTATTCTTCTGCCAACATCCCTTCGCGGACCCGAACTTCCACGTGACGCGTGACCAACCGACGGTGTACGAGGCTTTCCAATGTCTCTTTACGGGGTCCAGTGGTGCCGATGGCGTCGCAACCAGCGCCACCAACTCGCAAGACACAGTCCGCATGGCGAGCCGCACCGTGTTCGACATGTTCATTCTAGTGCACCGTGAGTCTCCTATTTGAAACACAACGGTCCCATACTAACCATCCAGTGCTGTACTCCTTCATCAACACCCACATGACCCTGCTAGGCTCACTCCTACGCAAACCAACATTGTCACACCGGAACTCCACATCCGAGGATCCCAGCAACAAACGACCCCAGCTGCGCCTCCCCGAAGACAGCACACTAGCAGGGATCCGCAAGGCACTAACAAGATGGCACGACCACTGGTCGACCCTGCGGACAACAATCCCACCCCACGAGTGGGCCTCAATGGGCTTCTACAAAAACGGATACAACTTCTGGCTCGTGTCCCAGCTGATGGTCACGAAGAAGGACAGCATGGATGTCGTGATGAATATGGAGGTGAAGTGCGAGGATAAGCTGGAGAAGCTGAAGGTGTTGCTCCAGGATGATAGTGAGTAGGCTACATGCTAGCGAGTAGGGTAGGATTGATGGGGATGGAGATGTGTATCATTAGCGAGGAGAGGCATGTTTGGTTTTGATATGATTGATGACTATTAGCATTAAGGTGTTGGGGGTTATATAAGGATGCATTTGTATATTGATGGTTGGTGTTGGGTTTTATTGGTTAGATTATTAGTATATATATTTATAACAAACATACTTATTGAGACACTTTATCGGACTTGGTCCATGGACCAGTGTTATAGATTATGAGGGTGTAGTTCCTGTCACCTAATCGATATCAGTCCAACGAAGTAGAATTAACTAGTATCTATGCCCAGCCTTCCCTAACTATATACACCATGTATATACAAGACCTAACTCCACAGATCTACACAACCATGGTACCTATATGCCAAAACATATTTAAACCCAAAGTCCAGCTCCACAGAATATCGATGAGTAAGATCAGCAAACTCAGCCATATACTGACTACCAGAGAGTTGATGAAGGAACCACTTGCTGACATCGCTCGCAGAAATGCTGACCACCAACCCTTGCCACGTCTAATCGTGATTGGGGGTGTCCCTGCGCAATGTGTTCGCTGATCTATGTAGGTCCATATCTTGTGAGATCATTAGTTTGTGTTTGGTCTGCGAACCCGTCATACAGATGTGTTGATTTGGTGTGTGACTCAATATATAAAAGTTGAGAGAAGGACTGCCGTGTGGGTTGGGGTTTGTCGGAGATTCATTCTCGTCTTCCATATATATCAGATATCTGGAAAGTATACACGATGTTCTCCCTACAACCCCTCCTATATTCATTATCTCTCCTCCTCTTCCTCCTCCTCCTCCCACCCCCGACCATCCAGGCAACAACAACCCCACCCCCAAAAGCCTACATCCTCCCTCCCACCCCCGTCCCCAGCCCCGCCCAAATCCTCACAACAGTAACCAACACGCACGCCTTCGCGGGCCCCCACCTCCTTTACAACAACGGCACCGCCTACGAAGGCTTCTACTTCGACACCGTCTCCACAAACTCCTCCACCCCCTCAGCCATCATCCTCCAATTCTACCCCGCCTTCCTAACAACCCACAGCGCCATCCTGCTTAACGCCCTCCTCCCAGACGGATCCCTCATCCAGGAGACCATACCCGCGGGGGCCCTCACGCTCTCCACAACAGGCGATGGCAGCCAAGCCCGCGCCCAAGACGGAGCAATGTCGTGGTTTGCAGCAGATGACTTGTCTGCGCTGGTCGTCGAGCTGAACGTCCCTGAGAAGGGTGTGTCGGCTAGTATCACGATGCGCGCGCGCGCGCCACTGCACGTGCCTTGTGGGGAGAAGAGGGAGGGCGCGTCGTATATGTTGACGGAGCTGTTGGGGTGGGCGCCTGTTGTGGCTGATGCGGAGGCGAGGGTTGAGATCGCTGTTGATGGGAGGAGGTGGGCGTTTGAGGGGGCGGGGTATGCGGATCAGGTTTGTCTTGCCTTTGAACCCCCCATGCTTTGGTGTTTGTTTATTCTGGGGTAAGGCTAATGTTTGTTTTGGGATAGATATTCAGCCTCCAACCCCTCTTTGTTGACCTCGCGCAGTGGTACTGGGGCCACGCTCGTGTCGGTCCTTACTCGCTTGTTTGGTACTACTATGTTGATGCTAAGCATCGTGTAAGTAAGAGTTTCCAGCTGGCGCGGGATGGGAAGGCGGTTGTGGCTACTTGTGGAGACCGCAGCGGGACGGTTACTCCGCTTGGTGGTGGTGGTGTGCCGGTGGCTGACCCTGCGGGGATTACGGGGTGGGTGGTGAGTGTTATGGATGAGCGGGGAAGAGAGTATAGGTTTGAGGTGCGGAATGAGCATGTTGCGCAGGATAGGGATCTTATGGGGGCTGCACATGATATTCGGTGGATTGGGAGGGTGGAGGGGGGATTGGTTGGGGGGAAGGAGAGGTTTGGGGGGGAGGGGTTGATGGAGGTTGTTTGGGCCACGGGGGTTGTGCCTGGGGGGCCTGCTGGGGAGGGGCCTTGATTGTGTTTGTTTGTATTGTTAAGGGATTTGTATTGTTAAGGGACTAGAAGAGAGATACGTGGGGATTAAACAGTGTTTAGGTTTGTGAGTTGTTGTGTATTTGATAGTGCTTGTTGGAGGGTAGGTTTTATAGCCATGTCTTTTTCTACCTTGAAACCTCTGTTTGATGGCATGCATCAGACCATACTATGTATAGAGTATGCAAAAATCCTATAGCTTTACAAGCGTTGTTGTCATGTTGATATAATATAAAACTGTGCTGGCTGAGGCTTGCGTCTTTAGAGCTGTCAGTAGTCCACGCGTCCATTCCGCCTGGTCTGTATCTAGACTGCCGCTGGTCCGTTTCATCTGATCAAAGGCATAATATCAGTGCTTTTTGGGGGTCATGTGAATGTATGGCCTGCCACTATTGAGTCGGCATGCAAATAACCAGCTTATGCCGTGCTTAGGCGTCCAGCCAAGACGTGAACCACCAGGTTCAGGACTGCCTGAACCGCCAGCTGAACGGTGGCCTCGAGACAAACACTGGGAGAAAACACACCGACATGAAAAACAGGGTTTCTATAATCCAGCATTGGTCAGAAAGTTCTCTCTTCCCATCCACGGCTGACCAATTTCACTGTACGGGGTTTGATAGACGCCTGTCTCTCAAGGAGTCGAGCGGGGGCATGCTCCCACTGGTCAAAGTCAATTCTCAATTCTGTGGGGTCATTTAAGGTCAAGTGGGTCCATCCTGCCCCCATCGTCGGTCGGATCAGACCGGTTCCTGGCAATCATTGGCCAATTCAGCATGAGTCATTTTCACTCATTCACGGCATGGACCGAACTGGGTTTAGGGCTTACTTTGCACGGTTTGTGGTTGTTGGTTCGGTTGAGATGATACCTAGGACGCGATGCGATTGCAATTCCAGATGAGTGAGGATGATGCGGTTTCGACTCATTCACAATCATCTGTAGATGGCCGTTGTGTAATCTTTTTTGGGATCATGAATGTAGAGTATATATAGGTAGTAAGTAGTGAGGGTAAAAATATAGATTGAAACAAGTTGTTGAGGAATCATGGACAGGCTGCGGCATGGCTCCGAGCGGTATGTAACTTTCTCCCTCCGATAAACTGTGCCAGCAATGAAGAAACCCCGTAGCCGACATGCTCTGCATACGTGAGGATCTGGAATGTAAATAGGAAGAGCATTCCATGAGATCGGGCCGACATCATCCGATGCTTGACTTTGATTGATTTTGCCATTGGCTTGCGAGTTGCAACTGAGTATATAGACTGATCAAAGTGAGACAAACATGGGTCTAGGATCAGCATGCCTCAGGCTCCCGCTCAGCCCCACCGGTCCTTTTAAACAGCGGTTCGCCTCCCCCCAAGCTTCTACTCTCTTGCTTCTTTCTTTTCCCTATCCTTTCAGTCGTCATTTGACCAGACGACGTGCGCTCACCTTTTCTTAATCGTTCAAGTGAGCCCACCGGGTCCAACGACCCGGTCTAAAGGATAGAACCATGGCCACCGCCGCATCTTGCGCATCTTGGGCCTCCCGACAGACCACCGACGTCTTCAGAACGGCGCGGCATCTCTAATTCCACCCATCACCACAACTACAACTACAATTTTGACTACTTCAATCTCCAAGACTCCCCTGGAGACCTCTACCTCGACGACCACTTCCTCCAACCTGACCCCAACCTGTGGCCTGAATTCGCCTTTCCGGACTTTTCTGCACCGATCCCTCCCACCGACCCGTTCCCCTCCTGCGATCCATTATCCGAAGTGACCCTCACCGACGACGACTTTCTAACCTTGAACACCTTACCCTGTCAATTGCCCCCGCCGACCGAAACCATATCGCCCCCTCATGTGGCCACGACCGACAGCCCAGCGTGCGCACCCGATGCGACTACCGTGAACAACAACGCTCTTCCGCGACTGGCCCCAGCAAACCACATGCCCACGCCGGTCTCTCACACTCCCTCGTCTACCTCCTCACGGGGAACCTCCCCCAAGGAGACTACCAACCGCGTGGCAAAACGAGAGCTCAACACTCAAGCTGCTCGTCGGTACCGCCAGCGTCGCGTCGACCAGATGAGCAAACTGGAGGCAGAGCTCGAAGCCGTCAAGCGGGAACGGGATGCGTTGAAGATGCATGTGTCGAAGCTGGAGGGCGAAACGGATGCGCTGAGGGGGTTGCTGGAGTTGCAGAAACAAAAGTGAGGTCGGGAATAGGCTACTTGGTTGTGGTAATGTTGAACTTGGCGGTGTTTTTTCTACATTTTATCTGAATTCATCCTGCTGGGTTCATCATCTTTAACTTTCACGTATGATCGTATATTTCTCCGTCTTGTAGAACTGTCTGTTTCTCGTTGGGTGACTGCTAATGGATGAACTGAGTGGCCCTCGCATTGGGGATAGTTCGACTTCCCACTGAATTGGCATCCCAAAAAGAATATCCTAATGATCGACATAACAGAGCTAGACTAACAAGATCATAAAAGAAAACCACAGAGTTGTCAATATATGAAACCATGGTATCGATCTGCCCAGTATCGACTCTTTTATCCGACCATTTGTAGGGCAGCCTCACGTGACTGGCGGCGAACCTGCACTAAGCCCAGACAGGCAATCCTGAATTAAAGAAAAAAAAAAAAAGCGGCGGGGGAAGCGGGACCACACGCGCAACACGAAAATCTGCCCTTCGGCTTCATTTTTTCTTTCGTTTCTTCTCTTTCCCCCCGGCAGAAGCCGGCAAAGGCACCCCTACGTTCAAGGCTTTTTCACCACTCTTGCAAACCGGTCTCATATAATAGTCTTTCTTTTCTCCAGTCGCTATTCTTTTTTCTTTTTTGATACCCGGTTTCTTCTTAATACCGCCACCATGAAGTACGTCGTGGTCTCCGGAGGTACGTTCCCCAATCTGCAGCCTATTGACGAGGGAAGCTGTTGCTAACTTGGATTTTAGGTGTCATCAGTGGCATCGGCAAGGGTGTAATTGGTACGGTTCGCATTTTACAAACGAATCCTGGCCCCGTCTAATAGCAGATAGCCTCCAGCACCGGGTTGTTGCTCAAGACCCTCGGAGCTCGCGTGACTTCGATCAAGATCGATCCTTACATGAACATCGATGCTGGGACAATGGCGCCTACCGAGTATGTTCTTGATGCCGATGTGTATGCGATACGACGCTGACTCAATAGACACGGAGAGGTGTTCGTCTTGAACGATGGGGGTGAGGTGGACTTGGACTTGGGAAACTACGAGAGGTAGGTTTGGGTTGCTTCCCTGATGTGGTGGGCCTTGCTAACGATTCAGATATCTTGGCATTACCCTTGGCAAGGATAACAACATCACAACCGGCAAGGTCTACAAGGTGTGTTCAGCGGAAGATTGGATATTAGGATATCTCGTACTGACGAACCCAGCACGTTATTGAGAAGGAACGACGTGGCGACTACCTCGGCCGTACGGTGCAGATCGTCCCTCACCTGACGGAGGCTATCCAGGACTGGATCGAGCGCGTGGCGCGCATCCCCGCCGACGACACCAACGAGGAACCCGATGTGTGCGTGGTCGAGTTGGGCGGTACCTTGGGTGATATTGAAAGCGCCCCCTTCGTCGAGGCGCTGCGCCAGCTCCGTCGCCGTGCCGGCAAGGACAACTTCATCCAAATCCACGTCTCGCTAGTTCCCCTCATCCACGACGAGTTGAAGACCAAGCCCACGCAGCAGGCCATCCGGGATGCACGCTCAGCTGGTATGAGCCCGGATCTCATTGCCTGCCGCTGCGAGCGGCCGCTCGACAAGGCGACGACCGACAAGATCGCCATGTTCTGCCAGGTGGAGCCCGAGCAGGTGATCGGCGTTCACAACGTTAGCTCGACCTACCACGTCCCTCTTCTCCTCGAGCAGCAGGGCTTCCTGCATGTCGTGAGCGACCTCCTCAAGATCCAGAATGTCACCCTTTCCTCGGCGTTGGTGTCCAAGGGCCAGAGCACTTGGAAACAGTGGAACACCTTGACCTCCGCTCAGGACCACACTTTCGAATCGGTTAACATCGCCCTGGTCGGCAAGTACGTCTCGCTGCACGACTCGTACCTGTCGGTCATCAAGTCGCTGGAGCACGCCGCCATGGCCTGCCGCAAGAAGCTGAACATCATCTGGGTGGACGCCTCTCACCTCGAGCTCTCCTCGCGGGAGACGAACCCCCAGGAGCACTACAAGGCCTGGCACGACGTTACCTCGGCCGACGGTATCCTGGTGCCCGGTGGATTCGGCACGCGCGGAACCGAGGGCATGATCAACGCTGCCCACTGGGCGCGTACCAAGTCCAAGCCGTACCTGGGTATCTGCCTGGGTATGCAGATCGCGGTTATCGAATACGCCCGCAACGTGTGCGGCATCAAGGGCGCGAACTCCGTGGAGCTGGACAACAACACCTCCGACCCCATCGTCGTGTACATGCCCGAGATCGACCAGGTCAACCTGGGCGGCACCATGCGTCTGGGCTCCCGCCCGACCCTCTTCCAAGAAAAGACGGAGTGGTCGAAGCTCCGCTCCCTGTACGGCCAGGACTGCCAGTCTATCCACGAGCGCCACCGCCACCGCTACGAAGTCAACCCGGAGTACATCGAGCGCCTGCAAAACGCTGGCCTGCACTTCATCGGCAAAGACGACCAGGGCGAGCGCATGGAAATCGTGGAGCTCCAGGACCACCCCTGGTTCGTGGGCGTCCAGTTCCACCCCGAGTACCTGTCTCGCGTGCTCGCGCCCAGCAAGCCCTTCCTCGGCTTCGTGGCCACGGCCTCGGGCGTCTTCGAGAAGGTTGCCAAGATGTCGCAGACGAAGGAAGCCGAGCTCGCCAACGGCGTCAGCCAGATCATCATCTAAGCGTGCGGTGGTAATTATTCTTTCTTAGAGTGGGCGCCTTATTTAACCGAGAGAGGAGACTCGGTAATGTTTGATGCTTCGAACGATGGCATGAGGTGTGGTTCGGTTCATATAAAAAGTAACTAACTATGACTTGACTGTTTGGATCACGGCGTTTACGGTTTATAGAGCGGAGGTCGTACGTATATAGAGCATCGATAAATAAATACACTTGATAAATATATATACTTGCATTGTCGTTACGCTCCTAGCCTGCACCTGCACCGGCTTGATTTAGAGGCTTAATCAGGAACCGTTAAGTCTAGGATTTGGCCCTGACCTAGCTATTCTTGGGGACTATCAATCCATTCATGTTGAGAGGTCAGTTAAGTATGGACTCCCTCCTAGGTATATACTACCCAGCTGAATAGCACTGAATAAAAAGAAGTTACGTTGGGCACAAAATACGGCGTAGACCCGGAATCTTTCACCGTGGAGATCAACAACCACCAGGCATTTCATATAACCATGGGGTCACTCAATCTGTGGGGAAGCATGAACTCTTGAATTCAACCCAGCCTCAGGCACAAGAGTCTTTGTCTTCCTTGCATGGTAAAGATCCATCCGTTTTTCTATCACTCCGGCCTTTGTATCACTTGGTAATTGGCTATTTATCACTATGGTTGAAAGCTAACAAACAACTATTGTTGATGTTTTCATGGCGATTTAATTAATTGAGGTACTCGTTGACTACAGGAAACCACTACAACGCCTTGCGACGACGCATTTGTCTGCGGAGGTGAATATTGAAGTGGGAGTTAGTCCCAGTACACTTTTGAGTGTTCAAAACTCCAGTGTCTACTGACTTCTCAAGGCTGGCTTTGACGATGTGAGAAGTTCCAAGGAGAGTCAACTGATGGTTTGCATACGAATGGATTGGGACCAAGACCTGGACAACCCATAATATTCCAGATATCGTCTGATGAGTATGAACGGCATCTACCTTCTCGCGACCTCCGGGGCTTCCTGCAATAAGGCCAACTGGTTCATCAGTCAGAGATTCAGCACCTGCTACATGCGAAGCGGCCACATTACCATCTGACTCTTGGGCAGCGATATAGGGGTACTCCTGATCTCATATGAGGATCCCGAGATTATTTCTCGACAAATGCGCGAGCTCAGCCCGCAGTCTACAGCTATGATGCGGAAGATAATCCTCGACGATACAATCGTTGAATGCGGGCCTCCTGATTCTTTGGCAGGTTACCTAGCTTTGACTGTTTTCCTGCACAGGTTGCTTCCGATGCTCTGGGGTTCGTCTCCCGCGAGGAGAGCTCGAGGTGAGAGGCGTAACACTTATCGCTCCCTACGACAACTCGTCCTGCATGTCGTGCTTGCCCCCCATGGGCCCCACCCAGTGAGGGCGGCAGAGAAGAGTAGAGCGATTCGGAACAAACGAGAATTTGATCCATCAGCTCGAAAGGCTAATCGTCGATCTTCTCGAAGACTTCGAAACCTCTGGTCTTTCGCTTCTAGAATACTTGATGAAGAGATGGTCGGTGCGCATGGATGGGATCCTGTCTTTTTGTGGAAAGCCGAATGAGGGGAAGATAAATAAATTGAGTGCTTGAGAACGACATGGTCTAAGTTGGGCTGAAATGCAGTGATTTTACTAAAATTAGGTAACATTCGGTCGCACACCTACTCCATGCTCCCTGCCTTCTTCCATCTCATCGAAAGGGATCTGGGTTGTGATCGTTCGACTGATATATTCCGTATTTTCGAGTATTTCGAGTTCTGCAGACTGCAGGTACGCGTCCCTCAGATACCGTATGGAGCAAACTGGACATATCAAATCTGATATCGCGCGCCACTGGGTAGTCTAAACTTTTATCATGATCTGCAAGTTCCTCTGACGTATATCAACAGGAACAGCCCCGGCAAAGCCTAGCCCTCCTAACACAAAGTAGCGGACCAAAGTCACCCACTGGCGTAGCAGCCGGTCAATCATCGGATTACACCCACCCAACCAACCATTCCTAAAGAGTAAAAAACACAACCTCACCGTCGACAGTCTGAATCAACCGAATCAAATCAGGTTCCCTCGAATTCCATCAGCCTTGCCGATCCTTCCCCTCTACGGCCCAAGCCCCATGAACTACCAAGTGGGGACCCACAGCCGGCGAATAAATCGCAAGTGACATGTCCCGTGCCCAGCAGCATCATCTTCTGTGGAAGACGGTCTCCAATCCAACCGTACCGTGCATACCTGGACCCGAATTCCACCAAAATCCCACCCGGACGGTGTCCACCCTTGGGTTTTGTTTGCACTCAGGTCCACCGCTAAGCGACTGCAAGCGTCGTATGACCCAATGGCGCGAGGCGGATACATGACCAAGAGAGGGGGGAGCGCCTCCATCTGTATGTGAGGGGTCTCTAGCATACAGCGTGGAACCCCCGATGTGACTGTGGCGGCGACGGTGCCTGCACGTGGGACACGCGTGGATAATGGGCGTGGACGGCGGGAAATGGTTATAAACTGGGTATATGGCTGCCCGTCTGGAAAGATGTCTCGGTTTGTCTGGTCAGTCGTTTTGCCCCGGCCTAGTCACTTGTCACAATGCATGCTCGCTATCTCTTGGGTTGTTTCGCCGCTGCGGTGGCCGCACCAGCTGTGTCGGCTGCCCCAGCGTCGGCCCACAAAGCTGGATCCTCCGAGTCGATCGCAAACATGAAAGACAAGATTAAGAATGTCGTTCTGCTGGTCATGGAAAACCGATCCGTCGACAACGTGCTGGGCGGACAGACTATCAAGGGCCTGGAGAACCCCATCAACAATGGACCTTTCTGCAACCCCGTCAATACCGCCGATAAGTCTGACGGGGAGGCGTGCAGCGAGGCAAGCTCGTACGATTCGATCCTGAACGACCCCGATCATTCTATCACCGGCAATAACGTCCAGTTCTACGGCGACTTTGCTCCGGATAACAAGGCAATTGCCGACGGCACGCTAACCCCCACACAGAAGGGATTCCTGCAGGAGCAGCTTCGCTCGTATCCTTCGGACAATGAGACCCACCTGGCGAAGCAGGTTATGAACTACTATACCGAGGCGCAGGTTCCTGTCCTCACTTCCATGACGCAGAATTTCGTGGTGTTCAACCACTGGCACTCGGATATTCCAGGGGTAAGTGCCCAACTCTGCGACATACTTCACGAATCCAGAGACCACCACCGTGTACAGTGACTCCCAGTCTAACCATACCATAGCCGACCAACCCCAACCGCATCTCCCTGCTCTCAGGCACCTCAGCCGGACACGGGAAAAACGATGCGTCAATGAGCACAATCATACACGGTATCAAACACCGCTCGATCTTCCAGCAGCTGTCAGAGTCAGATCGCACCTGGGCGAACTACTACACATGGGCCGTCCTCGCCGACGCGCAATTCTTCGACTGGACCTGGACAAGCTTCAACGCGCTCAAGGCCAAACCATTCTCCAAATTCTACAAAGCCGCCGAAAAGGGCGAGCTCCCAGACTTCACCTACCTCAACCCCTCCTGCTGCGGCAAGGGCACCAACTCCATGCACCCGACGGGCCTAATCTCCGACGGCGAGACGCTCCTCAAAGACGTCTACGACGCCCTCCGCGCCAGCCCCCAGTGGAACTCGACCCTCTTCATCGTCACCTTCGACGAAACAGGCGGCTTCCACGACCACGTCCCGCCCCCGCTGGCCGTCCGCCCCGACGACGAAACTTACACCGAGAAAGCCGCCGACGACTCCGAGTACACCTTCGAGTTCAATCGGCTAGGCGGCCGCGTCCCCACCTTCCTCATCTCGCCGTGGGTCGGGGAAGGCTTCGTCGAGCAGAAGGGTAAGACTAGCGCCGGCGACACTGCGTCCTACTCTGCTTCGTCGATTCTGCGCACACTCGGCTACCTATGGGACTTTGAGCCGTTTACTCCGCGCGTGGAGCACGCCCCGTCTTTTGATCACTTGATTCGTGGGTCGATGCGTGATACCCCGAGTGCTATGCCTGGCGTGGTTCCGTTTGGGGGGCATTGATGCCCTCTTTTTTTTAGTCTTCAATCATGGGACCAGGAAATTAGATTATATGTGCGGAGAAAGGCCGGAGCTAGCAATATATATATAAATGATAATGATATCACTGCATCCAGCAATTCACCCACCTATCAAAGTGTGAGCCGTGCCCTAGTCGGATGGAACGCCGTTGGTGGTACCGCATGTAGGCGGGGTCTGAAAAGAGGGGTTACTGGCTTTGTTACTATTACCCCATTGATAGATGGTTCGAGCAAGCGCCAACTGATCATAGGAACATGATCGCAGGATCGCGGGGTAGACCGTCTTCACGGTTCGTCTTTCTACCTTGATGCTTTTTAATGCCGATCTGTTGTTTGTTGTTTGTTGGGCGGGAACATGGCTATCACTTGCCTGCTTCATGTGTTCTCTGCCATGTATTATAATAGGTCACAGGCTGCCGGATAAAGGGCAGTGGATATTTTCCTTTGGCCAAGCATTTGCATAGGTGCGAAACAGACTTGCTGCAAGAAGTGTAGTCCAGCATGTCTTCATAGAAAGTGGTCTGATACGAGCGTAAAAGAAGCTGTGGACGATCTTGGACGATCTCCCGGACTCCCTGCGCCCCTCGTTGCTGAATCTTAAAATCGAGATTTTCTGGTCTCATAAATGCCCCCGGGGGAAAAAAAGCCAATGAAAAATACCAAGAAGTTGGACCAGGTTCGCCCTCTTGGGGTCTACCCAGAAAGGTAGACTGAAGAAACCTGGAAAGTACAGATGTAAATCGATGAACTTTTGTGAAGTCATCGGGTCCCAAGCTACAATTAATTGGGTGCTAGAGACTACAGGATACCTTGTGAGCTGGATTTCAAACAAATACCCTACAACTAGACTCGTATAAAAGACCGAAAACGTATGACTTTGCAAAAACGAGCTGCTTGATCGTGGCGCATACTCGACGCACAGAATAAGATACATAACAAGACGCCGAGTCCATCACACAATATCCATCTACCTTCCCACCGTCGGAATGTTGTCAGGAGTGATGATTGCTCACAGCAAATTTCATCACCGGGTCTTCCTGGGTCGGCCAGCTTTCTTCGGAGGTGCGTTGTGTTTGTTTTTTTGGTGTTTGTTCAGGCCATTTTTGCGGGGATAAGTCTTGTCGCAACCGTCTAAGTCACATAGAAACTTCTTTTTTGGCGGGGGTTCGGATGTCGGCATGGCTTTTGTTGGATTGGGCAGCAATTTCGGCAGTTCCTGCGGACGGGGTGAAGCATTTGAAGACTTCAACCTGTCATGCTTGGTTCCTAGCTTACTGTCCCAGTTGAATGCTGTTAGCACACGATGGACAGTAATAACTGGATTGACTACTGACCTTATGCTGCCCTTGAAAGCCAGGAACTCATCATCACTGTTGGAAACGTGATTCTCATTTTGCTGGTGAAGTTCCTCGTTTTTGATCCATTTTAACCCTCGGGCAACGATCGAATCAATCGGCTTTTCATAATCGCAACATGGAGACGACTCAAAGTCAATGGTATTCGGCCCGGCCGGATCAATGGTTTGGTTTGCGCCTCCCTCATCGTGAGGTGTAATGGGGGTGACAAGAGGCTGGTGCAAAGTAGACCTAGTGTCTCCCAAAACAACAGGACCAACTGTGTTGGTCAGGCTGCAACCCCCTCGATATCGTCTCAACTCGCCACCGCTACTACTGACCACCACCATCAGCCCCCCCCCAACACTCCCTCTGAAGACTGAATCATCTCTGACACAGGGCGTTTTCAGGCATTTTGCCTGGCGGGGAGAAGCATATTCAACTCCAACGTTACGGGTAATAACGAAGCGGACAGGTGGGGATTGTGCAATTTCAGTTGTATTGCAAAGGCTATTCTGCGCGCGATAGAAACATAGATGCCCGGAAAAGACGATTTTTCTCCTGTCCAGAGCATCGGCCATGGCCTCTCTTTATGGCTATCTCCCCGTCTTTTGCGCAAGCCTCGTTGTCCTTGGCGACTATGTGTTTTGATCGACGCCTTTTCCGAGCAGGACATTCACAGTTAGATTCTCAACTGCCCCCATTTTTAGACACTTGTATTGCGGCAATCAAGAGAGGTCTTTCTTTGTGTCGCCTGGTCTCCAATAGACCTATGCCGCTAACGCCTAGTGAGAAGTTCGAGATAGTTAGCGGGGAAGGGGGGAGTTGTGTTACTTACAACTCAAGCCCAGCATATCCTCCAAAATGAGAAGACGTGTATGTTGCTTGATCGTTGGGTAGGCTGCCGTTTTGCCAGTTCGTAAACTCATTGTCATCGTAATTGGTGGACCAGGAGCAATACATCTTGAATAGTAGGATTGGAAAGCTGAAGGATAGTCCGTCAGGCAAACGTCAAATAGATGAATAACGAGGCAAGAGCGAGAGGGGGGCTCTGATAGCAGAAGGAAAACACGGCAGTCAGGCGGGATGGATGGGTATTTATGTCTTGGGGACGCGTCCTTACGATGCTACTCCTACGCGTGAAGTCGTGATCTTACACGTGTGCCTTGATGCCCGGGCTCGAACAACGCGTGAAAGGCCTGTCCAATCCAGCCACAGGAAAATTGAGCCTTTGCTAAGGGTTGCAGTGATTATCAGCCAATCTTATGGCCAAGAAATTGAGCTATGCACGCCAAGGGATCGACCAAGTACACTGAACTTGTCTTACTGGATGATATGTCTCGCAGCCTCGTAGATGGTTCTAGATTGCAAGTCAATATCAATCCATTTTCGTTGTCCAGCTGGCTACCCCCATTACACGAGCCTCCTCAGTCCACAAATAGTATCTTTGATAAATTGAGCATGACGTACAGGAGGTTAAGAGGGGGTGTATGCCAGCTACAGAACGCGTAATTCACTCTCAAAACACCTGGTCTAGTTGATATACCCCACTTGAAACGGGGATACTCATCTCTGACAGGCTGACCGGGGCACAAATTGCGTCTTGCCAGATGTAACAGTTACCCTCCTCTTCTTTTCGCATCACAGAAAAGGATGGATGGCCAGGGGTATAAATATATCCTCTATCCTCCCCTAATCAGTAGCCTGCTGAATTTTCCCCCAGAACCAGCGCCAGATCATAAACACTTGGGTCTACGTCAGCGTCAGGAGATAGATATACAAGAGTCTAAAGTCATTTTCTTTGGTATGCAATATCCCATACTCCCGTGGAGCGATGCCATACCGGATCACGTGAGGCTAATTGATTGTTCCTACTCTTGCAGCAGGACATACCCCGATAATGACGGAAGAAATCCCTCGTCTCTTCCTCCACGCACCGCCGTGCTGCGATTCTAATATGTCTCGCCGCCAGACCAGGAAAAACGATAATGGCAATAGAAACAGATGGTTCTACGAGTGTCGAGAGTGTGGTGATATGGTGTTTGACGATTGGGAGGGTATCCGAGAAGGAAACCCTCCATGTGAATGTGACATGTCCTCTCGTGTTCAGAGGGAGAAAAGTCGTGCTTATGTTTTTCGCTGTGCGAGAGGGTATTGCGATTTCTTTTCTGAGATGTGAGGATTCACTGTAACTGGGCAGCTGACTGGCAGTATTTGCAAAGTCCCCCAACACTTTTTTGTATTTGGTTCTGCTTGCAACCTTTTTCAACTTCTTTTATAGTCAATTTCATTGAATTTATCATTTGTTGAACGGTTTCTCTCACGTATTTCACAAGATCTTTCGTCGTAGTGTCCTTGGCTATCTAAACTGAGATTGACGATGATATCATATCAGGTCTGGAATATGAGCCAGAAGTAGTAGTTGCTATTCAAAACTGAAATCAACCATGATATAGTATAGGAACTAATTGATGACTCAATAGTCTCAGTCGCGTCACCAATCGCTTTCGGAGCAGCATAACAAGGGGCTTATCCGAGATCGAGCAACTAGCATGGTTTGGTGCTATGCCAACTATAAATCAAAGTTGGAGCGCTGACATAGACGCTTGAGAACCATAACATGTGGTCCAATGTTCATGATGGGAAATCCAAATGTAATATGTTCGGTTAGATCCACCACATGCGTGTCAGCTATATTGTCAGAATCTCATCCATGTAGAAAGTATAGTATATAACCCAGTCTGAATTCTGACACTAATAAGTCGGGAGTAATGATTGTAAACATCAACATTTTAATTTCGGTATATATGCATGATACACACAAAACAGTCATGAAGCAGTCATTCAAGTAGAGAGCTTTAGGATGCTAGCCACAGTTTCCACCGTGGAGTTCCATTCGCCCTTTTGGGTCAACAACTCTTCGTTCTTTTCAGCCACCTCCTCGTTCTTTCTGGCCACCTCCTCGTTCATTCTGGCCACCTCCTCGTTCTTTTTGGTCAGCTCTTCCTCTTTTGTGATTAATGTATCGCGCATCTTGAGACAATCTCTGCAGGATTCATCACGGAGTTGGGCTACCTCATCGCAGAGCTGTCGTTTTTCTCTTTTGAGTTCTTCGATCTTGACATCTTGACAGCAGGTCACGCGGTTATGCAACTCCTGTGACTCACGAGAGACCTTTTGAAGCGTGTTGTACTTGGTCTGAATTGAGTTATACATGGTCTGAAGCGTGCCATTTACGGCCTCAAGGCCTTGGCGCTCGGTCTCCGCCTTTTGAGTCCTTCTCACCAGAGATGTGACTGTCTTGAGCAACGTCTCGAGGTCCATATCTAGAGATTGTGTGGGTATGGTCTCTTCTTGGCTAGGCTGTTGTGCCTGGGGGGTAGATCTCTTACTCTGGACTGAAGCTGGAGAAGTCGGGGCACTGGCTCCTGGCTCTTTGCTGGCATCATGTAAGGCGGTCACATCGTGAGGCAGCTGCGATAAAGTAGAAGGTTGTTGTTCTGGGCCAGGTTCAAGTAGTTCTGAGGTATTCGGAGCAGCCCTGGGTGCATCCGAGATGTTACATGGACCAGCACGCTCTTTATTGGTTTTTGTCGGCGGTGTCGACTTGGGGAACTTAGAACAAGACTTGTTAGATAGTGACCGAGCATATTTTGTCTCCAGGTACCTTCCTTCCCCTTTTCTCAAAAACCGGTACTTACTTTTTCTGTACGTCCGCTGGCCTGAATATCACCGCCATCATGGTCTGTATCGTCAGCGGGGTCTGTAATAGACCCCTGTACACCTGCTTTGGAACCCGGTGGCCTGATCCTTCTATACTTGGGCGACGTATCGAGCTTTGCCTGCTTCCGATTGCGCAACCTAGGATCTTTCTCCGCCTGTGAAGGACGTTTCAGAACTCGGGTTTCCGGAGGGTACATGCCGGGCATGGGAGTGGCAGCAGCGGGGTGCTAAATCGAAAATAAGATTAGCAAGTGTATACATACAAACGACGGTGTGAAAGCCAACTATGTGACTTTCCACGAAGATGTCATACCATTCTCTTGGCTCTTCGTTCAACTCTCAAATCTTTTTTGTATGTCTGCCAGTGAATCAGTATATATCTTATAGAGATGCTTCTGGAAGACAGTAACGCACTGAAAATGCCTTCTGGAGAGCCCAGTTGCTGCGGCCGGGGAAAAAATTCTTCTAGTATGAGACAACTAGTTAGTTGGGTGGTCTGAATTCCACTTCAGGGGATAATTACCCGATGGAATTCTTTCCAACTGAGATGACTGTATGTATTCCGGAGATCATAGAGTTTCTTCAGTAACTCAGGAGTCCAGCGGCCGCCTTTGCTGTTCCGCCTTCGTTGTATCTTTACCTGAGAAACCATTGGGGCGAAGGAGAAGAATAAGAAAAATGCACATGGGAAGAGGAGCACAGCAGGGAATTTTATAGACAAACGAGTGGTGAACAATAGGCAACACACTCTCCTTGTTGTTAGAGTTTTGGCTTTTTGCTTTGTTTCCCCTCTTGAATTTCCCTGGGAATTACTAAAATAAAAAGGGGGCCTATAGCCTTGTAGAGTGCTGTTGGGGAAGGAATAGCCAGCAGTCAACAGAGTCAATGACACTACTGCCTCTTGAACGGAGAACTCGTGATGGGTGGGAGACCCCTGGCATTGCGGCGCAGGACCCTAGACTAGACAAATGGCGGTATCCTCTGAAACCTATGAGAAGCGACAATCCAGCCTTCTACTGTCAAGCTGGAAAAATGGATATTTGGGATACAAGTGAATCATTTTGCAGCATAACTAAAGCGAGAACTTGAAAATTGACTGTATAGATGTTTGATGTCTACTAACTCACTCTCTCTCCTGCCAGGAACCTGAGACCCTGAGAAGCCATCACTGTCGCCAATGAAACAGCGACCACGAGCAACTTGATAGATCAATAAGACAGGAATCCCATCCCTGTTAGTATGAGCATCAACGAGGTCTCGAATTTCATAATGGAATGGTGTGGGAGACAAACGACCAAAGAGATCCCCGGAGACTAGCCCTTTTCGGCAAAATATCTCTACCATTCGATACGCATCAGGCAGTATCGGGAAAGACTTGCTTCGCAATCCGGGGCTCAGGCCCTCACCTAGCTAGAGTCTTGAGTTTCAGCTTCAGGGAATTAGCCAGTTGGCGACCGTTTGTACTGGATTTGGTCACGAGAAAAGGTTTTAAATTTAAATCCCATTTAACAGGAAGGTGGTAATGACCCCATAGATTATAACATTGTAGTCTCTAGAGTGAGATCGATTTATATTTTCATCTATGGGATACCTCTGTCGAAGACTTTCAGCTGGCTACACCAGGGTGCTGAGTATCAGCATTTCTGTCAGGTGCTGCCTAACAGATCTGCGGGCCCCCGGCGCGTAGCGAGACATCGTGTTTGGGTGTCCAGAAGGGTGTCTAAGGCTGAGCTGCTAGCTCAACAGAGTTTAATTTGGACTTTTGACCTAGCGGCAACCATGTACATCAAGATTGCGCTCTAGCTGGCTATCAATTGGATCTATCATCTTATTTTGTTTCAAGCCGTGATATGAACCAGTGGATGCCTGATACTCTGGACTAATCCTATCTCTTTTCTACCCTTATAAGAACTTAAGCCCGGCTTTAATATCATATCAAGAAACTTATCAATCCTTAGCAATCCTTACGTACATAGAGATAGTATGACAATAAGACCAGCGCATAAATAATACTGCTACGGTCGCTCCCACTGTTAGCAGAGCTGTTATACCCGGACTCTTGAGTATAACATCACTAGGCCAAAAGACCACCATTACTAGTAAGCAAACACCCGAGACGCACTGTATACTAGCGTGCACATATCAGGCAAAGAGCATGTTTCTTACAAGATTATCCAAGGCCACAAGGTTAGTGTGTGCCAAATAAGCATAAACCAAACAACCCGTGAACCCGTCGGCGACCTGACAACATGGATGAAATAGCCTGCCAATTATTCTACAGAACTCCCTCAAACGAGAGGAATCCTAACATTTACTGTCTTTATTTTACAATTAAATAGACTCTACTTATCAAAGATGTACTATATAGATTTTTGACAAATTCCCTACATAGGGGTCTCCTCGCTTCTACATATATATACAGGCCCAGACTAGTTCAGGGTACCTGCAGACGGTAGAAGTACGAGACGTAAACATGTTAGAAAGAATGAGTTTGATAGCATCCGGACCACAGAAAGCTTGCAGATTATCAAAATACAAGATACTCATGAGTGCAAAAAGGACTGCAAACACCGCAGACCAGCTGATCGTTTAGCCAACTATAATATCCGCTCTTTCACACAGACAATTTCATAGAGTACCTGGATAGGGCGGTTCTGTGTAAAGAGAAAATGCACATCAAGCATGGCTGCCTGTCAGGTTGTTTACAGACTGTCTATACAGATTTGACTTTGCTTCTTCATGCGAATCCATGCGAATTCATGCAAATTCATGCGAGCAGTTTGCAACTTGTTGTCATGATTACAGAGAAACCATTAGTGTCCTGGCTGTTTTGACTAGACCTAAAGCAACCCGCAAACAGGTAGGCACACTTATTATATATACCTAAGTCTTTTCTTCTAAAATCTGATGAGATAATGGTATATAACAGTACCTACCTACTACTCTTTGCTCTCACATAAGTTGTTGGGATTCTAGATAAACTAGGGGATATTCATACAATCTACACTTGTCTGAAGAATCTCAGATGTATCGACTCATAGAGAATCAGCTAATATATTCTATAATTCTTTATGAATATAATAAAAATGAAGTATCTTGTAATCTTCAAGCTATACTCAAGTAAAAAGATAGCAACGATTTAGACATCACTCCTAGTTCTACCTCACCGCCTGCGGGCAGTTCTGCCACTCTACCCTACTACATTACTGCACGTATCCCTCCGCATGGAGGACTCCGCTTTCGCATGGAGGACTCCTCCTGGCTGGCTAAGGTATCTAGGTACCACCTACCTTAAGTTATACACTTACATATCGACTGTTTCTATTAGCGTTTTCCTACATATCCAAAGCGCGCATACCTAGCCTTATAACTCACGTGCGTAGGGATCTATGATAGAACTCGATTGGTTATCTAAATTGCAATCATTCAAATAACAAAACAGGGTTCTATTAAGCACTATGATGAGATCTCAGGTACTATAATTGATAACACCACTAAGAGATTTTTGGGGGTGAGTTGAAATGCCAATCGATTGCAGACATTTCCACATAAATAAGGATTATCAGCCCCAAAGACCAATTGAAAAGTGGAAGCTACGAGAACATGTGCGTAGAAACAACTGTATTCCATTATGAATATTACAGATTATAGACAGCCTCTTGAGATGGGAATGTCCTTCCCATCTGGGCTCCGCTCCGTGTCACATTAAGCATCATGTAAACGCGTTTCACACGTGATAATTTCAAATAATTACTACCTCGCGCGGGAGGGCAGATGGTGGAGTCCTTCTACAGAGGCGGCCCGATAGGCAACGACAGGAAGGAAAGCAAAACCTGAACTAGTCCGCTGCCCAGTGCAGCAATAGTCCTCGGGTCGGCCAAGGTCGTGAAATGCGTGGATCGCTTGCACCCCTTTTCAGCGGGAGCGCCGTCCATCCGATCCTCCAACCAGAAGAACGCGTCGGGGGCGCCCACAATCTCCAACAAGGCGTGCTCGGACAGCTTGTCCCGCTTGTACTCGAGTTGCGCGCCGCCGTCGCAGTACTTGTCCACCAGGGCGTCGCTGGCATTCACGGGACTGACCTCGTCGCCCGCGGACTTGTAGATGAACAGCGGGATTTCCGGAATATTGTGGCCCATGGCGTTTTCATCGAGCACCTTGGTTGCGATGGGGTCTCTGAAGACATCTTTGTTCGTCACGTATGAGTACACATCTTTGCCGAGATACTCCAGAAGGTTTCCTGTCAGGCAGAGGTTGTCTGTCTTTTTGAACTCTTCCTTTTTCTCAGGGATGAGGTTCTCGTCGATGAGCTTTGCGATCTCCGGGTAAACCTTGGAGAGACCACGAATGCCGGCGGGGAGCAGGCCGGTGAACAGACCCTTGTTCGTCGCGTCAACGACCGGGAGGATCTCCGGGACAGTACCGCCGAGGGCGGCGCCGGCAATCTTCAGCTCGGGCGCGTACTCCGGCTGCAGTTCTGCGGCGAAGCCACTAGCCAGGCTGCCGCCCGAATAGCCCCACATTGTGACTGTCGCATCGGAGGTCACGTTGGTGAACTCCGTCGAGGCCAGGACCGCACGGATATTGTCAAGGACTGCGTGTCCCGAGAGGATGTTGGAGAGGAAGGCCGACTCTGGACCCAAATGGTCGGGAGCGGTGACGACCCAGCCCTTGTTCAGCGCAGCTGTGATAAAGATGAATTCCAGCTGCGGCATGATGAGGGCCAACGCGTTGCCATTCTCAGACTCCTGCTGGAAGGCGAACGATGGAGAGCAGTTCGGGTCTGCTGCATCCTGTGCGACCTGGTAGGAGAGCAGCTTGGAGGTGTCCGCGTTGTGGGGGATGAGGATGGTCGAGACGGTCGCGACTGCCTTCCCAAACGCGTCGGTGGTGCGGTAGAGTACTTGGTGGGAACTCTCCAGATTGACTTTGGCAAAGCCGAAGGCGGCGACAGGAAACGGGGTTTTGCGATGGCGGAGGATCGTCCCTGGGGCTTCCGACTCAAACCCAGCAGGCGGCTCGTAGAAGGGATCGTCAACCGGCTTGAGTGGTCCATCAGCTCTGGGAGCTGGAAATCCTGCTGCCAGAGGCAGCAGATAAGCAAGTACCTGCAGTAGGACCACTTTGAAGCTCACCATGATGGTTGAGATCTGACCTTCTAGAGGATGCCCTGCAATGGAAGCGAAAATACTGGGAGCCTGCGCCCTTTTAAGATGGAGAACCCCCCGCACCCGGAATGATGGGGGAACATGGATTTCTCCGATTGGTGAACATGGACGCGACGGAGCGCTCACATGGGTCCCTGACGATCTTGATAAGATTGGAGGTTTGATGGAAGCTTCGCAGTGCTGCCCCGAAAGAAGAATAGTCAGGATCTCCAAGCCGAGGCGCAAGCTTGGGTGATGGTGCAGGCCCACACGGCACTACCCCGGAGTGCCGCATGTGCAGCCAGTAGCGAACTAGGATCCATGTATAGGAAGGGGAAGCCCGTGTGGCTTTTTTCTTCAAGATCATTGCTAAAAATCGTCGTATTGATGCGTATTCGCCGGAGGAATGCCAAGCCGAAGGGTTGGTTTGGGTGATGGTGCAGGTTCACACGGCACTACCCCGGAGTGTCGCATGTGCAGCCAGTAGTGAACTAGGATGCATGTATACAAAAGTGAAGCCTGTGTGGCTTTTTTCTCCAAGATCGTCGTTGAAAATCGTCGTATCCATGCGTATTCGCCATAGGATTGAAATTGAATACCAACGCGTGATGGATCCCTGCTGAATAGCCTAAGATTGGGCAGACGGGAGTGGATTAGTTAGTTGATTTCCCCTCGCGATTATCGCTTAGTGGACATCCCCCATAAAAGCGGGGAATGCCTGCAGTCAATATCACCAAACGATATTGCCGTTCAAGCACAATACTTTGCCATTTTATGTGCTCATGTGTCTCATAATGTATAAAATTCCGCAAAATCATAACCCGGAGTTTGCTTTTCTCTGCATTCTGTTCACATCTCCATGTTGTTTGTGATTCATACCGCAATTGGCGAAAATGCGGATGAAAGGTCATGCCTCACTAGCACATGGAAGGTTAGTCTCTAGGCAAATGCCAATCACAATCTGCTTGACTCAATATTTTCGAGCCTGTCTCCACGCAGCGTACAAGGGTCTCATGTCAGCCGATAGCAACGCCAAACCTAACTTGGCCAGATCTAAACTCAACCCTTCAGCCCATACTAAGACAGGGGTGGAAAACTCAAAAAATGGATGTTTTCTGCCAGGAAGATGCACATGCAAATCAAACCTCAAAGTTCACGAGACCTTGACAGACCATGATCACGGGCTGGGCTGAGAATGTAGACCAAAGCAAAGTGCTGACAATTTGAACGGTGACAATGTACAGGCATCACAGGTATTGTACCTAGTCTTCTAGACTTTTAGTCTTGGAGAACCCCACCGCTGTATGGCAAAAGTTTCTTCGTCCTGCCAATCAAAGAGCCAGCGTCTCGAGTACATGTGTAAACATGACAGGAATCCCTCCTAATACATAGTATTTGCTTTCTGATCCGTGTATGCTGACTTGATTCACATATAAGATGTCTCTGGTTGGGAGAGCCCAAAATCCCAAGCTTCCGTACAGTCACCGTGGACTATCAAATGACCACCAAGCTAAATATATTTCTCTCAGCTTAGTCTGCGCACGACCAGACAGCAAACAATTAACGTGCCAACGTCGGTGAGAAAGCTAGTTTGGCGGTTTTATTGGGTAAGGCCGCCAGTCACCGGCAACTAAGGCACGTACCGCTCCATAGGGAATATGTTCCGAAGCAGGCGACCTCGGAGGTGACATTCTCGAGGGGCCGTTTTCAATATTACACACGATGTATCAATTCTGAATTACCGAATGGCACAATTTCCATCGTCAGTTTCCCCATTTGATACACGTGACCTTAACGTCCCGCCAGCTTCCGTCTTGGTACGAGCGTTTGCCGAGGATGCTCGGTGTCAAGATCACCGAGAATTGATGAAGGCCAAGTATTTATGGACGGTCAGGAATTACCGTTCGACGAAGTAATTGGTCGAGAAGTAGGCTATAAGGGAATATAACCACGTATGATGGTTTACGTGGTTGAAAATAGCCAAATAGATGAAAATAGTGACATGGGGAGATGGAGATGTTGAGGGAAGGTCGTTGAAGTCGAGCGGGGAACATAATAGAACTGGTCGAACTTAACATTGTAATCAGGTGACAGGTCACATTTCCAAGCGGTGCTTTGTCTGACTGCGTCCACCACCATTGGTTTTGATTTTGGAAATAGTTTCTTGCATTCTACCTCAGATGCTAGAGGTGGAATACACCCAGTGCAGGAATACCGTCAAAAATATACTGCCGGTACCTTCTTACCAGGTCGAAGTAAAGGACAACCTGATAAATCTCGTCGTGTATGCCTCAGATTTGTCTCGCAACGGCATAATTAAGCCCCGACCATACGTATTTCTAGTATTCTTTTTAGGCTTTCAGCAATGGATATACGAGTCACTATCTTGGCTCCTTCTAGCCATCGAGAACGAGGTTATCCCCAGTGTCACTTGATTCTACCTTGGCAGTACGCCCACTTCTTGTTCGGATTCCTGGCTAATATCTCTGAAATTGCGTGATCTGCGGGATACACGATTTGAGAATCTAGTTGTTGACCCAGATAGGCGGACGAGGTATAATTTTCTTGCCTGTTAGACTACAAGCCGTGCCCTGGCATGGTTGATAAGCAGAAAAACCTACGACAGAAAGCGAGCCAAATTAAAGGTTACCAACTACTAGGTTACTGAGCCGGAATGTACTACAATCATTGGCCTCATATGAGATGCCCCCAGTGACTTATGTTGGCAATGGAAGACCCGGAGCAATTATGGGGTTCATTGAGAATCAGCTGGTTCTGCTTGAACATTAAAACATCCATCCTATCTCTACTGTGTCCGTGTTCACCATTTTGAGGCCATCAAATGTCGCTATTTTTGTTGCCCCTTGAGATGGTGTGGCATACTCAATCAAATGTGTTATCGCGACCTTCAATCGAGAAGAATCCTTTCTTTGGATCATACACTGCGGATATATATAATCCGTCTAATCCTATGGATGGGAAATTAGGTATTGGATTCGCAGTCAATCAATACTAGTTCTACCCCTGGATGACAACAAATTGCCGTAACAGTCATGGAGTATATGCAAAAACCTGTCCCAGATCAGACGCGCGAGTTGGGCGCATGGATGAAAACTCTCCTCGAGGCCTCCCGCGTGCGAACAACACTGAACCCTCGGATGGAACGCCTAACGACGACATTTTCCATACAAATCGTTGACACCCCGAGTTATGGCGTCATTAAACACCGTCCGTCGGCTCAGTCAGTTGTCTAGACTGCTCCATGATCCCGCAAGCGATCGAACCTGTTCGGTTTAAGGCGTACTGAGAAGGAAAAGTGAAGACAGCTGGACGTGTCGATCACACTAGACCCTGAATAGCCGGTGCGAGTCTAAATATACCAGCCCAATGTAACGTAACGGTGTGCTGAAAGGCCTGCGGAGAATTTTATGATGGACCTATCTACGGAGTAGTCATGAAGATCATTCTACAATAGAAGTCTGTTCAACATCCACTCAAACAGTTACGAGATACTCCGGACTGCACGGGGAATGTCCATATCACAGCCGATAGACTCGACCAGTGAATTCTGAGAGACACCGAACAGGATGACCACACACTGAAACCTGTCTCATTCTAAAAGAGGCAGCATATTCCACTCCTACAGTCATTGTCGTATGGTGCTGCGCAAACCCAAGACTTCCCACCCAATTTAGACTGCAGGTTCGGACGCCAAAGCTAAGCCCCAGGCACCCTGCTGACCCTAGGGCTGGGAAAGCTAAAAGAACTTAAATTTTTACAAATAAACAAATAGTTCATCTGTCACACAGAACATGCTATTATAGGCTCTGTGGCGTACACAATTCTCGTATATGTCTAGGATGTGGCTCGTGCCGATTGGATGTAAGGGGCGATCCTGCTCCCACGGACAGGCCGGCCTAAGGCGTCCCGTCGTCAGCCACACCTAAATATATCCATTATTGCTGGGGCGCCTGTACAGGTCATGAGTAACTTCCAAAGAGAGCTCGAACAAAGCCAGTTAGGACATGAGAAAGCGGATAGTGAAGTTTGAATGCTTCGTTTTTGCCGTTTTGGGCGATCAGTACAATGTCCGTGCTGTGCACCGGACAAAGGTATAAAGCATCGTGAGAATCACCAGGTAGAATAGATTTTCATCAAGCAAACCAAGCAAGCATCCATTCCAGCAAAGCATTTCAGCAACCAATCAACCCAGTTCAAGTTCTTTCAATCGATCTAAAGACAACCCACTATCATCAAAATGAAGTTCTCCACCACCGCCGCTCTTCTTGCTGCCACCAGCACCACCGTCCTGGCCGCCCCCAAGGCGCTGATGCCCTTGCAGCTGAATAACCTGCACATCCGCCACAACAAGGGTGTCCACAAGGTGATGGTCGATTTCGACCTGATCGATTTGAACAAGGGCACATCCGGCTTCAAGTGCGAGGTCCAGCTGTATGTTTCCCCCTACCAACCACCATCGCATGCATCCGTTCAGCATCACTAACCAGAGTTCTACAGTATGGAGGACCACCCCTACAACGAGCAGGTCAACAAGCCGTGTGCCGACGCCCTCTACGAGTTCGGCTTCCCCGGCGGCGGCGTCAAGAACCCCCGCGACCTCACCCTCGGCGCCAGGAAGGTCGGCGACGGCGCCTTCTACGGCCAGATTGAGATCAACGAGGGTGCCGAGTGGCATTGCGTTGACGACAGCAACCCCGGTGGCAAGTTCACCGAGTGCAACCTCACTGGCTACCTCAAGATCCCCGTGAACCTGGAATAAGCGATTGCTTGCTTTCGGCCTGCCAGTTCCTGAATCTGGAACTGCGCTTACTCCTCAATGTCAGCGATGTGTTGATGCCTCTCATTATCTGCTTACCAGAAGACCGTTAAGATAGTTTGTTTTCGTTGCCATTGGCTTTGATTTGTTTGATATTTGTTTGTTTCTTGTTGCTCGCATGTACCTAATAAGTGGCGGTCTCCGTGGCTGGCTATAGAAAGGTTAATCCAACTGTTAATCCGTGCTTTCATTACCTCATTGTATGTATGTAGGACTCTTTTGAACTCGATTCTCCTTTTGAAAACAAGGCAAATGGAACATATAATGAAATGATCAGTTCAAAGCCATTAAATGGCCGAGTGCAAACGCGCCGAGGCACGCTAAAATAACCCACGTCGCTGAACTAGGGACCTTATAAGCCACGGATTCCACAGGGGTAGTGGCGTAGGGCAGATGGTGGCATGCCATAATTGCATTAATAGGGTGTATGATCCGAAGGACCCAAACACGGTCTACTATAACTACCACAATCAAACCAAACTAGAATGCCATTTGTATTGCATCTTTTTCAAGAGATCAGGCCCCAAGTTAGTTTGGGGATTGTTAATATGCTTTATTTTGCATAGAAAATACACCTAGGGTTCCCGTGCTAGAAATGATCCCAGCTACTGATCTCAACGAGTATTCAGTATTAGACCTGCTCTAAGTCGCGGCGTGTCATTTCTTTTCTCTCGCACCATACAGCTAAGTATCATGAAATCCAGGCTCGGGCGCGAGTGACGATAGCCATTTATTTCTTCCCACTAGGAGCAGTATAGGTAGAACCGCCGTTTCCGTCATTGTAGTAAGTGCTGCCATTGGAGTTGGAGTAGTAGTAAGAGCCGTTGCTGGAAACACGCGTCAGCTTTACTAGACTAAAACAGGCAGTAAACTCCAACAACGGGATACGGCATACCTGTTCGAGTAGTGGTATGCGTCACCGCGACCTGCGCCGTTGGAGTCGGATCCCGAGCCGTAGTCGCGCGAGCAATAGTGGTTGCCCTGGTCGGCATCAGTTCGTATTATGGCTGGCATATGGCTTGGGATTATCTTGGGACCGCGCGGAGGAAGAGGGTGAGACTCACCTGGCTGTTGGTGCCAGATCCGGTGTAGCTATAGCCGTTTTTGTTGGGCATGGTGATTGTTTTGGGTATTGCGGTGATGATCGAAGGATCAAATAGATGGATATATCCAAGCTGGATGGTATGAGGGAGGAAGAGCGGGGAGATGGCGAGCTGAGGGACAATATATGTTGGGTCAGGTGGGGTAGATGGGAGAAAGGATTGGCTTAATTCGCTGATGGGGGGTACGTGGTTCAAGTGCTATTCCGTTTTTGTGACCTGTTAATTCCCCAGAGACGAGTGTGTGCATGTGTCGAATAGCACTGGACGATTACTGGATTCTTTGGCTAAGCAGATCCTGTCAAATTGGCTTACCTAGAGATGATGGCAATGGTGGCATGTGACTGCCCAAGGTTTGCGGCTGCAATGTGCAATCCCTTATCGAGCTCGATAGATACTACTCCGTAGTTGATTCTGTATCTAATTTAATATGTCTAGTTGTTTGTCTAGTGAACAGGCCGCTTGATCTTGAAACACGATCCAAAATAATACTATACAAATAACACAAACATGTTGAACAAGTGATGCGCGAATCCTTTCCGCTATTTCTCTCTCCTAAACAACAAGACCAGTGGAAGCAGGGGGGTAGGATGTTAATCTGCCATCATCGACATCTGTTCATAGTAGTAATCACATTTTGCCTTCTCTTCATGGATCTTTGCGTTAATAAAGTCAAGTGCTCCCAGAGTCACCAAGCACAAGTCAAGACTTCACAACAACGTAAATTTCATCTCGTGCATGCTGCCGGGCGAGAACTCATGAGGCATTTTGTCATAGAAGTGCTCAGGGGCCCTGAGCGCCATCCACACCCACTTGTTTATCCTGTGGATTTCCTAATACAGCTCATCGATCTGCTTCTCCAGCATCGCGCGCCACGGGGGCCGCAGAACACAACACCAGGCAACTAGGCCAAAACAGGCCTTGACGAGGCTCCAAATTTGTCAGGAAAGTAATGGACCAACGTACATAAGGAATGTATATAAAGACAAGTAGATAGGGAGATCCGGCATATTGCTTTTATTTGCGAGGGGTCGGAGTATGAGTACACACACACACACACACACACATACTGTACCTGTTCACAGTCCTCATTGTTATTATCTCATCTTGCTTCTACCTGGTCATCCTCTTTCTTAGGGTCGCTTTTCTCGTGATCACGGATAGGATCAGACACGTAATTCTTGAGTTTGGCTTCTCGAACCTCATCTCTGAGCTAATTCTCCTCTAGTGTAAGATTGTTCTCTTCTGTATCATCATTCTCTTCAGATACAGTGGAACATCATCAAATCCTGAATAGTAATAGGGCTCAAGGGGCCTCGTCGGTAATGGCAGGTATCACGAGCGGATCTGCACCTGTACGTAGCTGGGATAGATCCTTGGTCTGAACACCGATCTTCAGCCTACCAAGAATTTAGAGTGGATGGTAATCAAATACATCGAAGGTGGAGATCGTGCTAATATTGAGGGGAATGTCCCTCTTCTGTCATCTCTCATTGAAACTGTCTTATTTGTCAGATCTTTGGGAAATTTCTACCATTATTGTCCTGTAAGTACTATTTATATTACAAAATACGACCGTTTCCCTACTAGCGCATGCTGGGATGGTTTCAACGCAAAGAGTAGTTGTGGCGGTCAGGTTGAACGTGTTGAAGGTTGTGAAGATTGCTGTTAGCCGCAGGCCATGTAACTGCGCTAGTATTTGGCGACTGACCTACTTTCTCTCTCCAAATACCTTTTTCAACCCTTTCAATCATGAAATTTTATTTCGCTCAAGCAATACCTGGTCACTAGGATACCTTCTCTTTCATCTCTATCCGTTTTCTCACATATTCCTCTTGACATGCCCACAACCAAACCTTACGATGATGTTGCTTGGGCAATAAGCACTCAGATCTGGGAGGATTGGCCCGAACTCCTTCGCACTGATGGAGACATTTACAATGACATCGGAATCATTCTTTCCGAAGAGTTTGGGAATCTTGAATGGACCCTTTTTGAATACCTTCAGACGGGAGGTTTCAATACCTGCTTCAAGATGGAGTTCACCAATAATTCAGCTGCTGTTATACGATTTCCAATACCTGGCGCCGTGATGTTTCCTGAAGAAAAGGTCCGCAATGAGGTTTCTATAATGTGCTTTCTGTCGGATAAATCGTCAGAACGGGTCCGGATACCAGTCCCCTCTATTTGGCGCATGGAACAGACAACACAAACTCCCTCAGCGTTGGGACCCTTTATCATCATGAGCTATATAGACCATAAGAAAAGTATGGCGGATCTGCTGGAAGCGCCTGGGTACAAAGGGTGTCGATTTCTAGCACTGAATCCAGACCTTGGGCGGCTCAGGTTGGAGCATCTCTACGCGAAACTAGCCAAGGTCGTCCTTTCGCTGTCTACGTTTTCATTCGCCCGCATAGGATCCATTACGAAGACAAACGATGCTTCATGGGAAGCCTTAGATCGGCCTTTATCATATTCTATGAACGAGATTGTGCAGTTGGGAACGGTGTCTCGATCTGATCTACCGACTACCACGTACGATAAATCTTCATCATACTTTGAAGCCCTTGCTGAACTACACATCCTGCACCTCAAGAGTCAAAGGAATGAAGCAAACATCAAATCAGATGTCGAGACGAGCACCTTGGCTGATGATTTCCGGCGCAGATTTGTGGCTAGGTTTCTTTTCAGAAAGCTCGTTTATGATCGGGAGCAGAGGAAGGATTGGATAGCCCATGACGATGGCCCATTTCCTATCTGGTGTGATGATTTCCGACCCGAGAATGTTCTACTTGATGAAACTGAAGACATTGCTGGTGTTGTGGATTGGGAATACACCTATACTGCGCCGGTCGAGTTTGTCCATGCACCACCCTGGTGGCTCCTCCTCATAAAGCCAGAAGACTGGCCTGATGGTCTTGATGACTGGTGTATCAAGTATGAGAAATCGCTCGAGATCTTTCTGGCGGCAATGCGAAAATGCGAAGACGACGCAATCCAAGGAAATCTGCTAACGGAAGACCAGCGGCTCTCTAGTCGGATGCAGAAGAGTTGGCTGAGCGGAAACTTTTGGATTATGTACGCTGCGAGGAGTAATTTTGCTTTTGACGCGATATACTGGGAGAAGATTGATCAGCGGTTCTTCGAACCAATCCTAACTCAGGAAGTCGGTATTCGTGATGTGTGGCGGAAAAGGCTCAGTCTTCTGCAACCTGAAGAGAGGCAGCTCATGGAGGAATATGTGGATCAGAAGTTGAAAGATGGAGGCACAGAGCGTCTTGCTTGGGAGCCAGGTGAGTATACCAAGGCGTGGATTGAGAAATTGAAAGACAAAAGAGGAAGCAGCAGATAAATTGCTCACATGACTAAGTTCACTATGAGAGAGTGAGAGTGAGAGAGTTGCATCAATTTCCGGGTTTCTTCTGAGTAGCAGATCATCCGCAGGGCCTGGTCGCTAGGGACACCAGAATATATCCCACAAAACTTTACCAAACATGAAGCTATTCCCACGTTTTCTTCTTTCTAGGGGGATGTTACGGAAACCCAACGAGGTTAATACCCCACGAAGGCGGCACAGCCAGGCAGAAGCCCAACACCAATCAGTCGACAAAAGGATCGGAAACCTTGCACAAACAAAGGTACGAGTCACGTGATATAATATACTCGAGGATCTACTTTGAAAAGTATACGGAGAAGTATACGAGGATAAGCATACTAATTAGATATACCTCACTATATATCTCAAGAAGTATACGGAGAAGTATATAGGTAAAGGATATATAAGAATACTTATTCACCTGTATCTATAGTTTAGTTAGTCATGTTTAATACACAGTTCAAGTCTGAGTATACATTCAGTCTAGTTTCTACTTATTCATACTTAATCTAAGTGATCAGGTTTTTGTACCTGACACACCTTACTTCTCTTCTCACTTATTAGATTACCTCCGGACCATCGGGTCACTTTGTTAATTAATATAGTTAGCACGGCCACTGTGTGAGGCCTCAGGTTAGTACAAACTTATTATTAATAGCTGACAGGAAGATCGCAGGGCGTTCTTCATCTCGAACAACCCAAGTTACCAACACTAGTACGGCAGAAGCAGGAAGGGATCCTAGGGTCTTGACAGGGGACTAGTTGCCAAAATCTGCCTGGTGTTAAACCCAGTGCCCTCGTATTTTTCACCTGTTGCCATCCATTCCTTAGTAGATCCGTCCAAAAAGTACAGGGATGGTAGGTAAGTTCTAGAAGGTCAAATAGAAAGGAAGACCGCATGGCACCATATTTTCAATCTAGGGAATTCGTTATGCATTGGATATATAGTATGAGAAGCAGTGAGTGGGTTCAGGTAATGCCAGCTCCCCGTCGAAGAGCCTCCAACCACCGCGGATCATCGGCATACGTTGAGTTCCAATAGTCATTCCCCTCGTAGGCAACTTGACGAGCATGGTCTTGAATCATTTGGTCCGATGGATTGATGTTCATAGCGGCCTGATCACGAAGGTAGGCGAGGAGGGCATCCCGTAGCCCTGTATACCGGTTGAAAGCATTGGGAACATTACAGTTCAACGCTGGTAGTTCATCTTCGACCGACTGCAACGCTTCTGATATCTTCCACGGGTCCATCGTTCGTCTCTCTTGTCCTAAAAGGTAAGGGGGCATAGCGTGGGTCACGAGGCGTTCAACATCAGGTTCAAACCCCCAGTCGCCCTTCCACTGGTCCATGTCCACGCCATTCTTGAAATGCTCTGCGAGGTGGTCGACTCTGGCGTCCCAGGTGTTGAAATTGGTTTCGCAAAAGCCACACCGGGAGATCACGCGGGTTGTGAGATGTCTCCAGTGCTCCATGGATGGGTCGTAGTCGACATTATGGGTCAGGCGTAGATGCTGTCTAAGGTGGTCTTTTCGTGAGAATGTCCGGAGTTCAGGGGGGCGCTGTCGGCACGAGTGATAATTGTGTGACTCGAGATGTTGGGAGTCGGGGTCTTGCGCGAAACAAAAGACACAGACTTTGGCTCCGTCTACTTCGCAAATGCCACCCCCAGGAGCACAATGCCAACGATCCACGGGTAAGTGTAAAGCCTTTTCGTGTCTCTGCCAGTCGTATTTGCTCCCAAACGTATCGGAGCAGAAGGTGCACTGGTAAAGACATTTGCCTGGCGCCTTTCGATTTTTCGGGCGAGGCACTGGACGTGGTGGTTTGCGCCGGCGGCGACGGGGCCCCATCCCTGGGATCGGAGTGGGGGGTCTCCGTGGGTAACGATGGGATTGCTGAAATGAGGCCTCTGATCCTGATGATTGACTTTGCTCACAGCTACTCATCGATGGTGCGCCGAGGATAAATGAGCTCCTGGAGCTCCTACTCGAGAGAGCACCCAATGACATGGATCGGGGAGCTGCCTCCTCGAACGAGCACGGGGGTTCTTCTAGTGCGCGTATGATATCCGATGTAGCGGCGGCCTCATTTTCAGGCGGGGAGTGCTTCCACCGTTCGAGTGGTGATAATATGGAGTTCTCACACGAGCTTGTGTCTGGGGTCGATGCCATGCTTGTTCCTCTGCGCCGTCGAGCATTGGTGAACCAGTTAGAGATTTGAGTTTTATTCAGCCCGGTCAGCTGTTCGAGCTCCCCCCTTTCCCTTTCATTAGGGTAAGGGTAGTTTTGATGCTCGTAGAACCACGATTTTAGAGCCTTGGTAGCTTCTGCGGGTAATCGTTGAGAACTGTCCCTTAATGACGGAACCTCGACGATGGACGATCTATTCGACGAGGAGTTGCCATGAGCCAAGCTGCCGTTAGAAGAGCTGGCACGCGAGTGCGAATGTGGAGTGGAATAGTTGCTGGAGTCGACTCGCTCGGTGGGTTGAGCATGGTGACCGGTATCCAAGCATGAACAACCAGCTGCCCACCCATCCGGGCACCAGTAATTGAGAAAGTCCGGTGCTTTCATCGGTTGTGCTGTTGGCTGCGGTGGAAACGCTACGACTTCCCATTCCATGAGCGACGGTTCCCACCATGATGCCGACGCAGGTACTGGTCCATGCCGGGCTTGACGACGGTTTAACTCGGCCGAGTCTGCGCGAACAGGATGGCAATTGATATCTAGAGGGGGCAAAGATAAGATATCTTCACAGAATTTGGGGTTGTCTGAGTTACAGTGCCCCATGGGTGTCAAATGCCGGACAGAAATGGAGCGGTTGGATTTAGAGAAAGATGTACGGGAGGAGAACGTGGTAGAGATGGGGAGAAAGTGGGAAGAGAACAAACAAATGGTAGTGGGTGGGATCTGGATTCTTTCTCGACCAGCTTTTTTGTGGTCAGGTGGGTCCCTTCTCCGCGCTTATTGTTCCACGAGTTTTTCTCCCCACATTCTGGGTCATTTTCCATATATAATCGGGAGAAAGAGAGTGATAAAGGGAGAAAAAGAAAGATAGAAGACAGAAGTAAAGTAAAGAACGGAGAAGAGAATAAATCGTTCTTGGTTCTTTTTTCTTCAAGGTCAGTTTCAACCGCTTCCAACATTCTCCCACTCACCTTGAAGGACTTTTTTTGATCCACAAAATTGGCAAGTCCCGATTCGGCCAATGGAGCGGTCCGCAGTGCGCCCTGTGTCGGAGTCGGCCCGGAGTCCGACCCCGACGTTTTCCGCCGCCGCTTCTCCTCCCAGCCAATCGGAATGCTGCAATCCCTATCTGGAATTGCCCGAGCCGCTGGACTCGGCCATGGATAACCTCCGCTCGAACCGGAGCTCGGACCGTGGGCAATAGTTGAATGTCAGGACCATCCCCATTATCAGTGTTCTATACCGGATTTTGCGGGAACCCCTTGGTCTTTCTTTGCCAACTGACCATAGCATAGGTGTCTGATGGTCCAATGCGGACCCTTGCTCAATTCGTTCAGACGTGGTCGAAATGTGAAAGCAAACTCATAAGATAATGTAGTTCCTGAAAAGATGAGCAAGATTGACGAAGGCCTGGATGCAATCTAGGCCAGTGTCATGAAGCAGTTGGAACTGCAGAATCATAAGTAGAGTCAGACTGCTGTGTAGTCAAGCGGCACTCTTTGCAATCGCTGCTTCGATGATAAACACCGGTTGCTGTCAGTATATGGTGCGAGCCAAAGCTAGAGCTCCAGTAACAGTGGGGATATGTCCTTTTTGTGGTATGACGGCAAGTTTCATAGCTTCATGCGCTTCTCCGCTCGTTCCAGACATTCGCGTGTTGCCGGGCCTGGTTGTATTGCCAGCCCTAGATTTTGAGAGATGATCCATGAATATGTAGGAGATAGGCGGGAAGCTAGCTATATAACTAAGGGTTACCCTAGCCTCTTATTTATACTTGTCAATGACGCCCTGTCGGAAGTGCTTGTGGAGAGTGGTCTGACACGCGGCTGGGGCCGGCGGGTTCCTGACACTCATTGCCTAAATTGGAACATTCGTCGAAATCATCCGGCTCTACGACTTATGAAAGTTGATTCTAGCAAAGTAGCGGGATTCCAGTGCCCCTTTGGACCCAGTAGCCAATCGAAGACAAAAATTACATCGTAACTCTGAACACGGCAAACCGGTGGTCAAACAGAAAGACATGACACGACGCAAGGGAACTGGCTGGCTATCTCGGTTATGAAGTTGACAGTTTATATGCAGAGCACGATGTGACTGGTGACGGTCTTGATACCCCTCAAATCGCCCGAATGGCCCACGCGGTCGAGAACTCCCAATTCCAGAACCCTAGTTTCTTGGAAGCGCAATGGATTCCCAGCCACCGTCCTCGAGATGTTTCGACCGCAAGAATTCCAGACCACTGTAATTGGTAAATCCCGACAGCCTGCCATACTATCAGACGCATCGCTGGGCCGACTGAGCCAGCGGGAATGCCTATCTGATCCGTCATCTGCTATCTATTCCAACGAGTCAGGCCCACTTTGTAGTAGATGTATCGAGTGAACCTTGTTTGTCCCCTCCCAGTTCTGACCGCGACTTCGGAAGAAAGGGCAAAAGAGTGATGCAAGCTCCTTTTAATGTCACTTATGCATTGATCGAAGCGTCTCACTGTCGGAGAAGGTCGTGTGCTCGCCGGTATCTTCCATATCCTAGCCTCGTGCCGTAAACAAGGTTCTTGACGGTCAAGCAAACTACAGGTCTGAAAGCAAACAATCATCTTAGTGTGTCTCAACTGGCTCGCTGGAAGAGGCGGTCACGACAGGGCGCTCCCTTGCCGCTTGCTTGTGAGCACGCCTCATGTACCCCTTGACAGCGCAGATCCACTAAGAAGGAGGATGGGAGGGGCGATCTGCATTTTTTAAATTCCATAAACTATAGAGAGAGGTGGAAAGGTTTTCTTCTAGAGTTCAATCTTCAGGTACTGGCTTTTACGAAGACACGCGTCTCTACCCATTCCCGCAAAATGGCGGCCCAGGAAATTGATCTATTACTTGATATTCAGTCCTGGCTGCTAGACACAGACTATGCATGCGCTGCGGTAGAGCAGGTCTACGGAGGAAGTGTTAACCTGACGTTCAGGGGAGTCCTCAAGCACGCTCTGGAAGATGGGACTCGAAGTATTATTCTCAAGCAAAGTCGTGGGTTTATGGCCACGGTTCAGACCATAGCTTGTCCACTGCATCGATGTGTAGCCGTTCCCAGCTCCTTTATCATATCCTTCTGAATGGTATTGACTAAGTCATCTGTAGCTCGCCGAAGAGCTGATATTGCGTTCCGTATCCAAGCAACAAGTGGTAAGCTTCCACGAGAATGTTCGAGTGCGAACTCCGCGCCATTACGGTACTCTCCTACGACACGATAGTCACTTGCAGATCATGGAAGAGCTACCCAGCACGCGAACATTAAAGAATCTACTCCATGATCCCGAGACGTGGCTGAGTGCCCGACAGGCGACAGCCGTGGGTCACGCCTTGGGCAAGTGGTTGTTCGGGTTTCATCACTCAGGCTGTGACCGCGACGACCCCGTGCTTGCCAAAACTTTGGGGGAAAATAGCTGGCTTAAAGACGACATGTTCCCTATGATGCACACTGTGGTCGAGCAAAATGTCCAGGATTTTCCTCACCTGTTCAAGGGGGTGGAAGCAAAGATCATTCGCGCGCGAACAGATGCAGCCTTCATGATGGTCGAGGAAGACGGAATGGCACTGAGACATGGGGACTTGAACATTTCAAAGTACGTAAAGCCACAATGAACAGAGCTGGATCACTAGCCGCTTTCTCACCGCGTTACAGTATCGTCGTTTCGGCCGACTCGTCCGATGTCCTGCTGGGGATCATTGACTGGGAGGCGTGCCATTATGGGCCTCGACAACACGATCTGGGAGTGCTCCTGGCGGGCCTGATCTCGGTGGAACGCCTCTGTCATAAAGATATTGCGGCGCGTGTGTTGGATGGCGTCCTGCACAGCTACCCGGTCCGCAGTGAGGATTCGGCCTTCTGCACTGTCGCTGCGGTGGGAGCCTGGCTATTCTTGTGGCCGTGGTGGTGCTCGCCTCCGCAGTCGTCGCCGAGCAGGACGCGGGACGTGGAAGGACTAGTGGAATTCGCCTGGAACCTCATGACCAGAGGATTGGAACGCGACAAGTGCTGGATCAAAGACACAGTCCTGGCCCCCTTGTTCGACAGAGTTGAGGGAAGTAAAAAGTAGCATGTTTTTTCTATCTTATCTGGGTTTCGCCTGGCCTGCACATAGGTAGATAGAAGTCTACAAAAAAAAAAAAAAACACTAATAATGATAATCGAATCAGGTGATTGATCTCTTGCAATCACTCTCTACAAGACACAGATACAACCAATTCATATATTGTTGGGATATCAGTCATATAAAGCCCGACCAAATTTCGATCGAAATATCGGTGCAGTGGCTAAGGTATATTATAACAAACATCATAATATTTCAAACAGATTTCTGTCATGTATAACTACCCATCCTAATCATAGCAAGTCATAACCGTCCACACAGTTTAGTTCGAGAGCTTTTCGGGGACGTCATATCTAAACAAAGCACAATCATATTAGCAACTTATCCTTGCAAAGGAACGACTCTATGTCCACAGTCATATGTAGCAAGTACGAGATGTACAAAGGGAACAATGCACTCACCCAGTCTTCGCCTCGAACTTGTCGCGCAGACCGTCCGTAACCTTCTCGTTGATCTGTCGCACCTTCTCGTTCTCGGGGTCAATCATGCCGCCGCCGTACTTCTCCTCGAGGTTGTTGAGAGCTGTTGTTGTACACACGCGTTAACCAAGATACTTTTGACCAAACCAAAATAAAAAAACGTAATTTCGCGGCGGAATAATGATAAGGGAAAGAACAAGGGAATGTATTGAAGTGAATGAGGTGGGGTTGACAAGGTAAAACTTACCCTTATCACCATAATCCAGCTGCTGGGCGCTGCTCGACGACTCGTTGTTGCTGCTGCTGCTATCGCCATGACCGAACTTAGATGCGAGCTTGTCCATTGTGGCGTTGGGATATTGTAGTAGAAGATAGATTTAGATACGAAAAAAATAGAAAGAGAGGAATGATGTGTATGAATCAAACTCAACTGATATCACCAAGGGGACTGGCTTCTCTTTATAACTCGTCTCTTTCCCGACCCCTCCCTTCCCCACAAGGCTACCGCCCCCTGAGAACGTGATGTAATTTCGTCCTGAGTTGTTGGTGTCGTGGGCTGCGTGGGGTGAGATCTGATTCAAGACCCAGGGGTTTAGTTTATATCGGGAAAGATCGCTGGTTACTGTGGAGACTTGGTTCAATATAGCGTCAAACTAGTGTGGCTCGACGAGGGGCAGTAGCCAATTATAAGAGTGATTCGGCACGATAAAACGGAGAATGATGTCATGCTTTATGAATTCCGCGATTCAGCTCAGCTGCTACATCCATGGACTGCATGTTCGGAGATCTATTTGAGGCAACCATGATTAGTAGAGAAGCGATGTAGTGATTTACTATTATTTGTGCTGTGTCTTTATAAGATACACAAAAACAATACCTGGCGGCGCGTTTACTAGTAGAATGCTCCCCACTCCCTCGACTCGGCATTCCAACGGCCCCGCGGAACCTACCCTGATGGTTCTGGGCCGTATAAAGATTATCCACAACCAGAGAATATCCACGACCAGATACTCGAAGCACATTAGCTGCAAGCAGTGACAGGGACGGTGTAGCTGGCATTGTGGTATAATCCTAGGTCAGAGCTAGCTCCCAACCCAAGGCCACGTTTCGCAAAACCGGTCCAGATCGCACATGTGTTCTTGCCACCCGTTAGAACTAGATCGGCATCAAGGATGGCATCTCGGGCCTGGAGGAACGTAGGCCAGCATGGCTGTCTGCAAAGGAATGTACGTTAGCCTGGTCATGCCAAAACTCCCCACAAACTGATCGAAGAGGTTTCTTACAGTGCCATAGCATCCAGGACTAGCTTCATGGCAAGGTATCTGCCGTCGGTTGGGACGTCGTCAATCAGCGTCGGCTTAGAGTCACTATTCTGGCCGTGCTCATCAATAAGGTTCCATAAAACCTCGTTAAGCATTGTCGCCCACACAGTGCCAATTTGGTGTACCGCTCCCATATCGTTCAGACTAGTGTAGTTTAGAGGGTTAATTTCGAGACGCGTCGAGTAGGGGTAGAGGCGTATGCCTTCAGGCTTGTCAGTCGGCCACGGGCTCATGGGGTAAGACGTGTTGCGGTGGTCCTCCGGCTTCAACCGGACCACAATGCTCATAAAATCGCCCCAGCCCTCGCCCATGCCGCGGGACTCTTTCGTTCCGAGACAAACACCCTCATCCGGGCCACCAGTTAGACGGTGGGAAACTGCATCATTGTCAGGCTCTGATTTTGATAGAATGTTTACATAGCTAGGTGTTAGTGTGGGAGGGTTTCATATACCGCCATGCGTGTACTCGTGAATGACAATCCCAGCATCAAAGGCCGAGTCTCGTGGAATTGGACTTGAGTCCCACATATACAATTGCATCGTCCCTGGCCGTCCATCTGGCGGGCTTGAAAATGCGGCATTGTTTTTACCCACCCCGTTTTGCACATTCAGAATGACATAGTCGTTCTCCTTTCCGCCCCGGCCTTGGTTATTTGCTTGGAAGTTTCCTGCAGCTTCTGTAAAACCAAGTAAGTACAAAAGGTCATGGTAGGTATTCACGGTGTAGAACACTTGTGTGATTGCTGCGTCGATGTAAGATTCTGGGTGTGACTGGTTCGGAGAATAGGGGTACACAAAGTTGAGCGAGAGACTACTTGGACGATAAAGACCAAAGTAGGACGCATTCCCCGTCGGATTATAATGCGCAATGGCATTGTTTCCCCAGGTTGTGCTGTAGTTCCGCTTCCCATCGCTGATCCAGGTGTAGCTGGAGGCTTTCGTGTCCCACGGATTTTTCAATATGGTCCGGTTTCCTTCTGTGGGATCGTTAAGACCCCACCGACTGATGACGCGGTAGATTAGTGTTTATTCGCTTCTGATTCTGGAGGGCATGTGTACTTACTAGACCTGGTAAGTTGCACCGGCCACATAGTTGACAACTCCATAGACTGTGTTTCCAGTAATTGCGTCGACATATGTCACGAGCCAATCATGCCCCATGTTTATCTCAATTCGCCATGTCAGTACGAGGCTCATATTTGGCAACATAAAGTACGTCAACCTGGCGGTCGGTTCAGCAACAGTCCCAACAGTGTTCTTGAATACATGAACCTCAGTCCGATCTTCAGGGTGCGCCGACACAGAGCTGCTATGCACAGAGAGGTTCAGAATATCTGATACCGCTTTCAGCGCACTGACAGGGTCGATATGGCTACCGTTCCTCAAAGCATAGGGCGCCGGTGTCGGACCGTAGTAGCACGTATACCCGTAGGAGAGCAACTTGCCACCTCGTCCGATCTTCTCAGGTTAGCCGTCTGGACGTCTTTTGCTTTATCAGTTTGGACTCACATTGACATTGACATGCGTATTATCGATGTCTATGCCGAGGATTGTCTGCTTGAAATGGACGTGGGCAACCCCGTTATTGCCAACGTAATAGTCATTGAGCACACGAAAAGCGCCACTAGGCACAGTGGCCTGGGCAACCTTCAGGGCTATTTTCTTGTGACTAGTATCGTCCAAGACTGGTCCTGCGAAGCCTCGGTAGGAAGAGGCATTAGCCGCGTTTACATGAGTGCTGTTGGAATCCAGCAGATAAGAGTCGAAGTGTTGAATCTGGCGGTCGGTTCCTAGGGTTCCAGGGTGTGCAGCTGCACATTTCTGGAGCGCGAGGGCAAGTACGAGATAAACGAGGTACATGATCATTTTCAACGAAATCAGATACAAAGATACAGCACAGGTGGTGATAAATTGGGGACTGGGGTGAATTGAGTGATGTAGAAGAATGAATGAGCAGCAGTACCCCCTGGCAAGGATAAAGTGAGTCTTTTATATGTACCGGAAGGGCAAGAAGGGAGGGCCCAGTTCTTGCCTCTGTGTGAAACCATACATTGCCATTTCTAGAATATAGTATGCAGAGTTATCGGAAGACTTGAAAACTCTAAGACAGTATGAGCCGATTCGCACTTGACTGGTATTCTACACTTGTTAAACCTTGTCGCTGGTCCCTAATATATACCCCACGTTGATATCACGATGTGGAAGATATACTCCTATAATGGTCACTGGTTACTATAGAACGCCTTGAATTGAAGCATGTATTAATTTATATTAACATTAACAGCGATGTTCTCTGCTCATAGACACGCTGCCTTGTCCGTATCCTTAGGGATATCTAGCAATAACTCCGCTATAACTTGATCCATCGCCCCATCCACTCATTGACTACACTCTTGGCCTCATCTACCAGACCCAAGTCCAGCAACAGTTGAGTCGTCCCACGAACCGCAGAGTCTAGCGCGGAAAATATCCACGCATGAGTATAGCTTGTGTGCTCGCCGATAAAGATGGTCTTGAACTCCGTCTGATAGTAAGCTGGAAGATACAGCTCCTGCTGACCCACAAGAGGGCTAGCCCATGCACCGGCCTGGTGCTCATCGACCTCCCAGCACTGTCGCTCAAAGACGCCTAGGAAAATGTGATCAGCTTCTAGTGTGACAAGCGATATGAGAAATTACACATACCGGTAAACTGCTCAGCTGCAATTGGGCCATGAATCTCCACCATGGAGCGCTGCACCATCGCAACGTGGTCCTCGGTGCTCAGCGCTGCGGTGGACCGCGCCGGCGTGCCACTGATATAAGACGCGAGGACCACGCCGGGGCCGGTTCCGTTGAGGTTGTAGGACGGGTAGCAGACGTTACCGACACCAGGAACGTCGACGGATCCACAGCCGCCGAAAATCGGGTTCTCCTGGTGCTCCCAGAACCGCGTCTCATACTGCAGCGCTATTTTACAAGATTGACCATAGTTCATGGTCGAAATCGCCCGGCTGAGCAGGGATGAGTACCGCGGCAGGTCCCAGAGCCGGACCTTGCTGAAGGGCGCCGCCACCACTGCGTAATCGTACTCTTTGCTTTCCGGGATCGTCTGGAACGGATCTTTGCGCGTTTGCACGGCAATCTTGCCGGATGCCTCGTCATACGAGAGGCCTTCCACCTTTTGATTCAATGTCGTGCGGTTCGCGACGAGTGGGTAGATCGCGCGGGGAAGTGACTCCAGACCGTGGTCGATTGTGCGCCATTCCGTGGCGGCGAAATATGCCGCGTCATACAAACTGTTCCAAATGGGGCTATCGTCTGTTCCCGCGACGTAGTCTGTGGTATTGCTGTCGAATCCAAGTGCTTGGCGCAAATACGCGGTCTCGGACCAGTGGAACATGCCATCCTCCACGGCGGCCTTGTGTGCCTTGTACATATTCTTTGAGAGTTGCCGCATAGTCTCTCTCTCGTCGACTTTGGTGAACTCGGAGAATTGGCCCTCTGCGTCTTTCACTGCCGTCTCGTTGGACGACTTTGGCGTATACACGAGCGAAGGGTGGGCTGACACGTCTGCAACGGTTGGGATGCGACCGTTCGGCAGACGATTTCCTCCCGATGACGCTGGAAGATTCTTTCCCTGTTGTATGAAAGGGATGAAGTTGACTTTAAGGTCCGATTTGCCATTGTTCAGTTTGTTCACGGTATTTGCCAATTGGAAGACCATTCGGTGGTCTTGAATTTGAAGCGTCTCGTTGTTATCCGGATATGTGATGCTAACGGGAAAGCGCATGGGGCCCATCTCCTGGTACTGGTACTCGTCCGGCCGGGTTTGGTTCAGATATTTTGTCCGGATGCGACCCCCGACGCGCCCTGAGGACTCGATTATATGCCAGTCGTGAATTCCAACGGACTCAAGCAAAAGACTAGTCATCAGTCCGGCCATACCGCCACCAACAATGGCCACTGACGCCTTCTTAGCATTTGCCACGACTGCCTTACCGGGCTCCTTGGCTTTCATATAAGCGACTCCGTCGAACCATGGTCCCTCAGCATCAGCGACGTCAGCAATGCTGGCTCGTTTCGAGACAGGAGCTACCACGCTAATTGGCTTTGACCGGCCCAACAGAGATGGGCCAGAAAACGCATGGAGGCAGTATAGATGAGGTGCGTCAGACGGGGTGATCCACACAAACCGCTCTGGTCGGGCGTCGCGCTTGACCAATACGGTGCCAATGTCATGATGCGCGTGTTCAGGGCTCACAATGTTGCAGTCGCCATACACAAGCTGAACATCGCCCTCAAATGACTCCTCGATGAAGTCCACATGGACATTGTGCAGGGAGTCGGCTGTGACATCCGACGGAAGACGAAAGTGCAGTAATTCAGCCTGTTCACGGATAAGACCAGCAGCACTGGTCTGGGCGAGACCCAGTGAATAGAGAAAGAGTTGTATGTATCTCGAGGGGGGTGCCATGGCAAAAATGCAAGAAGGGCGAGGCTCAAACGTCACTGATGAAGGAATAACCTAGTCCAAACCTCGTGGCAAACATTCTACTCTTCCATCTCGTCCCTTTTATACCCAAACGACAAGCACGCTTAGACCTTGTATATCTCCGAGCCTCATATTGACCAATATTCTACCCCAATCGGACAGAGTGATCCTGGCCCACCCATATCGGATCTCGGGCTACTCCAAGAAAACCCGCTATCGCAATTGATACTATGCTAACTCATGCCCGCGGACTTTACGTAAATCCAGCGCTCTCACCAACCGCCCATGTTGATATTAGAAGATACTACCCTCTGACTCGTATCTGAGCGTCGGAATCGCTTATCAGGTTTTGTTATCTCTCTAGACAGACAAATCAATACATAGCGGGTGAAAACAGTGCCCTTTCTCACCAACACGCTTCCGTGCCAATCGCATGGCTGGAAAGGAATCATAGTACTATTCGATCCGTCCAATGTATGAACAGGCGGGAGGGTGGGGCCGACTCCTATTGTGGAAACTGTGCGGCTTCTTCCGAACCCTTATCAGTAGGACGGCGGACTAATTGTCCATGACAGCTTGGCTAGGCCAAACTGGCGTTATCTGGGTTGATACGGGGTGGCTGCGGCCGCGGGGAAATGACACACGCCCTATGAAAAGAGTCAGGTCGGGAGGTTTTGCGTCTGCTATCTTGCTTAGAGGCGATTTATGGATATAGATAACCACTCGGGGCACCTCGTTTATTGGAGGTTTCGGTTTAATGGGGATCGTCCGTGACTGGGTTTAGTTGTCTTGAAGCGAGGTGTTGAATGAACTGAGCTAGAGATCAATAGAATGGTGCGTTGTATACCAGTGATAGAAAGTTGTGGTACTAGAATTATGCTCAACCAAATCTTGTGGGTGCTGGGAAACGCGGACGTTTTAAATCGCATTGGTGGGTTATGTGTCGACCAGCCATACATTCCCGTCGCGTTCTTGGGGTACGGTCCATCAGGTGAAAAAATCCGATGTCTTCTTGGAAAGTTCAGCGGATGGTCGGACCGAGTATAAAAAATGCGCAGGATAAATAAGAGGTTGAGTTGGATGAGGCCATTTGATCCTCCCGACACGCGACTATATATAACAACTGCCTTTTTAGGTAATCTGGGGTTACAATTATGGAATCATCCTCTTCCACTACAAACAACCTACAGCGCTCAGATTTTAAGTGATATTGGAAATTTATATGCAGTCTAGCTACTACTTGATTTGTGACAACTGCGCAACCCACAGAAGCACCCTTCCAATCATGTGGCTGACTCCTGAGTATGAGAGGGACAAATATCCATAACTCCCGGCCCGCTGGTCACTGTTCAAAACCCCAGCCATGACCCCGCGGGGGGTTAGTACTGCGCTTTGAATTCTTCATCGGGAATGCCCGTGAACTGTATATTTGTACTCACACGCTAGTGGTCTGTCAAGCACACAATGCAAGATCTACAACTCATACATCAACTCTCCACCTCCCAACTCGTAATACATCGCCGTCTCACACCATTCTCTTCTTGTCCCTCTACCCCAATCTCTTGCGCCATCGGCAACACAGGCACCCCCCACTACACGGCCTTAATAGCAGCATCTGTGACTCCCTCCGGCGGATGACAACCGGCTGAAACGAGCTAGCTCGACACCGCAAGTACCAGCATCTCAGGTTTCAAGCGGTGACTTTCCACAACCACGAAGAAGATTGTAGCGATGATGAGAGCTGCTACAATCAGTATCATCGCGCCTGTAAGATGCTAGCTTCCTTCAACATCGTTTATTAGTAACTGATAGTCAGGGTATATTTGGCTAATCCAATGTATTCCAGTATTCAGTAGAAATGAACAAAAGATCTAATACCAATAAGGGACTACCAATGCAGTTAAACTTGTCCATTGCCCTATCCAATCGCTGCAAATGCGCCAGATTCATCCTGAGATCATCAACGCCATATCTTCATGCAGATGCGATATCGACCTTGTCCTTGTCTGTCAAAGGTCAGCGCTGCCCTTAGTACTTCTAGTTTGACACAGTGCACGCGAAAAAAAGAAACCCACAAAATGCAATATGATTCTTGATCTTGATCGCGGCATCATACGGGTGAGCATAATACCATGCGGCGTCGCGGATCTTCTTATCTACAATTCCCCCAGTTAGCCCATCTCCGACCAACACTTTGGAAACCCAATCTTCCACCGATACAGTCTCATCGCATTGGACATGAAGGATCTCGTAACAGGAATACTCACCTCCGATTAGGACGTTGTAGTATGAGGCATCTCCTTTCCACGGGCAATATGTGGTCATGTCACTCGGTACGAACAGGGACTTGTCTTTGATGGATTCGGGAGGGAACTAGATTTCAAGTATCCGTTAGTATTTGCTTTAAGATCGTTCATCTTTTGATATGCTACTGGGTGCATACGTAAATGTTCCCCTCCACCGTCTCCCATGTATCAGTTTCAGCCAGTGTGGTTCCGTTGAGGGATGCTGTGGCGAGGGGCATTCTGTGCGGGTGATGTTGGCAGTCCCTTTTCAGGTATATTAGCAATGTAAAGGGACGAGAGGATGATCGAGTCAAGAAAGGAAAGAAAAGAGTTGGACTGATGAAGTAAGGGAGCTGGCAGACAATGAGTTGTATCAAGTGACCATTGGGCCAGGCACCGCGTCTGGGTGCGGGGAAATGTAACCAATGGATAAACCGCTGACCAGACAAACAGCTCGACAAACAATTCCCCGCATGACAGACAGCTCTCAATAGAGGTTTAAGACCTCCATTGATGGCTCCATCATGTGCTCTACGCCACGACAATGTTTCGAATGTGTCTGGTTGCTGAAATCGCCAAAGCGCAGCTTGATTACTCTGTGGACAGCTAGTTTCTTTGACTCCCTTCCTACCAATAGGTGTGGGATTTAAGTGCTTATGTCAGGCTGATAGAAGGTGTATTACGTCCACAGTGGGATGGCTATTGATGATCAAGATGTGAAACAAGACGGACAATCAGATGTCGAAGTATTTCGTTTTAGTGGGTACTAAATTGCTCGTCGGTGGCCGAGGCTGTGTAATGAGCAAGGAAATCTGCTGTTGTGAGACCATGTTTTGATACTCAGTCTGGGGTTACCATACATTTATGGATGACGACTCAGCTATTGCCTACGTGCCTGGGGTCGCGCGTGCACACTAAAGGGATGGTGACCGATCGACCAGATACGACACGACAGGGTCCAATGCAACCCCCTTCAATGATACCAGGGTCGGAGAGCCCTCTACTGGGTCGCCTGGGCCGACCTGACGAAGGTATGCCGGCACAGTGCCGTCCAAACGGTGCCCGGTCGCTATTGTGCTGATCAACGAACCTTCACCGCAAGCCTTGCGCAGCTCATGCGAGAATTTGAAGAAATGGCCGTCCAACGCTATCCTGGCAGGTTGACCAGGCCGGACCTCAACGGCAGTCATTGTCCCAACTTGCCCAACTAGTATGTATGGCTCGATCGAACACCCCGGCAGCAGAACATCGTACTGTGCGACGGGGACGGTCAACGGGAACGGCAGAGAAAGGTCTACCGCAAGGGATGTATGCACGTCACCAGCCCAGGTCATAGTGTCCTTTGGTTTGGGGATCTCGATCCCTGCAACCTCCGCCTCTACCAAAGAAGAAATTTCGCCGCCTGCAAGATGGTCAAAATGAATTAATTTGGGCACCAGGCCCTGAAAGCCTACCCTTGTACTGCACGGTCAGGAAAAATTCCTGTCTCCCCAAATCAAGCCACCCGGACCGGAGATGCACGTCAGCCTTGGCAAGGATCCCACCGTCCTTCTGGTCTTCCCAATCAATTGGGCTCGTCGGACTCCCCCCATCTGAAACACGCTTGATATCTGACAAAAAATCCAAGTCTGTGGATTGACCGTTACGAACATTCACCTGGATTCGTGGGAGAGATGCGTTAATCGTAACGATGTGCCCAAAAACCGGCTGGTAGATCTCGAGCGTATCTCCCTCGCGGGTCTCAACCTCGCTGGCAACCCAGGTGGTCAGCCGGCCTACTCCGCCGATCCACGAACTTTTCACCCGGTCGGCGTCGGTGAAGAAAGTACCCTTAATTCGTGCACGCGACCAGTCCTGCCCCGAGGGCTCATACGTCAGGGACTCGATATGAAATACAGTCGCTCGTTGCGCATACACCTTGATGATCGCCGGGAGGGTAAAAGCTAGAACGAGGATGGCGAGAACAATCGTGGTTAGCAAGGCGATACACCCCACCACCGACCATCGCCGTCGATGGGATGTGACGGTTGGGCGCCGAGGATAGTGATGAGGTGGCGAAGACGAAGGCAAAAGTGGAGATGCCTCTGATGGTGGTTCCCAAGATACTCGAAGGTGGCCCAGGGAAGTAGAGGGGACCGGATCCCACGTCACTCGTTGTTTCGACGCGCTCAGGGACGGAGAGTCCGGGAGGCCATGGTTTCCCGGGTCGGCCATACCGAACAAACAATTTAGACTGTGATTACCGTTACCTCAAGGGATTAACCGTAAATGGATATCGATGATCCATCGAGGTAGATTGATGGAGAAGCACCGGTGGGTGGATCGATGGAAGATGGAAGGTCAAGAAAGGGGCGGGGGCCATTCTCTATAAATAAACCGGATCATGTCAGCAGCAGTAGCTGCCCCAGGCCAACACACGTGGCCGCCAAGAGATCACGAGAAATCAAGCTTCAACTTCTCTGACTTCCTGCAAATAAACTCACGGATTACTCGGGAATTTGCCGACGTCTTATCATCCTAGCACTGCCATGATCAAAGGGAAACAACAACGACCCAGATTCCTGTTTGTCACATTACTCCAGACGGTGGGGTGTATCCACATGCTTTTTATTGACCCAAACTAATTTATCTTAGCGTGCCATGTTGGGAAATGGGGCGTTGGATGGATCCAATAATATATTGGCACAGCCCCAGCCAGGCTAACTACAAGTTGTTGATACGAAGCCCGACGACGATCGGCGCAACGAACGAGCCTTGTCTGTCTGCCCAGGGTTCGATAACGCTAGTCGCGACGAAATAAAAAATAGATAACATCCGCCGTTTGTTCACGACCTGTCAGTGTTTACCATCGCCCTCCGTTCAGGGCATCATCCACCATGCTAGGCTTCAATAACCCACTGCCCGCGTCGATGGCCAGTATGTCTTGATGAGCACTCGTCCGTATCCAGGGGCGCTGCTAACGTCCCTATAGGCGAATGCTCGAAGGCCGCGAAGATCCTAGAATCATTCATCAACCCCAAAGATACAGCTCGGGATGCAGCGATTCCAAGCAAGGTGCTCACAGAAGCCAAGGTAACCGATTCGGTCATGTCTGAATCGAATGGATATCTAACATCTGGTCCCTAGGGATTTGTGGTTTTCTCGGTTTTCACCCTCGGCGCATTGGCCTCGATCAAATTTGGCTCGGGGTTGATCGTGGCCCGGTTACCAGATGGAACCTGGTCCGCCCCGTCCGCTATTGCGACCGGGGGGTTGGGAGCAGGTACCCATCTGGGTTTGGAGCTGACGGACTTTCTCCTCGTCCTCAATACGGACAAAGCCGTCGATACTTTTTCCCGAGCAGGTGCCCTCACTGTGGGAAGTGACTGCTCCATGGCCCTAGGGCCGTTCGGAAAATGCTCTAGCCGCGACCAGGCTGGTCTGTATACTTATTCCAAGGCCCGCGGGCTCTACCTCGGGCATACTTTTGAGGGTGGTGTACTCCTGGAGCGCTCTGATGCCAATAGTAAGATGTACGGCAAACGGGTGAAAGCAAAGCAGGTGCTCAAAGGGGAAATACCCGCCCCGCCAGAGTCCAAACGCCTGATAGATTTTTTGAACGCCAATGCACCTCGCACTTCAACTCCTTCAACCTCGACGATCAATGTCTCATCGGTGGGAAAGCCGCCATCGCCGCCACCACGGCCCACGCCCAGTCCGCACATGGCCAACCCACACTCGCCCAACTCGCTCGGTCACCCCCCATACTCTCCGGGCGCTACTCCTTACTCTCCTGATTCCTATCAACAACAACCTCACCCAACGCAAACCTATTCACCTCAGCCCTATCAACATCAATCTCACTCACCGCAAACCTATTCATCTCAGTCCTATCAACCTTCGTCCGATCCACCCCCGCCCTACTCACCTCAACCTTACCCGGGCTATTTCCACTCACCGAATCCTCACTCGCCCCACCCTCATTCTCCTCATCCTCATTCTCCTCATTCTCACTCACCCTACTCACATCCGTCCCAATCCTACCAGCCCCCACCAAACACTGCAGAGCTACATTCTGAATCTGCCCCGCCGCCCCCGATCGCGGAATTGGACAGTACCAATATCCCAGCGATTTGCGAACTCCCAGCCGACAACACCCCGCCTAGTGCGTCCGGCCAACAGCCCAACTATAACCCGCCGGCTTCTCAGCCGTCCCCGACGATCGGGTATGCCCCGGGACGCACCCAGTCTCTAAATCACGCAGCAAATGGCCATCCGCAGGACGGTCATGCGTCGGGTGTTCTGGCTGCTAGTCAGGATGCTGCATTGTCGCCTACCGCGACGCCCGCTCCGTTGAATATTCGGAAGCAAAGCGATAACAATGTTCCCCTGAACCTGGCACCAGGGCGGTCTGCCTCGTCGTCCAGCAATGTCAGTTCCCACGCCAATGCGCATGCTAATGCGCATGCTACGGGCAGGGATGAGCTGTTCTTGTCTTAAAGTTCTATGGCGTGGGAGGTGAACCACGCGGAGGCAGTGGAGTGGTTCAAGTCAGGTTGGTCCGATAATGGCACTTTCCAGGGTGCCAAAGACCATTGAGATAAGACGAATGTGACTGGAAGATATTATACCCGATGTTAATAGTGAAATATGGTGCTGTTTTAATTGCACAGTTTGTAGTTATTCAATTAATAATTAATTGGTTTTATTAGTTTGATATATTGTACAAACCCCAAGGACAGGAACATTAATACACTGTCTATACTCCCAGCAGTCACCACACATCATATTTTCAAATTTCTCGTATAAATCGAATAGAAAAACCAAACGGTTCTCTAAAAATATGACGTGCAGATCCACCGAATATCTTATCACCCCAAAGGTTGCCATCCCCCGGCCACAAGGTCCCTGCACATCACCAATAAAGCCCATCGCATATCCAGCCCTCGTCATTTCCCCAGTTCCCTTGATAATAGATAAAGACACTGAGAATGGATAGCGACACAGACATTCACTTTCGAGAATCTAGCCATGACACGAAGTCAGAAACTGTGTCGTCGCGCAGGCTGTACGTCAGGACTCTCCACGCTCACCACTGCGACATTACCTCCCCACCTACCTATCTATCTAGCTACCTAGTTGGTTAGCTATAGCAATACAGATTCTGACACCCACAAAGCGCAGACCTCCAAGTTCTCCCACTCCTTGTCCTCGGCTTCGCCACCTACCAACTCGACCGGACAAACATCTCGAGCGCCCTAACAGGGGGATTCGCTGACGACATCCACGTCGACCAAAATACCATCAATCTCGGGAACCAGCTGATGTTTCTCGGTGTCATCGTTCTCGAGATTCCTTCTAACATGCTTCTCCCCATCGTACGTACGCCATCACCCACAGCAACAGCAGCCCTGCAGCCCTCTATCCCCCTGCGGCTAACGCCAGACCCAGTTCGGTCCCCGCCGCTGGATAGGCAGCCAAGTCCTCGTATTCGGCATCATCGCGGCACTACAAGTCTTCGTGCGTGATCGAACGGGATTTTTAGTCACGCGCGCTGTGCTTGGTCTTGCGGAGGCCGGGTATATCCCCGCTGCGATGTATACTTTGTCGACGTGGTATTCGAAAGAACAGATCACGACGCGCATCGCGATCTTCTTCTTTGGGATGTTTGGTGGGACGGCCGTGTCGCCGTTGTTGGGGGCCGCGTTGCTAAGGTTGGATGGGAGGGGTGGGCTGGCGGGGTGGCAGTGGCTGTTTTTAGGTATGTTTAACCCGCGTTGGCCTGAGCTGGAGCTGGTTGGAGGTATGGGTAGGGAGAAGGGAGCCGGTTGCTAATGTGTTGCAGTTGAGGGGGTATGGTCGATGATAGTGGCAATATTGCTGCTGCTGTTTCTCCCTGAAAGAGACGAAGATGCTGAGGAAGCAACAGCGACCAGCTTAACAGAAAGCGACGACGAAACGCCCACCGATACGAAAACAAACCCCCCTAGAAACCACACCACCATCCCCCTCAAAACAGTATGGAAAACCCTAACCAACACCCACAAATGGGCCCACTTCATCGCAACAGCCTGTGTCTTCGCAACATGGAGCCCCCTCACGACCTACACCCCCAGCATCATTATGTCACTCGGCTTCCCACGCAGCCAGTCCAACGCCCTAGCAGCAGTAGGAAGCTTCCTCACCCTCCCCGTCATTCTCTTCTTTGCCTGGCTCAGCGATAAGACGAAACAACGCGGTATCGTCGTCATGCTCGCCATGGTGTGCTATCTTGTGGCGCTCGTCGTGCTGAAAGCACTGCTCCATGCGCCTGTCGGCAAGTGGGGGATGTTTGCCCTGTGGACGACTGTTAATGGCCTTGCTGTGGGGTATCATCCTATTCACAATGCGTGGATTCAGATTAATTGTCATTGTAGGGCGGAGAGGAGTGTTAGTGTCGCGTATGTTTTTCTATCTTTTTTTTCCCCCTAACCAAGTCGATATATGCTAACTTGCGCTGGGTACACATAGAATGTGTACGTACATCGATCAGTATACCAATGTTCTTGCCTTTATACGGACAGTACTGACTATCTTCAGTCGTTATGACGGCTACAGGTGGCCTCATGGCAGGCACGCAGATCTTTCGTGGTGATGAAGCTTCCACACTGTAAGACTTTCTCTTTCTTTTCCCCGTCCGTGTCTTTGTGACAACACCATACCGGTCTAACTCTTTTTCCATAAAGTTATCCTAGAGGAGTGCTCATAATGATCGCATTGGTCCTAGTTGGGCTGGTCCTGACGGGCGTGCAGGTCTTGGTTTATATGCTTTCTAATCGTCGGAGCATGAAGCTGAGTATGGGCAAGATGTATACATTATAGATAAGAAAGTTATTTTAGCTCTAGACTATGGAAAGAGGTCTAATTTGCCGCCATGTTTGACTATGTAGCTTGGGTTTTATTCCATAAATCAGAGATAAGTATGTTCAATATCATTATATTTATTAATGTAATTTCAGTTGTCTCCTCATATCACTTCCGAAAGACAACACATCGAGACCACCATAGCAACATGACTCTAAAACTCCATGAAGCATCACCAATTAAGCCCCATCCTGCAGACGGATCAACCCTCCGATAACACTCTGGTAGAAGCTGCCGTCCGGACCCAGCGCTCCAGGCTGAAAATCATCGTTGAACGTGCCACCGGCGCCAGCACGGATTCTCCACACCTCCTCGCCCGTCCTGTAGTCCAGGGCCACAATGTACCACACGTAAAGCCCGTCTTCCGTGAACTCCTCCGCCTGGGTGTATCCGTACACCAGGCCGTTCTTCGTTGAGATGATCGGGACGGACTGAATGCGCAGGTCGTCCTTCTCCCAGGCAATGTTGCACTTGCCCTCGGAGGACACGTCGATGCGCGCAACGCCCGGCGTCATCTGCGTCAGGTTATTCCACTTGCCGTTGAGGGTACCCGTGTCGGCGTAGAACAGCGGGGGCGCGTTGTACCCGTTGCACAGGTACACGCTGTACGTGTCACCCTGCTTGTGGACCAGCGGCGCGATGTCGATCTTGCTCCCGGTCTCGGGGAAGACCGGCACGCTGCACACAACCTGCGACTCGGCATCTTTCTGCGCCTTCTGGTGGTAGATCACCAGCTGCGACTGGCCTTCCTTTGCGTCCGTCATTGCGACGTATTGGTCGCCCATGAGCGCGGGCGTCGCGCCTGATCCACGCGAGAACGAGCCGGGCTTCTTCTTGTCGCCTGCGTCGTAAGTCACATTCCAGTGGGTCGTGAGTGACTTGTCCTTGCCGGGGCCGAAGGCGATGAAGTATCCTTTTGCGCCGGCCTTGTCCTGCTTGCCGGAGGGGCCGGTGATGACGTACGCGGTGGTCCCGTCCACGGCAATGCCGTTCTCAATCATCTGGTCCTCGATGTGAAGCTCGTGGATCACGCCCATGCCTCCTTTCTCGAGGTATCCGATCGTCGAGCTGTTCTGTGCCGAGTCACCGTGACCACCATTCTCACGCAACCCGCCGCTGCTGAACCAGAGGTTCTGCTCCGAGTCGTACATGGCGTTCATGAGCATCTCGCCCTTGCCGAGAGTCGACGTCAGGTTGATCATTTGCTGGAGCTCCAGCGACGGCTTCTCGTCGTCCTCCTTGACCTTTATAATGTAGATCTGCCCTTCTTTGGACGTGACGACCAGCTCGTTCGTCTCCAGCATCAGCTCCATGTAGGCTACGTTGAGCGTCTGCCCGTCCACCTCGGGGTACCATTCTGCCTGCACGCTCATGTCCTCCCCAACGGCCGCGATGCCCCATTTCAGCCCTGACAAGCTCAAGGTCGTATAGCCCACTACCATCTGACCCTTCCGAGTCCACAGCAGAATGTGCAGGCCGCCAACTGCCGTGGTCAATTTCAGGTCCTTCCCAAGGGGGCCAGGGAGATCAATGGTGCCGGTGTTGCCACCGTCTTGGTGCATGTTCATGGCATTGGGGCTGAATGCGACCCTGGCGTCAAGGGGTTTGGCGACTGTGGGGGCACCGATGAATTTCTCACCCTTGGCGATCTGAAGGGGGGGGATTGGGGAGACCTGGGTTTATTTCCTCATTAGTCCCCCGCATTTGAGGGCGAAAAGATGTTAAGGGCACGTACACCTCGTCTCTCAAGTCCCCCACGAAGGCCTTCCAAGGGCCCTGCGGCTGCTGCGCCGATCAGCGCGAGGATGTACTTAGCATGCATCCTTGACTATGTGTAACAAACAAGCTGTAGTACTCAATCCACCGATCTTCCCTGGCGGGATCGGTCTCTTTAAACTGTCTTTCCCCGTCCTGCGGGATGCACTTGCATTAACCGTCCGCGGCACTCGCTAAGAGATTACCCCATATCGTTGCATAATCGCTCTGCAGATCTGGGAGGTCTCTGCGTCTCTAGGATTATTAAATGAGAAGAAGATCGGCAGTGCGTAGCTGTCGTGAGTTGTGACAGGATGTCAAAGTAAGCGGTATAGCATTCCGGGTAATTCAACGGACGATCAGGAGACGAAGCGGAGCTCCTCGGCTGGTCGAGCAGAGCATGTGAGCCGACTGGGAATCGCGTTCCAGAACTTATGATGAAGAACAAGAATGGCGTGCAATGGCGTCATATCGTGAAGTAAAAACATCAGGTAGCAATTGCCTTTTGTTCCTGCATAATCCCCCTGCCTGGTCCGACGGATGATCTCTTGAGACTTGTTAATTGCGCTTGTTCATTTACCCAATGGTGCCACGGTTGATATAAATGAGCTGACTGGTTTAAATAGATTGAGTCGCACTCGATATCAAGGTGTGAACGACTCCTTGTGCTCCGGTAGACCCACTGTTGCCACTCTACTGTCAACGCACTCGGGCATGTCAGTGGGGTCGCATGGGTATATTCCCCGACGGCGTAGAATTAGACTAAGTGTACGATGAAATACAACTTCACCCGCGACCCAAGAATTGGAATTCGGCAAATCCAGTCTGATAATAATGCTAATTACGAATACTAACGCCTCGGTGCTTGCTGCATGATAGATGGCTGTATTGGACACCCGATGCAGTTTGAAAAAAAAAAAAAAAAAAAATGAAAATGGGGGACTGAGCAAATATCCAGCATATTTTCCTTGCGCACTTCCCTTTCATGGAATCAAGACAGCGGCTGTGAAAACTCAAGCGGCAACTTTCCTGTTATCCAACTCTATTCTCGAGATCCCTGTCCATTTCCAATCTACCACTGTACCTTGTCCAAATCATCGGGGATCTTCCACCCATGTGCGAGACAGACCCGCTTGTATGCGGTCACCGCCTCCTGCACGGTATAGTCGACATTGGCTAAGCGCATATCCAGCCGAGCTGGGACCGGGTCCAGGTTGGTCAAGGCCATGCGCACTTGGATCAGGATGCTCTCGATCGACGATCCGGCCAGCCAACCCGACCCCGTGAGCAACTCAAGGCACATGGCGCCACCCGCGGTAACGTGCCCGCCACCGCCGGCGCTCCACATCACAAAACGCGGACGGACCACACGCACAAAGGGCGGCGACATGGGAAACTGCGGTGGGAAGCGGATCTCCAGCACAATGCTCGTCACCCGTTGAGCCTTCATGTCCTTTGCGAGCGGTAGTGAAGGGTCGAAACTGTGCAGCTCGGCGATCCATTGGTACACATTGTCAATCAAGATGGGATCGATGTACCAGCCGCGAAGGTGCAGGGGTTCTTGGTCCTGGCTTTTCAGGGTCGCTTGAAGACGCTGTTGGAGGGCGCGGTTTGCAGTAGATGTCGCGTACTTGGGGGCTGCCATCAGGCTCAGGGAGGATTCCTTCAAAGTTCCCGGGCGAAAATCCGTCTTGGTCAGGGAGTCGTCGAGCATCTTTTTCCTCTTGGCAGCTTCATCCTCGGAGTCGGACGCTAAAATGCTGCGGTCTTCGTCCAGGGTAGTTACACTGTCGTGACCATCGTCTATGATGGCTTGCCTCTTGCGCTTCTGGCTCTTGTCTATTTTATTCGAGGGGGACCTTTTTGAGGAAACGTTGGTGTTGCGACGCGTGCTGGTCACTGAAATCGGAACACAAATAGCTTCTCCAGTTGGGCCGATCGCGGTATACAAGGGGTCCTGGATGTAGGTAATTGCCGGCGGCTGTCTGTTGGTTTCGTTCCGAGGCGACGTGGACACTCGAACGAAGAGATAGCGGGTCTGGATCCAGTCAAGTTGGCTAACCACATAGCAGAATTTCGAACAGTGCACGAAGGCCTTAGGGGAGTTGACGACCTCATTCAACGATACCGCCATTTGGATTCCCAGGGCACTGTTGCACCAAGACGTGCCGGTTTTATCTTCTAGGACCGTGGGTATTGCAACTTCATGGGTGCAGTAGCTCTGCGATGTCTCAAACTTCTGGGCCATATACACACCGTTACCATAGGCACGGCCGTGACGAATCCCATCGAATCTAAGGCCCTCGCGTAAGATACTGTGCCAATTTTCCACGGGTGATCCGTGCCACGCGAAGAGAGTGGGATGGCTTAGGTTCGACGTAACAGTATTGTCTTTGACGGCTCTCACAAACCGCTTTTCCTTGTCAGGCGATCCCTGGGCTAGTCGAAACTGGAGGTACTTATCCACGCCCGAAACTTGGTGCTCGGTGTCTTCGTCCAGCATAATGCAAGACAGGTTGGATGCCACAATCCATTTCAATACGTACAGCGCAGGTGGCGATATTGCCTCTTTCCAATCGGATAGCGGACGTTCGCTGCCTCCTCTGGAACAGATAAAAGACTTCATTGAGTTGACATCGGGAATTGTGTTGATGAGCGCCCGAATCGCTTCGAGCTTCTTGTTCTTGACCAGGCTATCCAGATCGCAGTCGTATGGCTCGTATCGGACCTTGGTCGACAGCTTGAGGCCTGCTTTTCCGCTATGGGTGTCTTCATACACCGGCTCTGAAATTGTAAAACCCGTGTCATCCACGGAAATGACACAACAATGCGAGCGGTGCATAGTTCGAGTGGATTTATTGTGTTGATCGAGAGCCAAGCAATCCCCTGGCTTAACACCTATCTTGTTATCCGTAGTTAGTCTCTGATGTGTCAGATCGAGGATGCCGTTTGGGCTCGCTGCTATGTTATAATGCGTTGGTTTCTCCTTGGGCACTTTGAGGCCAAGCCCGGTTGGAAAGTCTGACAGCTTGCCCGCTGCAGCCCTCAAATAGCAGAAGCTGATCAGGAGATCAACAACATACGGCTGTGCAAGAATCTCCCACTCGATGCTGGGCCCCATGTCAAAATGGATGTATTGGAACATGCACAGTTCCTTGGAGCAGACGAATGGCTTGATAGCTTCAAATCCAGCATTGACCCTGCTGTAGCACGTCAAGCAAAACTCTGGGCATTTGACAAACCGACGCAGCGTGTATTGCATCGCGACCAATATCAACGATATCTGGGACACCTTCGGCTTGCCTGAGCACTGGTCACCGCAGAGAAGCGGAGATGCAGAGCCGTCCCAACCGTCGGCTGCAAAATACGACTTCTTCGATAGTTTCTGGTTCTTTCCCTGACGATCGTCGACAAACTTTTCGACGCCAGTCCAGGTGTAGCCGTACTCAAGCCGAAATTTAATCATATCCACCAAGCGGGAGTTGAGGAGGTCTTTCATCGACTTGCCAGCCACAAATGGTTTGAGCAAACGGCCCACATTTTGCTTTCGCTGCTTGCAGTTGCTATCTTGTCCGATCTCGTGGCCAAGAAAGGCTTCCTGGGCAACCTGCAGGCTCGGTTTGTAAAACTCGCAGAGCCCAATGTGGAACTGCACTTGTCCAAGACCACCTGCACTGCTGCACATCATTTTCTCAAACCCCATATACCCCTCCGGGTAGCGGATCAACAAGACCAGGTACTCAGAAGCGAGGACGTTCCACGCGTGCAAGGCCTCGGGTGAAATACCCAGCTTGGAAACCCGACAAGCAATGCTTATTATGACGGCCCCCTCAACATCTCCGAGACAGCCCACTTTGAACCCGGCAGCCTTGGCAGCTCGCAGCTCGAGCCTTAGGGCTTTCCTGACGGACCCACGCTCTACCTTGGTAGTAATGATATCTCCGCCCTCCGAATCCGTCTCGTATACACCGTCCTCAGAATCATCCTCGTCTATTAGAATCTGCGACCCGGGTGGCGCATGATCATTCCCCATTTTCGAAACCAGGATGGCATGCTCGATGCACTGACTGATGAAAACCAAGAAATCCGACACCTCCCGCCCGTTGTAAGACGGCTGTCGGTCCAATATGGCCTCAAGAACAGCGTAAGGGGCAGCGTCGCCAACCACACAAGCAAAGTATGTGTGCGATCGTGGGTATTCTTCAATGTCTGATGACACACATTGGGGTTAGCATACTGTGTTAGTAGGGTGGTGGTTCCCACTTACCGATCACCGTGACCTCAATATCGAACCCATATTTCTCAGAGGGAGCGGTATAGGTGAAATATATGGAGCTATCATCTTGGCCCTTGCCGACGTTCGTCAGGTGGGGAAACAGTCCAGGGACACTCGCCTTCAACAGGTCTGCTCGAAATGAAGGCTTCCCCATCTTGGATTGCATAGAACCCATCAACTATTTGATCTTAGCTAGTATTGTCATGCAGATTTCTTGCAGAGTGCAAGGTAGAAGCGGGTTGATGAATATTGCAGAGAATTGTAAGAACAGAGATAGAAATGGAGGAAAGGTGGTCAAATGGAGGGAGAGAGGGGAAGGCAAATGTGAAGGCTAACTGAACAGTGAATGGATATTCACCATTTTCAGCCACACAAGGCTACAACACCGGAACAACGGTCTGACTGCAAACTATGGCACAGGATAGAGGAAGAGTCCTGGCAGATTACTGTAGATAAAGTGTTCCTGGTAATGACGCAACCATATGTAATTTTCAGGGACGACTCAACTCTAATCCCAATGCTCTGGATAACGAATGATCGAGATTCGAGATTATATTGATAGCATTATTGAACTATCTCTTATGACAGCAAGCTATGTACATGATCATTGACACCTCAACAACTAGCAGTATCAAGCCGTGTCGAGAGTCTGTGATTATTTGTCATTCATTATCTGGATTATTTTCAAGAATCGAAGATCGGTGATATCCCTGATTTCCCGGCCAGCCGAAACCTTCCAAGGCACAATCGATTCAACTTGAGAACCTAGATGTAAGTCGGCGAGTTTTTGTGCGGTCGTACGTCTGCTTTCGTTTCTCTGTTTTTGTCTCGATGGTCTCACTGCTCAGCTAACAAAGTATAGAGACGGTGTTCGACAGTCCGGGCTTGACAGATATGGCTATATGACAGTGTAACGGCTATCTTTTTTGGTACATTTCCCTACCACATCAGGACGACAGTGGCTGTGTTGCGGATGACTAGCTTGTTCTCTGTTCGGCTTGATCATCCTTCTCATGGAGTGCCGTTTTGGGCATTCCACCGGGCGGAGAGGTGGGATCCGCAGATGGATTACCTCCATCAGCCCTTTCTTCTACTTGGCCGTGATCCTGAGATGGCGTTGCTGGTATCCCTGGAGGCGATCGACTGGGTGGGGGTATCTGATTGACAGATGGGCTTTCTTGGGTTCCGCCATGCTCAACTTCGTTGTGTGCAGGGATCGGCTCTGTGGGCAACCCATTGGGCTTAGGTTTTGGACTACCAAATAACCGACATCCCCCCCTACTACCTTCGTCTCGCTGATTGCTTCGAGGAGCTTCGGTCGGTAGTTCACTGGGAGTTCTGATCGGGCTCTCAGTGGGCAATTCAGCGACCTGTTGACTAGGTACTGCGTGTAATTCCGACGCAGCTGGTGACTGGAGCTGTTGGTTTGATAAAGGCGACTGGGGCGACTGGGGTGAAAGGCCCCGATCCTGTTGTTCTGATGACGGAAAGGAAGGAGCGCCTGGTGCTTCAATCGAGCCATACAGCGGCATATGGGGGTCTCTGGGTGGCTTGTTTTGAGGGTCTGTGTAGAAAACATCCGAATACAAGACGTCCATCAACGGTTGGACTTCAGGCGGTGGTCGAATCCCTCCTTGAAGAATTTTGTCGGCGGTGATGTTGCAGTTATACAGTTTCCGATTGGCAGCCCTCCGCTCCAAGATCATACCCGCCTCTACTGTGGCACCACCCAACAGGCCCTTGGTCTTGCAGTAGGTAAACATGGATGCACAGCCCTTGAGGCTGGCGCCGGTGCTGAACTCCGCGCTGCGACCGACCGGCCCTGTGGCGACCGAGATGTTCCCGCCTATGGTGAGGCTCCCCATCTGTGAGAATGTGCGGACGGCGCGGGCGTCGTTCAGAATGAAGACCAAATCGGTCAGTTCGACTCCGAAGAGCCCGCCAAACCCTACCCCCGCTGTTGCGATGGCTGAGGGTGCCGACCAGCTTCCGTTGTCTAGTCTCGCGATCATCACCCCCGATCCGAATCGCACGGATCCCATGAACCCGGCTCTTGTCGCGGTGAAGATTACGAGACCCTACCGCCCATCAATCACTACGCTGTCATGGTAGATATACTGGTTATGAAGTTGGTACCTTCGCATTCTGTAACACTTTGCGGGGAATCTCTGTTCCTGGAGAACCGGTGATCGATGGATTGATGAAGGATTCGAGAATCCGACATGCCTTTTTGCTTTCACCTGTGATACCAAATACCGTCAGCCACTCTTTTGAATCGATCTTTGGGGTGAAGCTTTCTATGGGATGGCACGACTCACACCGCAAGGATGAGGGAAATGGATTGTGGACGCCGCGCGCCATATTGGAGACTGGTTAAAGGATGTTGACGGTCAGAGGGTTCTTGTGAATGACTTTCGCAGGGTCAGACTGTCACGATGAAATGCGAAAATTGAACGAGGTTCAATTCAACATGGGCTCATCTATAACTTTATCCTCGCTGTCTCAAAGCCCCCTTTCCCAATCGTGTCAGTCTGCCTTGCCTCGTGCTCCGACCGATAATCCAGGGAAGCTTTTTTCAGAGGGAACAAGTAACGATTTTATTGGCGCTCGCTGGGGTCTTGTGGAGATTTGATGCTGTTTATAGATTAGTGGTGAAAACTACTAGGGTGAAGATCCTGGGGCGCAGCCTTGTCGGAGCCAGAGAGGAGTTGTCACGAAGCACTGACTACGGTGATCGTTGGACCCATTTGACTTCACTACTTCGGGCACTTGATGAAAGAGTTTTCTTACCCGGTCAATATCATCTCTTCTACTTCCTTAGCAATTTGCGAAATGCCTTTTTCCGAAGACAATCCCAGTTGCCCGTCCGGACTCATCCATCGCGAGGTATCATCGTGTTCGGAGTAGACTCGATATTCTCCGCTATGGTCTGGTGCTCCATCGAGGTGGAGTCAATGCACGGTCTTCCTCAAGCCCCAGAATGTCCCTGTAACTTAAGATATTTCTGGTTTCCTTTCTCAAAGGAGCATATGTTGTCTAATAGTCAGTGAATGCAACGAATTAGGGCAGAAAGTGAAACGTGATCCATCACCTGATCACCGATCTAGATCTGACTTTGGTTTCGTTTTTATATAATTGAACCATCTCCTCAAAAGACTTTACATGCTTCTTGTGTCTCTGATTGCATGGGTTGTTTTCCGAGTTTGCCACTAAATTCCTTGCTTAGAAAACACACTGCGTTGCACTCTCAGCCATTTGGCCACATGAACCAGGACCTCACTACTTGCCTTGGTTCTGAAAATTATCTGGCGGCACTCACTGATATACCCTATGAACTAATTGCAATCTTCGCCCCTGATAAGCCCCTCGTGGGTTCTGGGTGCGCCCAAAACAAGGAACCACTTGCTGATAAAAGAATGACCCATGCAGCCATGGGCTATCCCTTACTACTATACATTCAACATTTATAGAAGGGAGAGCAAAATGTCTTCGGTCTTTATGTCTGAGAAAAGCTATGGATTGAAAGCTTAATTCACGCATTAATCGCCAGACATCGGCTGTTTCAAATTCTATACCTTGAACAATTGGAGAATATCCAATGGATATACAGATCGCGAATGACAAAGCTCGAAGGGGAGCCCCAGACTAGATATTCCAACAAGTTCAAAGCAAGCATATAACGTACTAAGCACAATCAAAAAAGCGACACAAGACTAGTCCCGAGTTGCCCCCAATCTTCTCCACAGTATTCAGGACTTCTTCAGCAAAGCTGCTTAGGATTGTTCGGACAATCCCCGCTGATCCAGCGAAGAGAATTACCCGGCTCGACCTCGACACAAGACGATCTATGGTAGGTTCTTGCAATAAAGCCATCGCATTTAGACTGACAGGGGCACTTTGCGCTCGGGGAGTGAATCAACGCGTAGTGAAAGGTACTGTGACTCTTATGAGCGTACATGCTGTGACGCCCTTCGGGCACCTCAAAACAACCCGGGTTGTTGAGCGAGTACCCCCTTTTTTGGCAGTTGGTATTGCAGTTTGCGTCGTCGCAGAAGTAGGCCCATCCGTCGCTTCGCGCGGTGAGGTTGTGGGCGGTTTCATCCTCGGCTGGGAGGGCCAGCGGAAGAGGAACTGGCTCTGCGAGGCCGAATCGAGCGGCCGTAGCGAGGAGGACGAGGCTGGCGCTGAGGAAGTGCATTGTGCGGGGAGATGGTGATGGGGATGTCGTTGTCTGTGGTCATGGAAGGTTAGACTTGGTGGCTTGTCTTTTTCGGAGTCTGCTCTTCTTGCCTTGTGGAATACTTAAAAGTAGATTAGGGAAACTGATGGATTATGAATAACTGCAAGCAGAGGTAGAGACTGAATCTGTTTTGGAATATTCGAACGATGGGTTGACTGGGTAGATGTGAAGGTTCTTATATATTTCAACCTCAGTCCAGTCGGGGTAGTTATGTTTAATCCACAATTGTCCCCAATGCAGAGGGTCGCGTAAATCCTATCTCCCATGCTAACAGTAGACTGGCATCTTGAAGCCTTTCGGGTGTATTGGGTATAGAGTCCAATCTTTCGGTGAGATTTTAGCATGTCAGCGCCGCTGTTGCCTGCATTTACTCCTGCCGTTAACCACGGAGACGCCCGTCTCTACACATCTCCTCCTTTGTATCCTCCCTCAACCACGCGGATACCCGTCTCTACAAAACTCTTTTTTTGTATCCTCCTTTAATCACGCAGACGCCCGTCTCTACGCGCCTCCTTCTTTATACCATCCTTTAACCACGCAGACACCCGTCTCTACACGTCTCTTCCTTCATATCAATTGAAACAAGCGTGGCTGGCACTCCTGGAAGAGATACCTATACCAAAAAAAATATTACCAGGGGGCTTGTAGCACCACTAGAGAACTAGTAATACCACTAGGGGACTGGTAATATCCCTCCCTCGAAAACCCCTGTGCTTGGAAAACCAATCCTAGTGATTTCTAGCTATCTATATAGAGGTCCTATAGTCACGGGATCATACCTTGCTAAATAAGCTTATAACTGCAAGAATATCTTATCCTGAGATGCTTGACCAAAAATATACATTTCGTAGACTTATTTAAAGTTACTAAGAATTTTAAATAACTATAGTAATGAGAGTAATAATATTAGCAGGCTACGTACGCCTTTCTACGATACTTTATCGAGGCTGAAAGTCATATGTAAAAAATAAAAGAGCGCGGCGCCCAGGATCTTTGGACTGGCTTACTACTGTCAAATAATGCGGGTTTACCCAACGCAGCCAACACAGTTTTGATCCGTTGAATGGAGGGATCGCCCTGTGCGTTCACTGACCACTGTTCTCACAGATTGTCTGTTGGGTTCACAAGTCTAACTACGGAGTGTAGTGTATATCGAAAAGGTCTGAGTACTCTCCGCTGGTCGTGAATTATTCTAGACTGGGATTGGTATACTTGTTGTATATCTTTTGATGAGGAGCGCACATTATCCCCGTCTTCTACGAACATTGGAAGTAATTAACCTCATGAGCCTCGCTTTTTACAAGCTAACAACTACATTTACCGTTTGCAGTAGAACGGTGTTTTCGAAGTTGGCTATTGGAGTAAGCTATCTGGTCAACAGAAGGCTAGCACGAGCCCAAGACACTAGGGCTCCCAAATATCCCATATACAAAAAGTTCCGCAAACGAAACGCCCTCGCAGACCCCCCATACGCTGCACACGATGCTAAACAGGTATAATCCAGCCATTTCTGGAGATCAAAATCACACTTCCAGGTGACCACTCTTATGCGTGAGATACTCATGGCCCGTTTCCGTGATGAGCACAGTATCCGAATACTGTGTCGCACAAAGACCGGAAATATGCAGATGAGGCTCGAGCATAATGATCATCCCTGGCTCCAAGATCAAAGAAGACCCCCCATCAATGAGCGCCTGCTCTTGAGGCACAAACCCCACAGTATGTCCAATGCGGCCCGGTAAGTTAGCACCATATCCCCGGGCGTTGTATCCCTTACGCGCCATGCCATAAAGGTAGCTGAAGGGGGTACCAGGACGCAAAAGTGGCTCGATCTCATCCCGGATCCCCAATACAGCGGTAATAGCGCTCTTCTCCACGCTCGGTATAGGCCCCACGCAGACAGTCCGCTCCAACTTCGCAGGCATACCGTTCGCCACGGCCCACACAGTCACGGAGACCGTTTCCGCTGGCTGCGGCCTCCGCAGTGTGGGGTGGTTCTCGCACGCGTGGTAAAACTTCCGCGGTCCGGAATTGACACTCGTCGCTAGCCCGCTGTGCTGCTGTTGCTGGTGGTTGCTGCCGTCAGGCGATGAGGGGAACGGCGACGACCCGACTCGCCGCACCTCGACGTCGGGGTAGTGCCTCGCCCAGTGCTGGTTCATGGCGTGCGTAGACGCGATCGTCACGTCCCGTTCGGTGACGTCTCCACCGGCGAGTGCCGCGATGGCCGCCTCCATGCCTACGTCTGCGATGTGCGCTGCGATCCGGCCGTTCGCGATCTCGTCGGGGTCTTTGACTAGCCGGCATCGGCCGATCAGGGGTGTGACGTTGACGAACCTCGCCCCCGGTGGTGGTGGGGTCTTGTTCTCTGGGTCTCGGGCGCGTTCCAGCGCAATGAACTCCTCTTCGATACCGATGGTTTTCCCCTCCATGTCGAGGTTGGCTAGGATTGAAGTCAACGCTGCTTGCCAGCTGGGTCTCGTGGGCGCCTGTCTTGTTTGCGTGCTGAAAAGTTTCATTCCGGGTGACCAAGCTCCTGCGCGGGCGTGGTCGTCACGCAGGGCATAGACCAGCAGGGTTGGGTCGCCGCGGGGCGCGAGCACTGCGATTATGGGGTGAGAGGAGATGAGGGGGCTGAAGCCCGTTAGGTAGAAGCTGTTTTCAGGCTGGAAGCAGACGATGGCGTCGATTCTTTCCTTGGCCATCTGGGCTCGAAGACGGCCTACTCTGGGCTGGATGGTGAAGCCCATCTGGTCTGATATTTTGAGTCCGCCCATTGTGGTAAGGCGGGGGTTGCGATTGGTGAGTGACTGGTACTATTCTTCGACTGTTGCGAAGGAAGGAAAGACCGGCGGTCGATGCTCCTTGCAATAACCTTAAGTGCTTTGCAACGGTGTGGGACATTATAATTTTGGGCATTTGTTTTGCGATATATCACAAATCAGGGGGAATCTTTGGCACTATCGACGTGAGTGGGGATGTGCGACTAGAACCGATCTGATAACCCCTTTGACGATGCAGCCCAGCGACACGACACGTCAGATATTGACTTGATACGGTCCAAATTTAGGTATCCTATAATTAGCTCTTATGGAGAGTGGAGGCCTTGAAGAATCTTCATCATTTACCGTTGGCTCGACGAAACAAACCAAGTTTGAAGCAACACCTGCCAATCTACAAAAAACATATCACGCAGACCCTTATAGCACATGCAGCCTCTACTTTTATCTAATGATTCAAGTTCTTACCGTTGAGAAAGGGTCAAATGACCGGTCGAGTTTATGGAGGGTCTCACTGAATAAGACCACTTTGGTGACCTGCTCACAGTAAGCCCTACTGGTCCCGTACTCCCTCAAGGATATAACTCGCCATTACTACACTATACAGTCTACATGAAGCAATATGGGGGAAAATTAATAGTGCGTTTCAGATGGCGATGGAACAGCCTATTCTCACAAGTCTAAGCTCTACCCACACAGTCGTCCCTCATCTCCCAACGAACGAAGACAAGCACCGGAAAAGGTTTCAACCAGGCTGAACGTCCATCAACTCGGTCGAATTGGCTTCGCAAATTTTTTTTACGGACACTGAGACGCGAGCTGCTTTGCGGCTGTCCTCACAAATTAGTTCGTTGCCACACTTCCTCTCAAACCAGAGGTATGGGTTACATACAAGTAAGATCTCCAGGGCTGCATTTAGACTCCACGCACTTGAAGAGGATGTCCCGGAGCTTTTGGTCGTGACAGGCGCATTTAATGGTAGTGCAGTCAGTAGTGCCCCTGTTGTCCAGGGCACATTTTTCCTTTACGGCCACTTGTTAGCTGGGCATGTACCATGACATGAAAAGTTTCTTCAGTCTTATGCGACAAATCTCACCATACAGGGGCTGAAGCCTGCAGCCAAAGAAAGCAGGGTTGTGAAGGAGATGAGGATGGACAGCTTCATTGTTGGTGTTTGATATTGTTCTCTTGACTGTGTTTGGGACTTTTGATTCATTTGAAGCAATAGGGGTATTTAGAGGAACCCTCACTTGGCTTTATACAAAAAGCTCGGGGACAGAGGTCATATTCTCATGACGGATTCTTGAAATAAATATCCCCCTGCAGAGTGCATACGGTTATTGCTACGCTGTACAATTATATGTCGATCGTCGCATACAATGGTGGTACCAGTCATTTGTGAGTTTACAATTTGAATGATATGTTTTGTCGATCATCGAGAACAGGGAGGACTGTATTTCGGGATGCAAATTTTTACGTCAAAGGCATTTTCGAATATGTTATTTTCACTCAATCTGAGTGGTGGTTTTGAGATGTACGTCTCTATTTATCAGTTCTTCAGAGGGCCTGAAGCACCTCGGCCATCAGTACTGTATACACATGGGAATGTGAGACCACTGGTTTGTCTAGCCCTGTGGTACTAGGGATTTCAGGTGTAAATATGTAAAACATCACAACATATACCGTTTAGCTCACACACTGCCAGGGGAAATATGGGCTGAAAATGGAAAAGTTGAGTATTTCTGTTGGATAACTCTTCTCTTCGCTAGATTAATGGGAATTGTCCGAACGAGGTTTAGGAAAAGTTTGCCGTAGATGAACCAGTAAATTATAATGCTTACAGCTCAGACAGTCCAGAAATATCACAAAGATAGAGGTGGACTGTCACTACAGCATCACTTTCTATATATCACTCCACCAGTCTTGGCTGATTTGAATTCATACAAAGTATGGTCACTTTGGAAAATCAGCCTCGTTACACTGTTCCACTTGTGTGTGGTTAGTGATATTAAAACCCACTGTCCCACTAGGTAGTGACATATAAATGTCTACCTAGTCCAATGTATGAAGTGAATAGAAGGCAGGTGAAGAGAACACGTGATGAGGGCTCTTTTTGATCCTCATCAAACCTCACTCTTCACTCTGTTGGTCACCTATTATTATATATTCTCTTTCACAACACATGAGATTTCACTTTCCTCCTTTTCTTGCTGGTTGAATCATTATCTGTAAATTAGTCAGTTACAACAATCTCTACTGGGTTTCACACAACCAGGGCAGAGACGGTTTAACACTGGTTATGATCGCTGTTACCAAGTTCTGTGTGACATCAGCTAACACTCATAGTCAATCATCGTGAATTTCCTTCCAAGCTGGTCATTATGTGAGTGGAATATGGGGTACAAGGCTAGCGTCGATGCCAATAATGACTCAGGGGAATGGTGGCTAGAAGGGTGATGTTGCGATCTCTGAGGGAAGGGAGCTCGTGGCATACAGCTATATGTGTGTTAAATGCCGCGGAGATCGTTACTTAACTGGTTTGATTTCTTCTGGTTACTTCCAAGTTTCGTGGATATTCCTCTTTCCGTCTCTCTTATTCGTTCGACAAAAACTCTTGGCCCCATCATCGCCCGGGGACTTGACCATACGGGAAGGTCACGAACCAACTCGGCAGGAGTCCGGGGCCGGTTGGAGCCGGTTGGGGTGGCCGGTTGCGAGATTTCTTGCGGGATTACTGGAATAGACTGGGTCAAAACTCAGTCACTGAGTCAACCTATGGGCTGACCCACTTGCCCCAGCCGGACCACCAATGCGGGGATGGATGGGGAGACTACTTCCGCATTTAATAGACACCGAACATCGCAGGAACATCAAGATTTTATTGATTCTACATCATCTGAGGTTAAATTGGAAAGACGCTTGAAGACCAAGCTGGTACTCCACGATGCAGTTGAAGGTATTTTTCGCCCTCTGTCGCTACACATCATGACGGTCTTGTATCCCAACTACGTTGTCGATTGTTATGGTAATTTCGGGATCCTAATGAGTCTAGGCTTGGGCAGTGTTCGCGCTGTCGGCCCTTCCAACCGTCTATGCACGTCAACATTTGAATTCCAGAGTCATCAATAGCGTGAGACGACATGACGGTCGCGGACAACAAGAGGCACCCCCCAACGGCAGCAGCACCTACCAAACCCGGTTTCCTGGAGTGACGTGGGATGACGACAACTGGATGCTTACGACCACGTCCTTGGACCAAGGCCATTACCAGTCGCGCGGATCGGTGGCAAACGGATACCTCGGTATCAGCGTGTCCAGTGTCGGTCCGTTCTTTGAACTCGATGTCCCTGTCGAAGACGACGTTCTCAACGGCTGGCCGCTCGATTCGCGACGGCAGAGCTTTGCGACGATTGCCGGGTTCTGGGATTCCCAACCCACCACGTCCCGGAGCAACTTTGAGTGGCTGAGCCAGTATGGAACTGACAGTGTGATCAGCGGCGTTCCGCACTGGAGTGGACTGGTCTTGGACTTGGGAAATGGGGTGTACCTGGATTCGACTGTCGACAACAAAACCATCACTGAGTTCCAGTCAACCTACGATTTCAAATCCGGCATCCTATCCTGGTCATACACCTGGACGCCCAAAGGAGATCTTGGGTCATATGCCGTTACCTATCGGTTGCTTGCCCACAAGCTGAAGGTCAACCAGGCCGTGGTCGACCTGCAGATCGTCCCCTCGGCCAACGGAAAAGCCACCGTGGTGAATGTAATCGACGGGTATTCAGCGGTGCGCACGGATTTCGTTGAGTCTGGCGAGGACGAGGGGGCCATATTCTCGGCGGTGCGACCCTGGGGGGTTCCTGATGTGGCTGCTTATTTGTATGCGAATCTGACTGGCTCCGACACGGTTGATCTGTGCTCGAGGAGACTCGTCAAGGATAAGCCCTACATACATGCCAATCAATCTTCCCTTGGACAGGCAGTAGACGTCGAATTCCTCGCCCACCAACCTGTGCGGATTACCAAGTTCGTCGGCGGCGCGTCGTCCGATGCATTCCCAGACCCACGCCAGACGGCCAAGCAGGCAGCTTCGTCGGCACTTGCGGCCGGATATGACCAGTTGCTGCATACCCATGCATCGGAATGGGCCAGCGTCATGCCTGATACATCAGTGGACCGCTTTACTGATCCTATCACTAAGCGACTGCCGTCCGATCTACATGTGATCGACTCTGCTATCATCGCCGTCGCCAACACCTACTACCTGGTACAAAATACGGTCGGCAAGAACGCGATCAAAGCTGTCGGTGGAGCACCGGTGAATGTTGACAGTATCTCGGTCGGTGGCCTGACATCTGATTCTTACGCCGGCCAGGTCTTCTGGGATGCCGACGTGTGGATGCAACCCGGTCTGGTGGCTTCTCACCCCGAGGCCGCTCAGCGTATTACCAACTACCGGGTGAAACAGCACCAACAAGCGGTCCGGAATGCCCAGACAGCGTATGTGGGCTCGAAGAACGAGACTGTCATCGACAAATCGGCAGCCATTTACCCCTGGACGAGCGCGCGTTTCGGCAACTGCACTGCGACTGGGCCGTGTTGGGACTACCAATATCACCTCAATGGCGACATTGGGCTTTCTCTGATTTACCAGTGGGTGACCAGTGGTGATACACAGACGTTCCGCGAGAAACATTTCCCGGTGTATGACTCAATAGCCACGCTGTTTTCTAACATCGTCCAACGCAACGGCTCGTCGTGGACGCTGACCAACATGACCGATCCGGACGAATTCGCCGACCATGTCGACGGCGGTGGATACACGCTACCGCTCATCGGAGAGACCTTGACGTACGCCAACCAATTCCGCCAGCAATTCGATATTCAGCTCAACGATCAGTGGACAGATATAGCTGAAAATGTTATGGTGTTGCGCGAGAACGGAATCACCTTGGAATACACTACCATGAACGGGTCCACGCGGGTCAAGCAGGCGGACGTCGTCCTCCTCACTTACCCCCTCGACTACGACAGCAACTACACCTCGAAGAACGCGTTGACGGACCTGGACTACTACGCCAACAAGCAGTCACCGGACGGACCAGCTATGACATGGGCGATCTTCTCAATTGTTGCCAACGCGATGTCGCCCTCGGGTTGCTCCGCGCATACTTATCACCAGGTCTCATTCGCCCCGTACGCGCGGCCCCCGTTCTATCAGCTCTCCGAACAGATGGTCGACCGCTTCAGCATCAACGGCGGGACGCATCCGGCCTTTCCCTTCTTGACCGGACACGGCGGCTCCAACCAAATCGTTCTCTTCGGCTACCTGGGTCTCCGACTCCTCCCCGACAACGTCCTCCACGTGGACCCCAACCTGCCGCCCCAGATCCCCCACCTCCGCTACCGTACCTTCTACTGGCGCGGATGGCCCATCGCAGCAGAATCCAACTACACACACACCACGCTACAGCGAGACCGCTCTGCGCCCGCACTCTCGACCGCCGACCCCCGGTGGGCCCAGAACGCCCCCATCACCGTCGAAGTCGGGGCCTCACCCGGCCACACGACGCGCTACTCGCTCCCCAAGAACGGCACGCTCACCATCGCCAACCGCCGAATCAGCGACATCAAAACCACCCCCGGCAACCTCGTCCAATGCGCCGCGGTGTACTCACCCGACCCCTTCGAACCAGGCCAGCTCCCCATGGGTGCCGTCGACGGCGCGACCTCTACCAAATGGCAGCCTTCCACAGCCGCAAATTGGACCTCCCTCACCGTGACCCTTCCGCCACCCATGGACAACAACAGCGCGGTCATCACCGGCTTCGACTTCACCTGGGGCTCCGAACCCCCCGTCAACGCAACCATCATCCTCCATGACACCGCCCCATCCCACTCTTCCTCTACGCCCTCCAAGGCGCCACCCACAGGCCGCACGGTCTGCACTCTAACGAACATCAAACAGTCGGCGCCCTACGACGCCAAAAAGACAGACCTCAACGCCGTCGTCATACCGCTGGGGAACACCACACACGTGGACCTCAACCGTAGCGAGAAGCCCGCGCGCTACGCGACGCTGTACATCGTGGGCAATCAGGCCAGCGGGGGAGCCAACAATGGTACGGGTGCGACAGTCGCGGAGTGGGTTATTCTGGGCGGTAGGGCTGGAGGAAGTAGGATTTGACGTTATGATCATTGTTATTCTTATTTTCTGGTTCTTATCTAGCATGTTTTATCTGGTTATTGTTGTTCTGGATATTGGTATCCTTATTCTTATCTTTTCTTTAATATATTTCCTCTAATCGTCATGGAATGCAGTTCATACAAGGATGTTTACTTCTCCATAGTGTCTCAACAGGATCCCTTCCTAGTAACTACTAGATAGATGTCCATCCACTACTTACTACGCATCTTACGCTTCTCTACCCTCCAAGTAAACATCCACACCCGGCCACATTTTATACCCCACCTCCCCCATCTGAACCTACTATCGAGGATCCACAGCCTAAATAAACAAAGCAGGCTAAACCTCCTATAAACATCAGTCTATACTCGAAACCAACCGAAATAATTACCATACATCTAAAACATCTCAACCATCCATCCACCTATCAGCCACTCGTATACCCCTCCAAAACAAGTCAAGAGTGAAGAGTGACTAATATCAATCGGTCAGCATGTATGTTAGCTGACTTGCAGAGCCGTGTTTTCCCCACACTATTTGTAATTTTATTCTAATCTCGCAATGCTTTGCAAACTCTAACAAATTGCTTCGGGGCTATTGAGTTTATCATCCTCTGGACTGTTGTTTTCATCTGTTATTATACACTATTTAGGTGGCTTTTCGTGCTTAGGCTGTCTATCTATTCATCTACAGTGTGTCTATGAACATCGTAGCCCGGCCCAGTCCAGCCCACGCCTCAGACGTACGACTTCCTATCAATGAACGAAAAAGACCAGACAAACGGCTCTCATCAGGAAATAAACCGAAGAAATATGAATTATGATGCAAGGGTAAGGTATGATATGCTATGTAAGATATGTGTATAAAATATAATCACCTGATATAATATAAACCTATTACAAAAAAAAAAAAAGAAATAACAGAAAAAAAAACGAGTCAAAAGAAAATCTAAGCACCCGTAGCAAACCGATCCAAGAACTTGAACTTCGTCAGGGAATCAGTGAGACTATCTACGAAGCCCTTGCCGGCGTCCTTGGCGACGACGACGCCCGGACGGTCGGAGGCGATACCTGCGTCTTTGAGGGCGGAGTCTCCCGCGCCGAGGGCACCGACGGTTTTGCCGAAGCGGAAGGCGTCGACGAGGATTTGGAGGGGGCGGCCAGCGGGGTACGAGGCGGTGGGTTTGATGAGAGAGCGCTGGGTGAACAGGTCGGCGACGCCTGGGGCGACGATGACCGCGTCGAATTGGATGGCGTCAGAGGCAGCGTAGGTTTGGTCGATGCCGTCGGCGAGGTGCTCCGCAACGACAACGACGTCGACGTTGAGGCGGGCGAGCTGGTCGGCGAGAGTCTTGGCGGAGGAGGTGCTTTCCGGGACGGAGGTGGAGGCCAGGACACCGACCTTGAGGCCGTCGAGTTTGAGGAGCTTGTGGCCGAAGGCGCCGACGTTGATGGTGGTGTTGTCGTGGTAGTAGGTTGGATCCGGCTTGGGTTCGGCGACGCCGATGGCGCGGGCGACGGCGCAGGCGACGTCGTTGCTGACGCGGTTGAGCTGCATGATGACGTTTTGCTTGACGACAGAGCTCTTGACGTTGGAGGTTTCGAAGCTCATCGCGTTGATGATGAACTGCTGCTCGGCGGGGACGAGCGAGTTGAAGAAGAGGCGCGGCTGCGACCAGACGTCGGCGAAGGAGGGCGACACGGACCGCGTGAAGGCGCCCTTGGCGGTACGGCGTGGCGCCGTGAAGAAGCCCTTGCCGGCGGTTTGGTTGGCCTGCTGGGGGGCGCCCTCGCTGGGGCTGTAGGCGTGGGGGTTCAGCGGGATGAACATCTGGCCGGCACCATCGCGGTTGTTGTTGTGGATGGGCACACGCGGCTGGTTGATGGGCAGCTGCTCGAAGTTGGGGCCGCCATTGCGGTTGAGTTGCGTGTCCAGGTAGGAGAAGAGACGGCCTTGCAGGAGGGGATCCTCGGTGAAGTCGATTCCGCGGACGAGGTGGCCGGGTTGGAACTAGATTGGTCAATACCTCATGAGAACACAGGAAGGGGGGGGGAGGAGAGATAGATATGTACCATAACTTGCTCGGTTTCAGCAAAGTAATTGCGCGGGTTGCGGTTGAGCGTCATCTTGCCCACCTTCGTGATGGGGACGAGCTCTTCGGGCACGATCTTGGTGGGATCGAACAGGTCGAACCCGAAGCGAAGCTGATCCTCCTCGTCCATGACTTGGACACCGAGCTACAGCACACAATCAGCATCACAACGGAGCACACGGGTGGACACGAATCTACATACCTCCCACTCGGGAAACCGACCCGCCTCAATGCTCTCAAACAGATCCTGGCGCATGAAATCGCCATTCTTGCCCGACACCTGCTGTGCCTCTTCCCAGACCATGCTCGCCTTGCCGGTCAACGACTTCCAGTGGAACTTGACCAGCTTGGACTCGCCCTTGTCGGTGACAAAGCGGAAGGTATGCACACCGAATCCATCCACATGGCGGAACGACCGGGGGATACCGTGGCCGGCCATGGCCCAGAACAGCGTATGCATGGTGCTAGGCTGGCGAGAGAAGAAGTCCCAGGCGGAGTCGTGCGCCGTGGCAGCCTGCGGGATCTCATTGTCTCCGCGCGGCTTGACGGCGTGAATCAGATCCGGGAAAAGGATGGCGTCTTGGATGAAGAAGACGGGGATATTGTTTCCCACCAGGTCGAAGTTTCCTTCGTCGGTATAGAAGCGGGTCGCGAAGCCGTGGACATCGCGAGCGAGATCGGAACTGCCGCGGCTGCCAGCGACGGTGGAGAAGCGCAGGAAGACGGGGGTCTCTTTGCCCTCTTTGCTGAGGAACGAAGCTGCCGTGATGTTGGAGTAGTCCCCGTACGACGTAAAGACACCGTGGGCGCCGGCTCCGCGGGCGTGGACGGCGCGTTCTGGGACCTAAATCCGACGTCAGTTTGGGAATGTCCATCAATTACTATCAAGAGGCAAGCCACATACCCGCTCATGGTCGAATCGCTGGATCTTCTGGCGGAAGATAAAATCCTCCAGCAGGGTCGGACCCCGATCACCGACCTGAAGGCTGTCCTGGTCGGCAATGGGTCCCCCGGCGTCGGAGGTCATGAAGCTATCGCTGTCGTCCAGGTAGTATTGCGACAGGAATTCCTCGGTATCTCCGGCGGCGCCACTGCCAGGGGTGTCGCGCGCCGCCATGTAGGGACATTGGGCATAGGCCACGGGGAGAAGGCCAACGAGGCCTAGGAAGGAGGCTCGCATGATCTGGAACGCGAACAAGTCAACCGATGTGCCTTGGAAGAGAGTATTGAGAGCACTAAGGGCGACCACCAAATTAGGGGTGAGGAGAAGGGAAAGGGGAATGAGGAGAATGGCAAGGAAGGGGGTACGCCAGACAGGGATGAGGGGAAGGGTCGAAGGCCAGCCAACGGGACAACAAACCAATGCAATAATCCAAACCGTCAGGTCAATTGGTTTGATTCAATTGACACAAAGAAATTGAAAAGCGATTGCTCGAGGGGAGCCGAGGGTGACACGGACATTCTTATACATCTGCATGTCGATCCAGCGACGCGAGGGAATACGATACGGATTTGGGATTTCATCTCTCTCTGTGTCTTTCTCCTCCCCGCGCACGCTTGGGAACGTGGTCTTGGCCGGTGCAACCACTGACAATTCACATCGGCTAAACAACTAGTCGATCTTCTTCTTATTTTGTTTGTATTTTTTTATTTATCTGGTTTTTCCTCCCTCGACCCGGACGGGAGGAGATCACAGTCACAAGTGAACCGGCCGGCTTGGTAAGAGGACTCGGCCTAGAATCGCAATTTCACGGCGTCCCAATAATTAATCCACGTATCTGACTGGTCAATGGACCGGATTCGACATCTCCACCAGGCGGGCTTGGCAGACGTCGGTCGAACGACGGCGTCTTGTGCTAAACACTGTCAATTATCTTGCAAAGTTTTTCATTGGTGAAGCCGGGAGCTGCATCTCCTCCTCACCGCGGTGTGCCGGTGGGGAGTTCAACCGATATGCAGGCCCTATGCACCTCTTGACGTGGGGGATGGAGATGATTAGCAATGGATTATTCATGCGGTGGTGGAGATCTCCCTGAAACCCAGGGGATAACGGTGGTACCTGACAGGAGGTCCATCTGCAACAGATAAGAAAGGAACTGTATCAGACGGGCGATCTCTATTAATCTATTAATCATATATATTATGACGTTATATAGAATGATCAGGGTCTGGGAATGTTTGTGTCTTGGTCCACAGTGAGGGGTGGATTAGTGAGGTGGACTAGGGCACTGGCGGTCAGGAGACCCTTGCACTTCCAACCCAACTAACAGTCATCTCGCAGCAATGCAGGTACAAATGGGTAACTAGCTACATGATAGTTAGGTAGGTAGGTACCTAGTAGGAAACGAGAAGGAAACCTGGTCAATCTGAAGGTAACATCCCGGAAGTGCGCCTGCGGTGGCGTTTCTATTAATACGCCCACTACTGTATGTCTGTCACATTTCGGACTCCGCTCGGTTGGTCATCAATCACACTCGAATCCCCCACTGTCTTATCATGCACTCGCCCGGCTCGCCGCATCTTGGGATAGCTTCACTATCGAATCGGTTTGCGACCGTGCTTCCTCGGATGCACGAGTCAGGCCATACTTGCCTTAGTACTCTGGGCCATGTAGTATCACCCCAAGCGTCAATCACCCCCAGGTTCTGTCCAGCCAAGATCGAATTGGCGTCTCGTCACATCCCTATCACAACTTTCGCCCCATACTAATGCGGAAAGTGGCGTAGACGTTGATAATCGGTCTGCGCAGGAGATCATCCCTTGCGGTAGTCCCAAGAAAGCATCGTATTTGGGAGTGAAGTACGAGACAATAACAATATGTCAAACCAATCGGCAAGTCGAATACCAAGAAAGGAAGGTACTACCTACCTATTGTCGGGCATCAATCAATAGGTACTATACTATACTACATTCTCGATTAAGAGCAACTTCACTCCACCGACCAGATCACCTTCCTTTCGTACGGAACAAGCCACTACCATATCCGGTTGATGAACACCAACTCTCGAACGCCTCGAACGCGCCCGGTGTACACATTGGTGGCTAACGATCTTCTTCGACAAGGATGAAGCTCCCGTACATAAGATAGCATACCTACCCATGATCCATGAATGCTTAATGACGCGGATGTGGCGTCGCCCGTCGCGCCAAATCACCTGCCGCCGCTTGCCCTATATCAGTCACGTGGTGTCAGACGACATGTCATGGCCTGTACTTGACTGCTGATCGAGCGAAACCGATCGGAAACAATCATGCAGAGTGTCCCAGTTTCCTAAACACGGAGCTATCAAGTGTATCTGATGGAAACAAGACACATGGCGCCATCGCAGATCTCGGTGAGATCTCGGTGGAATCGGACCCATCAAGCTGAAACGGCTCCTGATGAAGGACTGATCGCCCAACGGTATCAGATTTGGATATCTTGAACACGTCGTTTTCTCTGGTTGCTGTGACTAGTTCGAAGACTTGGCATCGTGATGGAAATGTAACTGACTGAAGTATATCATGTCGTCTTCTACTGATGTATATGGTGAGTCTACTTCTAGATAGATTGCCTTCATCGGATTCTTGACCCTGATCTACTCGAACTCCTCTATCCTTCTGTTGATTCTGTCATGTACACATCACTGCGTAGAGCCACAATGTAGAAAATACGTATATATGATTCACGGTCTCCGTATTACAGTCGCACCTGCCATGTTTCGCACCTACCATATTAGGTTGTATACCGGAAGCACCGGTATTACACCTTAACGTACTTTGTCCATCTCGCATCCGAGCTCGACGAATTCTGACCTCTGCGTTAACCTAATTACATCTGTCAAACGTAGCTATTTCTATCAAACATTGGTACACAGCCGCCCAAACGGCCCGATGTAGACAAAGCCTCTGGGGGGACCACCCTATTGTCAGTTGAAGTCCTATTCCCGCTCTCTTCCGGCGACGTTGACTCACACATATGCTTTTACCCCAAAGTCAATCCCATAACTCCGGTAATCCCGACCATTTGGGTCAGGGCAGCTAGAACCCTATTGGTAGTATGCTATACTCCTTCCCCAGGATACACCCAACGACTGGCCCCAACCACCCTGCTCTCTCAAAGGCATTCGACATTCAGTAAATCCAGTTTGCTGTCATCCAGCATTAAGTCCCTCTTACTGATAGCAAAACAATTCGTCCACCTCGTCGTCACTGAAAACTCTACTCCAATTTCAGTGTCTTCCGTTTGTCAGAAACCCTATTTCTCATGAACATAAATACTTGGTCGATCTCCCCGTCCCCCTCTCCATCTTCTCTCTTACAACTCCCTACTCTCCTCTGCGGTGCGCCGCATATGGAGGGATTGCTTGCTTCACTGATCTTCTAGTTGCTAACATTTAGCTTCAGCCTTGCTTGCTTTCTTGCTTTCTTGCTTTCTTCTTCTTTTCTCCTTTTGTAGTTTCCTTTTTTTCTTACTTTTTCTATCTCTAGCTTGACCTTTAGATAGCTTTAGATAACTTGCTTTTCTCGCATTTCTTTGGCTTGATCTTCTGTGAGTATGGGATTGGGTCCTTTCAACAAGGTCTCTTTTCTTTCTTCCTTTGATTTCATTATCCCCCTTTTCTTCTTTATCTTTTTTTTTTTTTTTTTTTTTGTTTTATCATTTCCTTGACTATCTTTCTATTTCTTTTTATCTTCTGTTCCTTGTTTTTCTTTTTTTCCCTTTGTTTCTGGGCCCCGGCGAGTGGTTGGGACAGGCCTGGGTGATCTACCTTTTCTTTTTGTATAGGTCTGTCTGCCTTCCGATCCCCTACGTACGTTTGAGGCCGTCACAGATACTGACACATGGATAGAATACTTTCTGACCACAGGCCCCGGTGGGCGGTTGGGACGGGCCTGGGTGATCTACCTTTTCTTTTGTCACTGCCATCTACTGCTATCTACCGCCATCTACCGCCATCTACCGCCATATATTTGCCAGTAAGTTGTTCTCCTTTCATTGTAGTAGTCCTGGCTAATATTTCTCATAGTATATTGCCATCTACTTACCATTTAGCAAGCCCTGGTTGGGTGGTTGGGACGGGCTTGGGAGCTGGCTTTGCCATATATTACTAGTAAGTCGGTCTAATTACAGCAAAGAGACAGGCTTGGCTAACATCTTTTACTGCCTACTGCCATCTACTACCATATACTGCCATCTACTGCCATCTACTGCCATCTACTGCCATCTACTGCCATCTACTGCCATCTACTGCCATCTATTTGCCATCTATTTACCAGTAAGTTGCTTCGCTTCTGTTGATGTAGTCTTGGCTAACATGTCCTAGTCTATTACCATCTACTTACCATTTAACAAGCCCTGGTTGGGTGGTTGGGACGGGCTTGGGATATGGCCTTGCCATATATTGCCAGTGAGTCTACATATCTTACGAAGTGAATTTGACTAATGCATTCCACTGTCTACTACCATATATTTACTAAGCCCTGGCGGGTGGTCGGGAACGGGCTTGGGACATGGTTTTACCATATCTTCTAAGTAAGCTCATCTTGTCATGGGTCGTCTGGTATTTGCTAACAAACATGATCTAGTCTACAGCTATTGTACACTAAGCCCTGGCGGGTGGTTGGGACGGGCTTGGGTAATACACCTTCATATATATTTGCCAGTAAGTGGCCCTCGTCTCATTGATGCGGTCTTGACTGATGTTCTATAGTCTATTGCCATCTATATACCATCTATCAAGCCCTGGCGGGTGGTCGAGACGGGCTTGGGTCATCTTCTTCCTCTTATATTCGCTATATATTCGCCAGTGAGTTGTTCTTATCTTTTGGTACTGACTTGGCTAATCTTCCATAGTCCATTGCCATCTGTATACCATTTAACAAGCCCTGGCGGGTAGTCGGGAACGGGCTTGGGACATGGTTTTATATCATCTTTCTAGGTATGTATACCCGTTTTGTCATGAACTATCTAGACATTAGCTGATGAGCGTGATTTAGTCTACAGCTTCACATACTAAGCCCTGGCAGGTGGTCGGGACGGGCTTGGGTCATGGCTTTATTCTATCTTCTAAGTATACATGCCCTTTTTGACGTGCACTGTCAAGTATTAGCTGACAGATGGACTCAATTCAGTTTACAGCCTCACATATTAAGCCCTGGCTGGTGGGTGGCAAGGGCTCGGTCATCTACTTCTTTACATATATGAATATATATTTGCCAGTATGTTACTCTGATTCATTAATGTGATCTTGGCTAATGTTCCATAGTCTATTGCCATCTATAAACAGAGAGATTCCCTCTCCCTCTGCAAGTTCAAAGGAGGGCTGATGGCATCCCTCATGAAACTCTCCACCTCGAGTCCACTGGGGCTGAACATCAGGACGGGGGCCGGTCCCCGTGACTCCAACGTGCAGTCGAACTTCAGAGCACAGCTGGTCAAGAACTCTTCGCATATAAACATGGACAATCCTCCATGGATGCCATCTTTGGCAAAATCTGTCCGCCCGAACTTTGTTCATCGCGCAATATGTTAATAATGTCGGCTTTAATCAAGCAGATTTTTGAGATGAGGTTAAAGCTTGACCACTTCGTCGCAGGGGCGACAAGGTAGAGAGACCTGGATAGAAAGAAGCTGGAGCTCAGAGAGAACTACCACCCAGAAGCCCAATACCTGTACTTCTATCACTGCGTTCAAATACTGCGAACGGCCCCTGTGACCAGCATAATATTTGAGATGGGATTCTCTTTCAACC